AAAATTAGTTCTCCTGTGTTTTACAGCGCAATATTTATATTTCCGAGGTGGTGCCTGTCCCTAGCCCATATTTATGCAACAAGATCGGCGCTAAAATTTCGTTTCACTACCCCTTTAAAGGGGCGGTGCAATGATTTTTGTAAAGGGGCCCTGCAATGACTTTTTTTACTGGTTTGTAAAAGTGATAGGCAAATTAAAAGTACAAAACAAGCAAAAAAAAAACCTCCTTCATGACGTCCTTGGTTGCTTGAGTGGCCGTGAACTAGACAAGGGGTAGTGAGTTCAGCGAATGACCACGGCTGCCGCACTCCGTGTCGACGGCTCGACAGGGCACCATAAAGCATGTTCTGGACAGGCTGTATGAAGCGGGCAACCAGGGTGGCTCGCATTGCATTTGTTAAGTGATTAAACACTAATTCGGCATGACACTTCATTGGCCACAAACAACAGCAAACACGGGGTAAAGATCAGTTCAGAACGGGAGCCACTTCGCGTTACCATACCACCAAAAGGGCGAAACCGCAAGCCAAAGCTGCTCGCCGGAGGCCTCGGGTACGCTCGGAACCGGTCGAATCCTCCAGTCCGTACGACCGCAGCGCCGCCGCAAACATCCGGGACCTTTCTACGTTCGCCGCTCGTTGGCGCCTGATCCCACTACACCAACGTTACTAAAACACTCAGTTGGGAAACTCGCCGTCGAAACCTGGGCCGCTGGCGTCCACCGAGACCGAGCTAAATGCGACAACAGCGCCACTCTTAATCATTTGTCTGTACTGTGGTCACCTTGAGCTTTTTGAAAGCCTGTTTTTGCGTAAAAACAAACGAAAAAGACTCTTTGTATGAAATTTATTGGAGTTTAGTACAAAAAGAGGGGCGCGTTATGTTTTTAAAATCTTTAGTTTGCAGGGTTTTGCGGCACAATCAATATTGTTTTTATACAACCATGCCTCAGCGGGCCTTTTAGGTAGCGCGTCCCGCCCTAGGTGCATTTTAACTTCGGATATTGAACGCGGCACGTCCACCGGGGAGACGGGGGTGGCACCACTGTAACCTCTACCGCTGTATCTGTTCTTAGAGCCAAAATAAAAGTCACGTGCAGTTCCTCAAGTGGCCGCTGCGGGAGAAATGGTGGCGTTGTGTTCGTCATTAGCTCGGTGCTCGGAGACAGATTGGGGCCACTTTTTCAAAGCTGTCTCTATGAGAGTTTCCTAACTGAGTGTTTTAGTAACGTTGCACTACACCTTTCTAGTATGCGCCGCCTTTTCCACCGCTTGGTGGCGGGTATGTCGACGGGTCATTTCTTGTTTCCGTACTTTGTAACCTGCATTTGTTTCTTTTCTGATCTAAAATAGTTAACAAAAACTACTTTTATAAATAATTTAAACGGTTCGTGCCACTTATATTTTGTATTCCGACAAAAAAGAAGCTTTTAGCAGCTCTGACCAGTAGTAAGCCCAGGACCTAAGACATCACATATCACGCGCTTTCGGCACCGCGGATCGCCCCTGTATAGTGGTGGAGGTTTCCGCGTCGTCCGGTTAAAATATGACGCACTGATATTTAGTTACTCTCTCCGTGCCCGCTGGCTTGCCCGAACCCCGAGGGACCTGGAAACGGCAAAAAAGGTAGACGCTTAAATATGATTACAGGTTTCCTTTAAGACGGATCCGACTTTAATGACCTGTGAAACACCCATTCGTTTTTCACCACATGCTATCGAAGTTGCAGAATAGATTAAAGAGAAACAAGCAGCGTTCACCCCCTCAACTAGCAGCCAAAACAAGCTGCGACGTGATCGAGCCGATTATATGTCGCCAATGTTGACCATAGCCACGCGCTGAAGTTGGCAAGGCTCAGGACACTCGCTCAATTCCACGATGGAGAGAACGGCTGTGTGAATGAGGCGTGGGCATGCAAACACGGGTTTGTTGGTAATCAACATTTTGGTCTATAACGGATTCGGCAGACAGTTTGTGAGATGATAACCATAAATATTTGCAGGCTGATAACCGAAACATGTTAATTAACTTAATGGGTTCACTGGTTATTACACTGTTGACAGGGAGGAGCTTCTGGGGGCAGTCGATGGCCCCCATCTATGCCGTCACCAAAGAAAGGCTGCAGTCCTAATAGACTTCTAGGGAGGCTTTAGTTAGTGTGGGAGCAACTCAAATCCTGGAGTGTTTGCAATTCAATGGCAGCGTCTGAGGGCGAGGATTGGGAAAGGATATGCGCCCATGTTGCCTGCACGAGAGCAGACGCCCGCTTTGTTGCCCCATGTGCCTTTCCTCCTCTCGCCTCCCATTGCACGCAACAAACACCTTTATCGCTTCCTTCTTGCACCAGGAATTGCAAACGTCGAGAGGAGAAAGCAGGGTTGCCAGACAAGCAGCAATGTCCGAGATGGCGGAATTTACCATTTTTCGCGTTAAACAAATGCTTAACTTATGAGAACAAAACTGGTGGATATAGTAATCATTTATACCTTGCGTAAATTATTCAAGCACATCAATAAGCTGTTACGACCTGAGTTAGGAAACAAAACGACCCTTTGCCCCGTAAACTCCCAGCAAAATTTAGTACTTACATGGCGTCCATATATCCCGTAGTCCCCGATCTAGCAGTTCCGCCAACGAGGTAGCGTTGAGTTCCGCCCAGCCCAGAGCCGTATATTGGCCCAGGCCGCCCAGCCCAACGTTGAGCGCCACTAACATTTTTCCCAAACACGAGGCGCTTCACCGCGGCAAAGTCCATGCAATGCATGCAGAGTTGGCCATAAAGTTTCGGTTTCGATCGTTGGACACGTGTGACGGTGTGACCGTGTGGAGTCGTTGGCGGCGTCGCGTATAACTGCAATCCGCGTGAGGGTCGCGCTCTTTTTATTTTATTTCAAATTTTTATATTCATTACTTGCCGATCGCATCTGCACAGTGTCACTAAAGAGTTTTAGTAGATCGTGTTTTCAAGTAACGCTGGGTAGGAACTCGCGCTGCCACTTCCAAGCATGCTCTGAAGCGCGCGATCTGAACAACTTTTCTTGGCAATGCAGTGGAAGGTACGGGCCCGCGTCCCCTCTCCCATTTTGAGTGTGCGCGGGCTCTCCTCCTCTCCCCAGAAATGGGGGAGGAGGAGAGCCTGCGTACACTCAAAATGAAAGAGGGGACGCGGGCCCGTACCTTCCACTGCATTGCCAAGAAAAGTTGTCGCGGAGTATAACTACGAGGTTCAAATAGAGGTTTGCAATGCAATAGAAAACGCGATTATGTGCGTCGGCTCTTTGCACATTGCTTGGGAGATCAGAGACGGCCGCTACAGTGTCAACCTAAGTTTTACAGAAAATCTCCGCTGCAGCTTGCAAAATAATTTCGTCAGAGGGAAACACTTTGGCACAAGCGTACGTCGTTGCCATGCACGCGTACAAACGATAAAAGCGCTGATCCCCACGTGAAATGAAGATTTCGATTGGTTCCGGGACAGGGTTCTTTGAATTTAGTATTGAAACCACTGAAACGCCGTTACCCCGGTAGTCAGATAATTTATACAGCACAGCTTGATATAAGTATACTTAAAGGGGTACTTACTGGATGCGATATAATCGGCAGGTTTTGCACGATTCGCCGTCAGCGCCGCACGCGTCGATGCGTTAACCTTAGAGCCAGAAAATGAGCTGCGCTAATTTAGTGGCGCTACGTTAACCGAAACCAAAACCATACAGACCGCCCAACATGCAACGCTTGCGCGGAGTTGACGGAGTTGACAGTGTTGCATGCAGCGATTTTCGGAAGAAGGTTTTTACGCGAAAAGTGTATTTTAGTCAAGATTTGCCTTTTTATTAAATGAGCCACAGTTACACGCTTTCGCTTTCACTTATATGTGTTTGTGTCTGAGAGAGTTTTAATCCACAATTGTGCCAACCGAATCCAACTGTAGTTCAATCCAGAATCATGTCAATCCAATTCAAGCGGCTAGCTGCTTGCTGCTTGTCTCTGCTCGTGCTGCTCGTCTGCTTGACGCATCTTGTGTATGCATGCTTTTCTCGGTTTTCTCTACTGCTTTCGTGGGAACGCGCGCGAAGTGGTTTTCCTTGCCTTCAGGAGCAGTGCTGCCGCGAAGATCAAGATGTGGCACGAATCTAATCTGTCAATCAAATGTTGCTGTTTGATCCGATCTCTTCTCTGGAGAAACAAACCGGTCGTGTTGCGAGGTTCTGCTGCTACGTCAAAGTGCCGTTTCCAGGTCACGGAAAGTATAAAGTGATGCACTCTAAAGTAATTCCAAGTAAATCTTTCAGCGGCGATTGCCCGTCAGGTTCATGTGGTCTGCGCAGGGTGAGTGAACCATTGTTCTGGCGCACCGCTTGCATAGCATGACACAGTTAGCGCGCGAACAAACTTTGTTTTATGAATGAAAAGGTTTTAACACTATTACTGCCGTGGACAATGTTTAATCGGGGCTCAAGCGTGACCGGTAAAATTTCCTATTCCGTGTTGACGTGTGTGTCGCGCACATTCGGGTCCAGCCATCGTTTCGGGCTTAGGAAACTTCGGTATTACACAGCGGCAAGCCTTGAGACCAGATGTGGCATGTGGAGATACGTTGAGTTTACCTTTATCCGAAGAAACGGAAATAGTCTAAAACCACGTCTATCTGTTGCATTGATGTGTGATCGATTGTCGCGTCGAAATGAGCGTGCCAGTTTTCCGGTTTTCAGATAACGAACTCCTCATTTTACAGCATGAATTCTCAAAAAAAAAAAAAAAAAAAGAAGAAAACACTTCTTTCGACTATGACCGTGGCTTGCACAATCGTTGCATAAGCGGCCATTGTGAATGACCTTGCTGCTGCACGCAGATCTTCTGTTGCATATATTGAGCACCACTAAATTTGTTTTTATGACAAGAACAATTAGGTATGACCATTGGTACAGTGTGATAACATCACATGTAAGCCATGGAGCGCTAACAGCATACTGTCGGGCTCTAGCGAATATTGAACGGCAGAGTGCGTGGCTTATGACACATGGTGCGCAACCTGGAGGGCCACTGGGGGCTCGCAGAGATGCACAGGAGAATCCCCATCTATGCCACGCATTTTTATCCTAATTTCCCTTCAGGTGGCGCGTCAGGTATCGAAAGCCGTGCACTCTGCCATTTACATTTCTTTACGTCCTAATAATACAAACGTTTCTCGTGCTACACTTTGTGTCGCTTGCAGACAACAGGTTGGCATTATTTATAGCACTAGCTAGAGGGTGCCAATGACACGCCCTCATGAGTGAAAAAACACACATGGGAAAAGACGTACTAGAGGGTCCCTAGCGCGCCAGTATTGGAAGTTCTTTCAGGCGTCACATTGGCGGGGCCTTTCTTTGCAAAGTATGAACAAAGCGCACTTCCAAAATGACGGATACTGAAACGACGGCATACCAAATTTGACCGTGCACTTGCCAAATTGTTTACACCAGATTGTATGCTATACGGTGCCGATATGCCAGGGGATCAGTGGCTGGTCGCTGCAGCTCGGAACACACGGAGTGATAGCTCACGCTGCAAAACCGAGAAACCCCAGGTCCAATCCCCATCTTTCAACCTGGATGGCCACCATACCGGCGTGCAACCGTGTATCACTGCCGGGCAGTGCACATCAAAACCTCTGAGGCTAGCAGGATACTACTGCACTGGTAATATTCCTCATCTACAGCAAGCGAAACAATGTCTGCAACATCTCTGGCAGACTACCTCGCGCTGTATACGCGTCTGACTTAGTTGGGTCTAACAGGTCCAGCTCCCCCGTCGTTTTATTGCTTACGAGAGCAGCCTGTGTCACGAAGGAGTTTCTTCCTGAACTTCATCGGTGGCAAGACCATAAATGAAGAGGCACATTGTAATATGGGACTTCAGGGTAGTCTCAACGCTGTCAAGAGCCCGGCCGGTTTCGGAGGTAGCAGAACCGCAGGGCCAGTTGTACTACTTTGTGCAGGAGAAAGCTTTAGTCAAGAAGTGATTGGTAATGATCGGTTGTCCTCGCCGGTTGCACATGAGCTTCCTGCCGAAGGCTGACGCAATGCTCGTCTCAAACCTGTGTCAGGCGCTGGCCTCTGGCAGTCAACAAAGAACATTTAGCACTATGATTGTGCTATTGAGAAGAGGCTGTAACAATGGACATCTAAAAGATATTGTAAATTGGCATGTGAACTGACAAAGGGATCTCAGGCTTCACAGAAAGACCTGTTTGTTTGTTTTTGTAAATTAGTGGCTGCTTCTTTCAAACTATGTGAGCACTTTTTAAGGGGCAATGCAATAATTTTATCTTTTAAAGAATTCACAGTTTCAAAGGGATGGCAAAACCGCCTCATCCTCATGAAATGCCTCGATTCCGTCGCATAATAGCGAAGCCAAAAGTGAAAACATTACGCAATTTGCAGCTGCGGTTGGCGGCCATGGTAACTGAGGCGCAGCACCAACCTGGGTGTATCGTAATAAGTTGGCAGGATGTGCCATTAATTGCTCAATCTAAGGCTGTCTTCAATAGATACTGTAGTTTCAATGTGAGTAAGTGTGTCGAAGGCCTCATATTCTCAACAAAATTGTGCTATAATCAGTTTTAGTTGCGCCATCTGCCCGAGGTGAACAAAACGACTCCTCTCTCAAGTCTTGCCCCCTCGCTACCTCGTCAGTCCGACTTTCTTACAAGAAGGCAAGTGCTTTCCCCTGTCCTCTCCCTCTTTTCTCCCCTCTCCCCCTTTCCACGTCCCTCAGACTGACCCTCAAACCTTCAAGGTGGCCATATGAATCTTGAGCGGAGGCAGCATGCACTGGAGGCTCTGAAAGAGAACCCATCCAGATGCTATGTTGTCCCCAGTGCACCCGGGAACACATCACTGTGCACATGACTCAAAAGACAGTGTAAGAGCTGAGAGTGTCTTTTCAAATTATTGCACGCATGCAAAATTGGTTTTAAGTTCTTTACACCAGACAGGACACGGTACAACTCCCCCAATTAAGTCCAAAAATGTATTGTGTGGCCCCTTTAATTTGCCTCCGGGGCAGTTTGTGGCAGGCCTGTTGAGATATGAAGTTTAGAATTTTATGCAGGAGAAGGTGGAAATGCCGCAGGAGGAAGAGGGGGAGCGTGCGGCCACCTCCCGTCGTCGTCACTTGGCGGCGGAGCCGCCACTTCTTGTTTGGTTTGGTTCCGTTTGTTACCCCGGGGGTTAACATGTGAGCTGGGTAAGAAGCAAAATCTCTAAGTTTTCTTCTACTCTGAGAAACTAAGAAACTAATTCCATCTGATTTGGTGTGTCTTTTCAACAGTTGGCCAGGGCAGCGATGAATGGCGCAAGAACAACGAAAGGCATGCAAGTATTAAGAGGATAAACCTGTGCTGTCAATGTGCCGCATTGCTGTGCTTGCTGTAAAATACCTAAGCTCCCACCCTCTTCACGGCATGTAACCAGGAGCTAGATGCTCTTGAAATATATATCATATACAAGCTGCAGTTGAAAAGAGGATGTGTGGCATATGGCATGATGTGAATACTTGTTTTGAGTAGTAAAACCGTAATGCTAATGTGGAGTGGCTGAGGCTGAAAAAAATGAACAGTCAAGTTAATATGGATACCTCTGTCTTCCCCAAGAAGTCGTCCCTTACGTGAGTTGTCCATAATGAGACAAAAATTTATGTATTTACCCAGTTCGTCCCCAAAAACTGTGTCTGCATAATGGGGTTTCCATATTAACAAGGTCCACATTAATGGGACATCACTGTATTCCTTTTCTTTCTTGATATCAAACATGCAAAATTCCTTAGGCTAGGACCATAGCCTGGATATAGTATGTAAATTGGGGTACAGCTAGCTCAACTGAGGTTAGCCGTTGTTGAAATAATTTTATCTGTGTAAGGGTCACGCACATTGCTGGCAATCAGGCACAAATGGTAATTTGATTATTCAGTCCACTGGGTTGACTCGGGGCAGAACTAGTTTGGCATGATCAGGGCCTGTTAGTAGTAATACTCCTTTCACTCTTTTATATACCGATTTGTAATTTTATTTTTGCAATTGACGTAAGTGCCCGTTTTGTTCTCTAAGTGCAATGGCATTTTCAAGCATTGTATGATTCCTTTGTGTAAACAGTTCCCTAAACATTCACATTCTTACTTTGCAGGTCAGACTGAGCATTGCTTCAGTGAAAATGTGGATAACAACATGTCACCATTCTGGAAAGAGGGCTAGTCAACCTCTAACAGTGTCGGCATTTGTGCTACATTTTATTTACATGAATACAAAATTCAGATTAAATGGTATATGGCCACAGCACGGCCAATACACCTTTTGTCAAATTATCCATGCACCAAAGTGAATCCAGGGAATGTCAGCATGTGTGCTGCTATCACTTACCTGACTTGTATAAAAAAATTTATACCAAAACAAGGTGTTGATGAACACACATGCAAAGTGCCGTTTGATTTAATTTTTTTCCTTTATAACAGTAACTCATCCGTGCAGCCAGTGCATAAATTTTTGCTTTGAAACTAACTGCTGCAGACACCTGTGTGTACAGCGCACGTAACCTCACTCACAGTATGCTCCTCTCTGAGTGATTTAGCATGATGTATCTTAAAGGGGCATTAAAGCGCTTTCTTAGAAAACCCAAGGTTACATCCACTTTCCCGACATTTAGCGTTGGCACAGAACGACAGATGGCGCTACCGGACCTTGCTGGATGTGGTTGAATGACGAACACCACTTGTCAGCCACCTGTGATCGATTAGTTCCTGTGTGGTTGAGCGGCCGACCAGTCCCGCTCGTCCATGCGGGAGCTTTTCGCTCATGAGTGGTTAACAAGCGTCGTCTGCCGTTCTCTCATATTCAGCAAGGTTTGGTTGCGCCATGTGTCGTTTTGCACCAACGGTAAGTGTCTCGGGATCTTTGATCGCTTTTTTAATACTCAAATCATTCGCGTAGGAATGTTATTTCGGTTTTTGTAGGATGCTGAGAGCTCATAGACCGAGTTATGGCAATAAACCGAGTTTCTCAAAAAGCACTTTAGTGCCCCTTTAAGTGCAATTGTTCCCAGTGTCGGCCCTCCCCTAACTAGCTGGTCCACCGTGTGCAATCTGTCACCTTTTCGTCTTCAGAAACAAAACCAGTGTTATGTGGTATCCTGTTTTGTGTGCACTACAAGGCGTGGAGCTAGACTCAAACCAAGCTTGGTAAAATAATAGGTGTCTTGAAGTGCAGACATCACTTTTATATTGGCTTTTTTATGTTGTTGTATTTTGTTGTTTTTTTGCAGAACCAATTTTGGGGGCTTTGTGAGATGGTGCATTTGTTTGTGTATGATTATCTGCCTCTTCCAACTTTTCATTTTATCCTTTTGGCAAACTGAAAAGTTTACTTTCTAGCTTAATCTGAGCAAGTGTTGTTACCTCTGTTTTTGGCTTAAGTGCTGTGCAAATAATAGGCCCTTTTCATGTTTACAAACACAAGCCATTTTTTGTATCCCAAGTGACTTCTTCCGAGCTTGTTTATGCCAGAATTGCCGGACTGCTATGGTGCTACAGAAACAGTGAAGTTGCTTAGCGAGGTCCTTCTGCTGTGCTATTCAACATGTATACCAGGTGATCGGTTTCATTATAAGAGTATCCCAAAAACCAACAAATATCTCGATGACCGACTTAGTGCCAGGAGAATTAGTGATGAAATATTTTATGTGGGTTCGAACGAGGGTTGTTAAAGTGACAAACTTGACGAAAAGTTTCCTTGGATGAAAAATGCAACAGCATCTCCTTGTGGCATTTTTACAGAAAGGGTTAACAGAAACAAACTAAATGGAGTTTAATCTACCTTCCCAACAGAGTCCGCCAAGGCAGCGTTCAACGATGAGTGGGAGACCACCAACTGCGGAGACAGGAGGAACATTGTCCCTTTACAGAAAGCTGTGTCGGGTTGGCAGCGGTGGAGGGGGATGCACAGAGGAGGAAAGACAAACACCAGTGCCATTCCTGCCGCCATTCCAACCACCACAGAAGAAGGCTTCCCAGGTAATATTGGTGAAGGGTTTCGACATGCCATTTTTGCTTTTATGGTGTATTCGGCTGGTCATTTTCTAGCACTCCGATCCTATGAATTGGATATCTGAGGTCTGGGAGCATCTTCAAATCTGAGCTAGAAAAATGATGTGCCGGCCAAATGCTCGGCTACTTTTCCGAGTGACAGAAGCGCCGACACGGAACCGGATGCCGAGAGCAACTTTTACAACTGTTCCACTGCAGTGGCGCAGGCTACTGCCCAATACAAAGGGTTTATTCCATAACGTTTGTCCATCCTGCGCCTGCGCCGCATGCCCGCACAAAAAGCAGCAGCCTTCAATGAAATGTTGGCTTTCACTCCAGTCCCCCGTCAAGAGCCAAGCATCTTCTGTACTCGCTGCACAGCGCAGTAGGATCGTTGCGGTATCCAAACACGGCGGCGTTCTACGCTAAGCCTCTCGTCCGTATTGGCTTTTTTTTCTTCCAATCCAATTGCAGAAATGGCTTAATTCATGTGACCGGTCCTCTGTCACATGCTCCTACCGTTCCCACTTCAAAATCAGAACGGCTCGCAGCGCTATGAGTCGGAAGATGGCACAGTCTGATAATCTGGGAGTGCTCTAAAAGAACCAGCCAAATACACTTACCTTAAAGTTCCGAGAGAACGCCCACCCAAAATGAAGAAATAAGTGGTGAAAAAACATGGGGTGGGCTACCTTTGGCGATGCCACAGCAAAGCTTTATCGAGAATTAATTATAAACCGGGCACCTGCTACAAACCACGTGATGCGCAGAACTGATACTCTAGATCACGGACACCACACATTCGCGTTTCACAGCGCAATAAACACGCGGGTGTTTGCTACAAACTTCTGTGTCATAGGAAATGATACCGCAGGTTGCAGACACAGCAGATTCATGTTTTACCTAGCCAAGGACCCGCGAAAACCCGTTGAGAAGTTGCATTCCTCGGGAATAATACGACAAATTGCGGACTCGGCAGATTCAAGTTTTATGGTATAATAAATAGGCAGGAGCCCGCTACAAACTTGCCTGTCTTGGGAACCGATGTCGCGCACGCAGATCACGGACAAAAACGCGGGGGTTCTTTTAAAACTTTACGGTATAGCGCCCAACTTCGACCAACCGAATGGGAATCAGATTTTCAGGGCTCTCCAAAAGGCTGAAAATCGACCAGCCAAATATACTCTTAGTTAACTCAGATACCAGAGTAAAAATATACAGTCGCCGACCGATTATTCGGACTTCGCAGGGACCGAAAAAACGTCCGAATAATAGAGCAGTCCGAAAAATCAACAGATTGAAGAACTTGCCTTTATTGCTTCCAAGTGGGCTTAAAAAAGCTGTAAATAGTGCCTTGTCTTAGGTTACGCCTCTGTTTCCATTCGGCAACTTTCTGTTAGCTTGACAATCACTGCCTCCTTTTCTAGCGTTATGGTCGAGTACTTTCTGCGCTTCTGAACGACACATTGTGGCGTTAGAACAACAGATCGGGCCATGATGTCCAAGCCAGCGTTGTCCAAACGAGATAAGAGGCGCAGATCCACGAGCGCAAAATGGCGACTGGCGACGCGAAGGAACGGAAAAACAAAGCAAAATGTTAGTAATGATGATGATGATGACGTGCATCTAACTGGAAAAAAAAAAAGGGCTAGCATAGCGTCACCTAGCGGTAGGACTCAGGAGTACTCTAGTAGCGCTGCCAAACCAAGCCAATCCATTTGCAGCCAACATGAAATTCAAAATGGCCGCTTCTCGGTGGTGTTTTCCGCCGATCGCTTGCGATGATTTTGTCCGAAAAATCGAACTTTCGGACTTCATGCTATCCGAAACATTGGTCGTGAATATACACTATTTCTATGGGGTAAGTCACGGTTCCTCCTTTACAAGTCCGAATTGTCGGAGTCCGAAAAAACGGTCGGCGACTGTATTGCAATATCCCGAGAGATAGCCCACCTAAAAGTGAGATCAAATTGGGTGAAAATAAAAAGTGGGCTAGTGCGCAATCACTCAAACTTTTAAAAATGACATTTCATATTTTCTGTTTTTACATTAAGGGGTGATGGAACATAGAAAACAGTCTTTCCCAGTTTGCAATGTTCGCTTATCCTCCTCTATGACGCAGTAACACCAAGTCTGCCGATGTCAGCATGGCCCAGAGCCATGCAGTTACTAGAGTTGGGCTATCTTTCTGCGTCTTTTTAAAAAGTAGCGAATCATACTAAAAATATGAATAGGTTATCTCTCAAGGGTGGGGCATCTCAAAATATTACGGTATGTTGAAAGCCCTGTAAATTATTGTCGATGCGCACTATTAAGGCTAATTCACACATTTATGTTTGAGTGTGGTCAATATGTATCGTGCTCGCTCGGGACAGCTTATGACAAGAGAAAATACTGGCACACTGACGCCATCTATCAGGTAACGCAAGAACACTTCAGATGTGCACAAGCAGTATGTTTCTTTTAAAGCGATAGCTTTAGGGGAAACACTACAGAGATTTCGGCTTCGTCGTTGCGTGCCTGAAGAAGGGAAACTTTTCTCTCCCATCTTGCCATTAGGAGAGGGAAGTTGGGGACGTCCCGCTGGCCGTGCCTTGCGAGGAAAGCAGAGGCCAGTCCAGGCGTCCCACCAATAATTGCGCATCGCAGGGAGTATGTCCATGTTGTCTGCTCCAAAAGAGTTATTTTCAAACTTTCCTCGCGTTATGCGAAGTCCCACTTTGGAAGTGTCCAGTTGCTATGCGTAATGTTGGATGGTTTTAGAAACTTCCACCACGCTTACCTACTTCACGGATCACTAGTGGCAGTTGTCATTGGCATCTATGATACCAACCACAATGGCTATGAGAATTAACCGCGTCGTAGCTTGGTCCTCAGGTATGTGACGGCACCATTTCACTTGCATTGCGTGACCGTGCTGCTGACATCGCTTTCGTTTCTTCGCACAGTGTAAGCAAAAAATATGGCTTTTTAGAGTTTACAGACTTCTTTTCAAAACCCCTCGTTACAGACACATCCATGCGGCTTGTGCTGGCGAGTTATACGGCCAGAAGGACATAATATAGGAGTCCATCGTCACGACCAGTTGAATAATTAACTAAAGATTTGTTGATAAACTTATAATTAGTGAAATAGACATGGTTCCATTTTGAATTGTGCCGAGCATCACTGAAAACCAGTAAATCAGTAATTTTGAGAACTGAGTGCATGGGGAGCGCAGTAGTGTGTTAAAGTTGCCAGTCATGCAACAGGCACAAGTTTGGCATGAGAAAACGTAGATGATAAGAGACGAAAAAAACCACATGGGCACGCTGTTGCACTGGTAGCCTTGTCCCTGCTGCAGGAGTGGTAACTTTAGTGCTTTGTTGTGTTTCCCGCGTGCTCCAATTTTTAAATATTAAATGATTTCATGGTTTTCAGTGAGGCTCAGCAAGTTTCTTACTTAAAACTGTTTCTTTTCAATAATTAAAGCAATGATTAACACATTTTAATTAATTATTTGACTGATCGTTACTATTAGCCTCCTATTCTCCGCCTGGCCGTATAACTCACCTGCACGAACTGCATTAGTGTAGCTTTCACTGCCCTTTCTTTTTTTAAAGAAGTCTGTTAAGCTTATAAAAAAACACTGTATAATTTGGGCAAAGTTGTAAGTGACCATTTCTGGTGATAGTGCATAAATTTGATGTTGCAAATACTGTACGACCTTCAGTCTAGCTATACAACGAGCAGAAGTATTTCCGGTGCTACCTGATAGGCGGTACAAGTGCATCAATTTGTATCTTCCCTATAAGCGGTTACAAGTAAGTACAACCCGCTCAATCACACATGAACCTAATCTAAACCACCCTATAAGTTATAAAATGAGCAAACTTTTGGCTGAAGCAGTTCTCGAATGCCATCGACTAATCTGCATTCAGGAGAGGTGAACATTCCTCTGATCTGACACGATCTGTCGTGTCACCCCAACAGGTTCCAAGGTGGGCTATCACACTGAAGTGGGGAGTTTTGTCTTCGAGAAGAGCAATGGTGACCTCTCTGCTCAAGAAGACAGGCTGTCTGTGCCGCAGTGGAAGACTGCTCAAGTGAAAAATCAGCACCGGTGCCGTTTCTGCCCTTACTCCAGCCGCTACACGGCGTCTGTCACCGTTCACGAAAGGATTCACACGGGTGAAAAGCCGTTCAGATGCCGGAGTTGCCAGAAGGCGTTTGTGGGAAGGGGTGACTTGGTGCGTCACGAGAGAACTCACACGGGAGAGCGACCATACTTGTGCGACGTGTGCGGAAGGGGGTTTACGCAGAAGTGGAATTTAGATGTCCATCGGAAGAGGTACTATCACTAGCAATAGATGCACACTGTGAGGTAATGGCAGAGAAGGTTTGAACAGATGACTTGCTCCAAACTCCGCTGTGTGTTCACACCTGCCAATGAACCTGTGGATTCTATATTTGTGAGAGATGATGCTTCCATGGTGTTAGATATTTAATATGTTTTGTTTGGGACATAATTTATTTTGTAAGATTAAGAAAAGGAAAGGCCCCCAACAACAACGAAAAAGGTGAGTAGAAAAGCATACTAATTCTTCATCCTTTTTATTTATAAACATTTAACTGTTGCAAGTGGTGCCTCAAGGTAATTTGCACTGCTACTTCTGTTGTTCACGCATTAGAGTACTGGTTCTAACCCTCTCAGCTTTGCGGGGCATGTGCACTTTGCTCCAAATAGATTCATTCAAACTCTATAAGAAGTGTGCAACATCTAAGGGGGGGGGGGGGGGGCAGCAGCTTCGCCACCAATGGCGTCATGCCACCACGTTGGCAACTTTCTTTGGAGTAAATATTTCATACCTTGACATTCAAAAACCTGTCTGTGCCCAGCATTGCTTTGTATGTGTTCCCACATGATTCGACCTGCAGGAGTAGTTCGAAGCTCAATGTTCGATGCTCAAAGCACGATGCAACAAACCAACATATTTTTCGTTTATCTCTACTAGAATATGCTTTTATGAACTGCTGCTGTGCTCGATTGCCCTGAAATTACCATGGGACGACATTCACCATTTTCAGGAATTTATGCAATCTAAATAATGTGTATTTTTTGCTCCTCATTTTATCAGATGGCTCTTTGCTCACTGGCTGGTTGAGAAAGCCTATCGGGAATGAGACTGTAGTTCTTGCTTTCGCTAGTGCATGAAGAGGATCCGTGTTCCTAATTTTCATGTCCAGTGTAAAAGAAGTTAGCACCGAATGTGGCCCTGAAGCTGAAATTGATTAGAAACATACGACTGATGCTGTTTTCTGCCACACAGACGTGTACACATAATGGTTCCGCCAGGAGCCACATGCAATGGCACCACCTTGTCGCATGCTTTTCTAAGCGGACGGAACGGAAAAATTTCTGCTTCACTGCGGGCATATCGAACCTTCTGTGTATATTTATAGATAGACCCTGCATAAGCGTGATCATTCCCAGTCTGACTTGAATATTGATTGTCACTCTTAGATATGTGAACATTGTACAGGGCAATTGTGCTTGTAGCATAGTACATAGTAAAAAAAAGGTTTGTTGCACTAATGTGTTCCTGCTTTATTCTGTAGTAACTAGCATCAATTTGATTTTGCATGGGGTCCAATATACCATGAGGCATGCTTTAAAAATATGTGTCCTCTCTGGCATGCTCACAAAACTGAACTGGGCTATTCCTGGCTACCTATGGTGTTTTATTTCGGCTTGTTTCTTGTCGAGCGTGCAAATTGTGTCATTGATGTGGTCCAGTTAAAGACTTTCTACACAGGACACTCTTTGAGCCACACACTGCATTTGCTCATAGAAGCGGAGATTTTTCCTCTGCTTCCGGCTCTGTTTGAGACAATTTCTTTTGGGCAGAAAGTCACCTTCTGCTTACATCCTTAAACAAAGCCTTGGACTGTGCTCATGACGTAAGGCAGGAAGTAGCCACTCGCATACTCTGCTGGCTGTCAGTCAAGGCCACCGCTGCTTTAGTCGGTCTTCAACCTCCCAAAAACAAGAAAGGGGAAGACGTGAAGAGGAAAGTAACTCTGTTTCGTGCACAAGAGCGGGTTGCATGTCTTCGCTTTTTTTTACAAGTTAACTTGAGAGCATTATTATAATGAATACTTAAAAACAAAAGAATATAAAAAATGAAAGGTTTTTACAAATTTTTGTAATGCGAAACTAGAGCGCAGCTCTTGAGGAGGAAGAAGGGAGGGTATGTCACCTCTCCTTTTCCATACCCTCCCTTCCTCCTGCTCTTCTGCCGCTGAATTTGTTCATGGGTGACGTTACATGAAGCTGTGACGTCATTTTTCCCTTAAATTTAGCGGGGAAATTTTTCTGCTAAATTTGGCGAGAAAATTTCCCCACTAACTTGAGCGAGAAAGTTTCCCACTAAATTTAGTGGAAAAATTTCCCCGCTAAATATAGCGAGAAAATTTCCTCGCTAACTTTAGCGAGGAAACGTCCCATAATGCAACGTGCGCGGTTACACAGACGCCGCTCAACCCGGAAGCGGGCACCTGAAAGCTGCGCTCTAAAACATAAAAGACATACACGGACCACCACACTTTTTCAAATAGTAACGTTTAATTCTGGTGACAAAACTTCATGCTCTACTCGAAAATTTTATGCAGATAAGGGCGAGTCGGAATGGGAAACTGATGGAAAGGGTTGGGGGAGAAAGGCAAAGCACTGTGTCATGGCGACGTCTGTTCTTTCTGAGTTCCATGATTTTTCCAGCTCTGGCCTAAGAAATTCTATTTTCCGTCTTGATAATGTTAGAGAAGCCGATGAGACTTTTTGGCATTCTCGATGAGGCGAGCCTCTCTGATTTCTCGTCTCTAGCGTTGACAGTGAGCTGCTTTGATTTTTGTTTACCCAAAATTGGGACCGCATCCGAAACAATCTTTTGCATGTGCTGCGGTAGGCCATGGGGTACTCGGCTCTCAAAGTTGCCTCATCGTGATGCTCGCGAAGTTGATCATTGATGCACTGGCTTGTTTGACCATTGAACTCGGCTCCGCATTTGTGGGATACCAAGTATACTTTTTCTAGCCCACACCCTCTAAATTGGGTGGTGTGTTTGTTCTCACAACATGACTTGGATTCCCTTATGCAGGTTCAAGCTGGCAAGCCTGTGTAGCATGATGAACCATAGGGAACCCAAGGTGACTTGCGAGAAGAAACACCACCCAATTTAGAAAGTGTGGGGTGGAAAAAGTATGCTCGGTAGCCCCCAAATGCGGAGCTGAATACGTCGGTCAGACAGGCCGGTGCAGCAAGGATCGGCTTCGCGAACATCACAACAAGGCAACTTTGAGAGCCGAGTGCCCCACGAACCCCATCGCAGCACATGCGAAAGATTGTTTTGGATGTGCTCCCAATTTTGCCTGCACGAAAATCAAAGGAGCTCACCGTCAATGCTGCGGACGAGAAATCATTGAGGCATTTTTCGTCGAGAACACAAGAAATAATGTGTCATCGGCTTCTCTAACATTATCAAGACGGGAAATTGAATTTCTTAGGCCGGAGCTGGAAAAATCACAAAACTCAACTTGGAAGGAACAGACGTCACCATGACACAGTGCTTTGCCCTCCTCTTACGCCGCATTCCTCCAGTTCCCCAGTCCCATTCCCCCTCTCCTTTCCTCCCCACTTATCTGCAAAAGAAGTTTGAGTAGAGAGGAAATTTTTTTCTACCAAAATTAAACGTTCCTATTTGAAAGAGTGTGATCGTCCATGTGTGTCTTTTGTGTTTTTATTCTTTGGTTTTTAAAGGGGCACTGACAGGGTATTTAAGCTTGCAAGGGTTTATTTGTACATGACATATGAAAACATAACTGTTTAGAAAACAATTTGCAGCTCGAAATTCATTTTTTTTCCGCCCGGAAACTGCCGATCGAGAACTGGCCGGTTTGAGTCGCGCTCACTCTCTTCTTCGTGGTCATGCCGTTTTCTATGGTTTAGACACAACCACTGAATATAATCAGTCGTGAGTCATCGAAGGCACACACAGAGTATTAAAAATAGAAAAAAAATATGATACCCATTTTTTGGGGGTTTCTATAGACCTTTCCAGCGGCAGTCTTGAACGAAGCGCCCGGGCGGAAAATGCTGAGTCACTGAGCTGTGGACGCATGCGCAGCATCCGATATACCGCACAGCACAGCAACAGCGCACGCTCAGAAGGCGTTCCACAGCCCAGCAGACAAAGATGGCAGCGGCCAGAAGGCAATTTTTGCAAAGGTCTATAAAGCTGCAAATATATTGATTGGAAAAAAAAAGTTGCACAGCCGCGTGACTTCTGCCATCTCTCTCCTCCCCAGTCCTTTTTCGGTTTCGAGCAGTTGTGAATCTCTGTATGCCCTTGTACACAACAAACTGAACAAAGAATTAAAAATTGCTTGGCCTCCCGGCAGTGTCCTGTGAATGGAGAATCCGTCGAAATGGATGCTCGTCCTGGTTGCGTTCGGTACCATGTCACATGATACGGCATATGTCATGACTTGGCCGTACGACACCGTTAATCGTGTGACCTGGTCACATCACGGCGGGTTTCAAGACACCACGGCATCATGTGGTGTTGGACGTATCCGCTGCCCATGATGTTTAATCTTTTTTTCAGAATAATCCAGGAGTTTAAAGATAGATTCTTCATGAATAAATTCACCGCAACTAGCTGGGAGTTATGATAGATTCGAATTTTCTGCATGGTTTTCAGTTTTCTTTTACAGCAGTATTGTTCCGGATGTTTGGTGATTGTACACTTGTTTGTATACTCTTATTTCTTTGCCACTATTGGATCTGCCTGTTGGATGAACTTACCAAACTTGCTTACTCAGCATGCACACTTTTCAGCTTCACTTGCCATTTACCGTGCAATGACATGTAGTTTAGTGCACCAGGTCCTATAAGGGCTATGTGATTTTGGGTAAATACGAAAAAGTGTGAAGAACACTCGTCGGTAAATGTTTTATCAATTTGAATTTATCCAGAAAACTAAATTTCAAGGTCAACTACAAAATAAAAAAAAAGACTGTTTTACAAATAAACTTCATAAGAGCACAGGGTCAGTAATCCTGAGGAGATGCCACTTCAGTTTCATTAGAAAACTAGTCTAGAACTACTGACAGAAGGGATTTTGCTTTTTGCACATCGAGGTTCCTTCAGGACAACAGGTAAAGTGAACTCCGAACTTCAAAGAATTCTAGCAATTATAAACTCCAATAAAACCCGAATTTTCAGCAAAAAATAAACTCAGAAAAACTCCATGCGAATTTCACAAGAAATCAACTCTGAAAGCATGGAATCCAACCTTTGAGTTAGTATGTAATAAAAACCATTCATAGAAAGCTTGACCTGTCTACCCCAACAGTTCACCAAGCCAGCCTCTGGCATGGGGGAGTGTGTCAACTAGGAAAACTAATAGTATTTGCAAAAATATGGTTTGTGCTGGTGGCATTGAAGATATGTCCCTTCCAGATAGGACGTACTGCAGTGCTGGTTCTTGCCCTCACTCCAGTAGCCACAGAGCTGGCACTAGTGTTGCTTTACATGTAATTGTAGGGAGAATACTGGTACTTTGGGGTAAATTTTGTTGCCGCCAACTAATTGATGTTCAGAAAAATGTAAACTCTTCTGACCAATCTGCTTTGTCTTGTTGCCCCAACAGGTTGGGTCGAGGAAAACTCTGGTGACAAAACAGCAAACAGCCAGGGTGACCAACAACGGGACAAATACCAGTGCCGCTTCTACCCTTACTCCAGCTATAACACATCTGTTGCCCTTCACAAAACAACGCACATAGGCAGCAAGTTCTTCAGCTGCCACGTGTGCCAGAGAGCATTCACAAAGAAGTCTTCCTTGCAAAATCACGAAAGGATTCACACGGGTGAAAAGCCCTTCAGGTGCCAGTTCTGCCAAAAAACATTCACGGAGAAGGGAACCTTGACATCTCACGAGAGGGTTCACACGGGGGAAAGACCGCTCAAGTGCAGCATCTGCGGAGCTGCGTTTGCGTGGAGATCTGGCTTAATTAATCACAAGCGGCTTCACAGAGGTCAAGACACACCGGTGCGTGACTTGTGGGAGGGTGTTCTCGGGGAGCAACCATTTCAATAACCACTAAAAGAGGAGCCGCATGTGAGGCCATATGATGTGTTTGACGAAGGTATGGACAGAAGTTTTGTTTAAATATCCACCGTTTGTTCTGTGCCTACCGACTGACTGTGGCCGCAGTGTTTGTGAAAGGTAGCTGCATCGTTGGGTTACATGTTTGCAGCATTGCAGATACTACAATGTTATTTTACGATGGGAAAAATTTCCTGTTCTGTTTCTGCCTAATGTGACTGTTAAAAACCCAGCAATAATTTTCCTTATCATTTTTATACATTGTTCAGTTGTTGCATTCGGAGCCTCGGTACTGTCATAACTTCTCAACGCAAATGAGCAGGACGGCTTCTAATGCCGGGAGATTTATTTGGGGAATATGTTTCAGTTTCACTTATACAACTGAGATGACCTTCTGCTGTCATTGGATCAGGATCATAGGGCTTTGTTGAAGATAAAAAGAAACCTTTATTTTGATCGATAGAGCTTGACCCCACATGGTTGGCATTCCTACAACTTTCTTGATTTCAGCAGTTGCAAATATTGCCTCTCGCTCGTACATTGGTTCATTATAGAACAGTTTGTACAGTTTATGTGTTTGTTTAATTTAGTTTTATTTAAGTTATTGTATAGAATAAAACTTTTTGCATGTGTTCTAATCATGTAGAGAGACACACCGGAAGGGTTCAAGTTTTGCTAATGACCTTTTAGCCCTCAAGATGAAACTTGGAGGAACTGTCTTTCTTTGCCTTTTCACATTGTGTTAGTTACGCATGTCTCATGCTAAGGCTGAGAAATTCTGTTCAGTGTGGCCAGTTTGTCTAGCCAAAGATACTGCAGGAGGGGAACACACAATAAACATTTCTTCCAACACATTGTGGTCTTCTAAACCATTTATAGTATGTTGCACTGATGGGAATGAGTAAAATGTATAGTGATTATTTATTTCTGAAAGTTTCATCTTGGCAACGAGTAGTTTACACTAAATTCATTGTTTGCTCTGTTAGTAGGTTTCTTTTTTGGGCTTAAACTGAATGTCGTGTCCAATAGATTTTGCATGTGTTTTTTTTAGCCAACCGGTTCTGCCCAAGCTCTACAGATGTGCAGGTATTGAAGCAGTTGGATATCAGTCAATGCAGAACTGAGACATTATGCCCTTTGTAGGCAATACCAGGCTCTGTGTTTGTCCACTTTTTTCTTGGCTCATCTCATTGTTACACACTTCTCATAACCAAACAATGACATCATTGAATTGGAAGTGGAATGCTGCCAAATTTTTTTCATTTTGAATTACAGCCGCTTCGGTGGCTCTGAGGTGAGAGAGCCGGCCCACAGATTCCCATGTGGCAGGTTTGAATCCCGGCCGAGGTGCCCGCAATCTGACGGAGGCTTATTGCAGAGAAGGCGCCGTTTAACCGAGATTTCGGTTGTATGTCAAAAGATCCCCAGGTGGTCGAAATTACTTCTCAGTCCTCCGCTGGGGCGTGCCAGATGCCTGTCATTGGTTTGGCACGTAAAACCCCCAAATTTGACTTTGTCATTTTGAATTTTTGCATTGCAATCAAAATATCGCTTGAACGTCGCAATGGTGCATGCAGATGGTCATTATCCTTGAATTTGATATTTGGTAAAACAATATATAATTGAAATGAAAAATTGATGTCTGAGTCACTTTGAAAAGATAGGGCATGTCTATTCTGGTTGAGCTCGACTAGAGCACATATAATCTACGACTTGTCGAAACAATGAAAATTGTGGCGAACAGAAAATAGAGTAGGTACAAATTCTACTTTGGTTACATGAAAGTTTGCATTCTCACACAATCAGATGCAAGGTGTATTATTATGCTATGGATGTGACACCTCAATGGTAACGACCCTTTAAAAAGATTTTGGAAACAAGAAAAAAAAATTCCAAAGATGCTTTTTTTTTACCGATCTGTAAAGACATATGGCTCACATTAATCTGCATACTTTCCTAAATCTCACCCTTCTTGAAACAATAGGGACTGCACTCCTCCTATATTAAAAAAAAGAGGCATTCAAAACCAGTCAAATCCTTTTTTTGTGTGGTGAGCTAAACCTCGATGTAAACTCCTTACACACAAAACCGGCATAAGCCTCTTGTTTGCACATGCTAGTCATGAGTTCAAGAAAAAATATCAGATGCGCCTATCTTTTCTTACCACCTATGTTACTTGTTTTTTCTCGCTTAGATGCAGATATGTACCAAGAAGTGCCTTGAGAGTTTACTCCTAAAATGTTGATTTCTGAGCATTATAACATTGTCTTGAAAGGTTTTCTTCAGGCGTAAGGATGCATACAACAAAAGGCAAGATATTAAGATGTTGGTGAAGTCCCCCAAGATAACTGTGTGCTGAGAGTTTGCCTCAAACTCTGAGCACTCACCGGTAAGGTTTGAATTTATCTGAAACACTACAACATTCAAGATTATGTGCACGATGCTTTTTATACATTTTTGTGGATTTTATCACCTATTCAAAACTGTGGAGAGATATGACAAGATTAAATACAAACTTTTTTATGATTGAGAATTGAACAAAGGTAAACCTCAATAAACACCAAATTTCATATAAAAATAAGCTCGAGAAATTGGGGGCCAAATAGTATATTTTGAGTTGTAAGCAAAAAGTGTTTTTGTCCGAATATTTGCGAATTGAATACTGAATAGCTTCTCCAAGCCTTTTCACTACTGTTGCACCATGCTTAAACAACTTAACTCGCGAAGGTTGTCTTCCAAAGTTCCACTTGTTCATTTATAAGCTAGTTGTAACCTCCAAAAGTCAAGTGCCTTGGGATGGCAGGTGAATGACGGATTGAACATGCAATTAAACCCATAAAGAAATTGAGTGGATTTCCAAATCTTTCTTTATGCAAATATTTTTTCTTCAATATCGAATTTGAAAAAGAAAAAAAGGTAAAAGAATCACGAATGATGAACGCACGTTTAAGGGAGTTGTGCATAACAACCAGATTAATTTTGAAATTTTTACTTTAATGTAGAGTGTAGATATCAACATTAACAAAGTTTTCGTTTGTTTTTGAATAGACCAGGCGCGCGCGTGCACCATCCCGCTTTGAAAGCGCGCATTTCTCCCGAGTACGCAATTGTGATGTTCATACTTTTACCAATGCTGATGGCGGCGGGTTATTCTGTTGAGTGCTCTTTTTACCGAGCACCGGTGCACTGCGGCGAAGCAACACCCGAGGAGCTCGCTTCCGCGGGGTCTTGCTTCCCCGCAGTGCACAGGTGTTCGGTAAGAAGCGCTTTCAACGGTGCTAACCCGCAGCGATCATCGCTTTGAAAATCCTCCCGAGTACGCAATTGTGGTGTTCATACTTTTACCAATGTTGATCTCGGCGGGTTATTCTGTTGAGTGCGTTTTTTACCGAGCACCGGTGCACTGCGGCGAAGCAACACCAGCGGAGCTCGCTTCCGCGGGGTCTTGCTTCTCCGCAGTACACAGGTGTTCGATAAGAAGCGCTCTCAACGGTGCTAACCCGCAGCGATCATCGCTTTGAAAATCCTCCCGAGTACGCAATTGTGGTGTTCATACTTTTACCAATGCTGATCGCGGCGGGTTATTCTGTTGAGTGCGTTTTTTACCGAGCACCGGTGCACTGCGGCGAAGCAACACCCGCGGAGCTCGCTTTCGCGGGGTCTTGCTTCTCCGCAGTACACAGGTGTTCGATAAGAAGCGCTCTCAACGGTGCTAACCCGCAGCGATCATCGCTTTGAAAACCCTCCCGAGTACGCAATTGTGGTGTTCATACTTTTACCAATGCTGATGGCGGCGGGTTATTCTGTTGAGTGCTCTTTTTACCGAGCACCGGTGCACTGCGGCGAAGCAACACCCGAGGAGCTCGCTTCCGCGGGGTCTTGCTTCCCCGCAGTGCACAGGTGTTCGGTAAGAAGCGCTCTCAACGGTGCTAACCCGCAGCGATCATCGCTTTGAAAATCCTCCCGAGTACGCAATTGTGGTGTTCATACTTTTACCAATGTTGATCTCGGCGGGTTATTCTGTTGAGTGCGTTTTTTACCGAGCACCGGTGCACTGCGGCGAAGCAACACCAGCGGAGCTCGCTTCCGCGGGGTCTTGCTTCTCCGCAGTACACAGGTGTTCGATAAGAAGCGCTCTCAACGGTGCTAACCCGCAGCGATCATCGCTTTGAAAATCCTCCCGAGTACGCAATTGTGGTGTTCATACTTTTACCAATGCTGATCGCGGCGGGTTATTCTGTTGAGTGCGTTTTTTACCGAGCACCGGTGCACTGCGGCGAAGCAACACCCGCGGAGCTCGCTTTCGCGGGGTCTTGCTTCTCCGCAGTACACAGGTGTTCGATAAGAAGCGCTCTCAACGGTGCTAACCCGCAGCGATCATCGCTTTGAAAACCCTCCCGAGTACGCAATTGTGGTGTTCATACTTTTACCAATGCTGATGGCGGCGGGTTATTCTGTTGAGTGCTCTTTTTACCGAGCACCGGTGCACTGCGGCGAAGCAACACCCGAGGAGCTCGCTTCCGCGGGGTCTTGCTTCCCCGCAGTGCACAGGTGTTCGGTAAGAAGCGCTCTCAACGGTGCTAACCCGCAGCGATCATCGCTTTGAAAATCCTCCCGAGTACGCAATTGTGGTGTTCATACTTTTACCAATGTTGATCTCGGCGGGTTATTCTGTTGAGTGCGTTTTTTGCCGAGCACCGGTGCACTGCGGCGAAGCAACACCAGCGGAGCTCGCTTCCGCGGGGTCTTGCTTCTCCGCAGTACACAGGTGTTCGATAAGAAGCGCTCTCAACGGTGCTAACCCGCAGCGATCATCGCTTTGAAAATCCTCCCTAGTACGCAATTGTGGTGTTCATACTTTTACCAATGCTGATCGCGGCGGGTTATTGTTGAGTGCGTTTTTTACCGAGCACCGGTGCACTGCGGCGAAGCAACACCCGCGGAGCTCGCTTTCGCGGGGTCTTGCTTCTCCGCAGTACACAGGTGTTCGGTAAGAAGCGCTCTCAACGGTGCTAACCCGCAGCGATCATCGCTTTGAAAATCCTTCCGAGTACGCAATTGTGATGTTCATATTTTTACCAACGCTGATCGCGGCGGGTTATTCTGTTGAGTGCGCTTTTTACCGAGCACCGGTGCACTGCGGCGAAGCAACACCCGCGGAGCTCGCTTTCGCGGGGTCTTGCTTCTCCGCAGTACACAGGTGTTCGGTAAGAAGCGCTCTCAACGGTCCTAACCTGCAGCGATCATCGCTTTGAAAAATATGAGTATTATTGTTAATCTTGAAGCGAATATCGGATAGTGTAATATTTAAACTACTACTTGAGATATTCAAACATTTGCTCAACACCATCAGGTCAGCAATTTTTCGATGCAGATTAACTTTCTGCTGGCAAACACCGGTACCACCAATTTTACTTTTTATTCATTGACCAATTAACAAAACACCAATGTGCGAATACATGGTAACAATGTTTCTGGCACTGTCCTTAAAAATTTGGGGTTAATCTATAACTAGGGTTGTGTTTTTGGTACATACGGATAACCTCCAAGAAGCAACCACCGAGCTGGTTTTTGTGGAATCGGAAAAACCGTAAAACCCCAGTTAGAAGTTGTCCTTGAATGAGAAAAGAACCCAAGCTTCATGGCTAAAAATGTTAATGTACCGCTTTATTTTTGTTGACCTAAAACATGGCGTGCACTGAACGGTCCACAAGGCTGCAATTTCCTTCAGGCACCATAACTTAACCTCATTTTCCTCTCTTATCGATGTAGGTTTGTTTTCCAACTACTGGGTAACGCATATGTTCCTTAGAGATTGAAAAAGCCCATCAGTGTCCCGTTTCCTTCATTGTAAGCACTGAGATATACCAAATCTGAGAGGGAAAGTTAAACGTAGAAAAACATTCCCAAATTCAAAGAAAATGCAATCTCTCCACAATCTTCATTGATTTTCCCTTTCTCTCCCAGAAAAAAAGAAACCCCGAAAATGTGGAAGCCTATCATAATCACATCATCACCAAAGAAAATTTCCAAGCCCATGTTGAACCAACCAAGACGTTCTGCCAATTAAGCTTCAAGCTCACCAATGCAAAACAGCGAAGTTTTATGCAGTGATGTGATTGGTTTGAGTACTCTTGGAGCAGCAAAAACCACTGTTGGCACACGAGTAGGCTCTTCGTTCCATTGTGAATACTATTTCAATACTCACGCGCTAACCCAGGGGCGGATTTAGAGGGGGGGTCCGGATGTCCTGACCCCCCTCTTGATTTCTGCTTGTGTAAATTTTAGGACGTAAAACGAAGGAGAGGGGGAGGGGGTCCCTAGACATATGGTAGGCTGACTGACATCTGTCCCCCCCCTCAGGAAATTCCTGCATCCGCCCCTGTAACCTGTTCAAATAAAAAAAAAAACTGCCCTTTGTGCTTGTCTTTCTATTTCTGTACAACTTATTAGCATCTACTGTGAAACAAATACATTTCAAAAGTTATTTAGGTCTGCACATCAGTGGCATCTTGCATGTGGAGACTTATGATGGTGGAAAGTCAGCATGCGGAGAACAAATATGCCATAACAATACATTTAAACTCATTATTGGGATTCCCAAGCTTTCATTCCACTCCTAAGTCAATTTAATTTCAATTTCAACTTTATTGGCTGCATCCACAAACAGTTGAAGGCTTATTTAGAAATGTTACCTAAACATAAAGGTAAATTATGGTGCAGCCCAGCTACACCTAATTCCTGTGATTAATCAACCCTTTCCCAATACGAAAGTTCAAAATTAATAATGTGGGCAACTTGTCAGAATGTTGCAGTCTATCGTATAAACTACAATTTTATTGTACAAAATTTACTGTCACAGGCACCATTCACCAACTTGAAATATATTTTGTCCCCCACTCCCCCCCACCTAGGTCACTGTCAGGCAGCATTCACAAACTTCAAATATATTTATTTTTTACTGTGAATACTTTTAACTTTAAATAATTCATTTTTTTTTTAATGCACGACTTACGATCTATTATTCCACGCAAAAGCGTTTTCCCCCTCAACACAAGGCTGCGCTGCGACGAAACCATTACACAAATCGCAAATTTTACTTTGCATGTGCAGCTTCTCTGTAGTGCACCAGTGCGCCATAAGAAGCACACTCAACGAAGCTAATTAAACAGCCCAAACAGACCACAATTAGGAATGTCCCGAAACTTCCGAGGACTGTGTCGCGTTTGATACGAAGATCATATTAAATCACACATTATTTACAGCAGTACACAAAAGTGTTGAAAATTTGTGCAAGCTTACCGTAACAATCTGGCAGCGTAGTGACGACTGATCCATTTCTGCTTTGATAAATTTAAATTAGCTTTTGGCGCACCGTTGGCGGAAATTAGCCGCATTTTGGTGAAATGTAGCAGGGTAAGCACTTTGGCACAATTTGGAGTAGTAAACGCATCACTGTTAATGCACACATACCAATGCTAAGTGGTAAGGCTTGATCAAAAAAAAATTGGGAAACTCCAAAGGATTTGCGACTTCCGAGTGTTCTAAAAACTCTCTACTCTGAACAGCAAGTGTGATGTGAAACCAATGCAAACATAATCTGCAAGTTATCTTTTAAACACTCGCATGTCCTTACTGAGCAGCACACTCAAAAGGGGAGTTCCACCTAAAACCAGACGTCTTTACTAATAAAAGAATTTAGAAGCCCGTGGATCAATTGTCGGAACTCGGGATTGACAAAAGGCGGAAACAGCGCAAAAAAAAATTGACAAAGGACGAGTCAAAGAAGTGCACAAAGCGCTGTCTGTACACTTCTTTTACTCATCTTTTGTTAATTTTTCGGCACTGTTTTCACTTTTGAAGATGAACAACCAACTCCTTGCCTTACATCCTCTCCTTCGCACGAGCAGCGCGAGCACTGTCAAAGGCATGGGAGTTTCGGCGCAGTTCTGCAATATGCCCGATTCGCACTATGCCTCTAGAAGTCTTGAGATGTATAGCAATATGAAACTTGGAGCACAGCCTCCTTCTGTCAACTGGCAGTCTCGAACTTGCACTTGATTATGCCGATAATGCCACAGTAATCTAAAGACCTCATGAGGCTTGCCTTCTTATAGACTTGGAGGAACAAAAGCAAGCCACTCAACATCCTATCATACAACCATTTCATGAGCATTTCTGTGCAGAAACCTCTACAAACACCCTTCTCAGCCAGTGAGTGCACAGAGCTTCTTGCACTCTGCATAAGGGCAAATGATCAAAGGGTAAGGTGCCATTTCAGTGCAAACTCTAGTAGTGGTGCTCTAATAATGTATAATTGAAAAAGAAGTAAAGACAACTGTTGACAGTCAGTTACACAGGCCACATATTTTTTTTATTTTTCAAGACTGAACATTTTATACGGAGTGAAGCGGCCCGTTGTTGCGAGATTAATTTTTTTCCACAGTCGCAGGTTACGACGAGCAATGAGACGCATCGTGATGAACAGTTTCAACAACTGGATCAAGGGCATACAAAATAAGCCCAAACAACAAGATTAGCAAGACTCAAAATGTGCTGAGTGAAGGGGCCGATTGTTGTGAGACAGCACCTTTTCCATGGTGACCATGGAAATGGTGCCGTTCCACAACCATGGACCATGAACAGTTCCCATAATCAGAGCCTGCATAAACCAGCGCCTCGTCCTGTGTGTTCCTCCTTCTTGTCCGTGTGGTATTCGCGCTGTTTTTCAAAATGAATTCATACCAACTCGCCCAACTTTCCATTCTAATAAACAAGAATGCACGCCGAGATCGGCACTATTAAAAACATTCCATCGTGAAGAGTGGTTGACAAGGTCAATGTGAATGGTGTGCACACCAAATAATCACTGCAGGTTCGTCTTAAAATGTATCCCAGTTCACGAGGCAAGTGATGACCTGATCCAACAAGTGGAGCCCATGCAAACAAGGATGCACGCAAATAGGCACAATTTAAAATATCCTATGGTGAAGAGTGAAAAAGTGATTACTGAGTGGAACGTGATAAGTACCCCAAGTCATGAGGCATCGTCGAGGCAAATGTGATGACCGGTTCTGATAACCGGAGCCCGTACAAACGAAAACAGACACTGGCAAGACCAAAAATACCCTATGATGAAGAGTGATCGACGAGCACAATCTGAAGAGCGCGCACGCCAAACACTCGTGAAAGACTCGAGTCCTAAAAAGCATCTCCATTCACGAGGCGTCGTCAAGGCATGCGGCAAGCAGAGCCTTGTCCTGCAGCACGTACACCACCTCCTGCTCGTCGATCTGCAGAGCGACCTTGCACAGACGCTGCTCCCTGTGCCTCTTCACTCGAATCAGTCCCCTCGACTCGAGCAGGGTGCAGAGTGACTGGCAGTCCATCTGATCCGTCGCACACTGCTGTTTCCGGCAGATACGCCCATAAGCCTCCTGCAGCCCGCCCAGCCCCACGTCCCGCTGCTTCCTCTTCTTCAGTGTCGCGACCAGCGCGCACAGCAGCAGCTTCTGCTGAAGAGGAAGCGTGGCATGCAAGTCGCGGCCACCCGTCGCACGGGACCCCAGCACTTCGGCAAGCACACGCGCCATCTGCGCCACGTCAACCGCCCAGAGAGACGGCAGCTTCTTCGGCGAGCCGGGATTGTAGCCATGTTGAGGGCGCGGCACCAGGAGTTGCTGTGCCCTACTGCCGCGTTCGACGAGCTCCACTGCCCGTCGGCAGGCGTCGAGGGCTTTTCTGACGTCTCCCGTGCACGCGGCAATCTTGCGGGCACAGAACTCGACGGCCTGCGGGTGGACAACCGCTGCACAGTCCTGTAGGCGGTCGGCCAGGATGGCCGCAATCTCGTTCTTCGAGTAGGGCGCAAAGTGGAGGAGGTCGGGCCTGCTCCCACAAGCCTGCAGGTGCGGGAGGGTGCGATCAGTCAGGTCCAACGCGTTCGCGATGCCAAAGAGGACGGCTCGAGAGCCCTTAAGTCGGGGCAGCTCAAACAGCGAGTAGAGCACGGCCTGGTTCTTGCTGTCCAGCTGGTCGACTTCGTCCAGGACAATCACCACGGGACGTCCCTTGTCACCGATTCTTGCACGGATGGCGTCCAGGTGGCCGCTACCTTTGATGGGCACTCCCAGGCCGGTCAGGATCTTCTCGTAGATGGAAGCACTTGTCTTCAGCGACATGCAGTTGACAAACAGACACTCAAACTTGTACGTCGCTTTGACGGCTTCGAGGACCCGAGAAAGGCAGGCGGTCTTGCCCGTGCCGGGGGCCCCCGAAATGTACATGCTGGCAGAGGAGCCGGCTTCCAAGTGCCGCCTCAGGAACGACCCTATCAGTTCGACTTCTTTCTGCCGGCCTACGATCGTGACGTCACGCTCGGCCGTGAGGGTCCGCTTGGCCTTGTGGTACAGGGACGTGTCCGCTTTGGCGAGGCACAGTAAGGGGGCACCGACCGGGGAATCGGGCTGCTGACGCGGGGTGCGTCCGTCTTTGCTGGGTTCGGCGTCGGACTCTTCGTCGCACGAGAAGAGTTTTTTGTTCACGCGCCGGTATTTTTCCTGCCTCAAATCGGTTTCGTCTGGGACCTTACCCGGTGTACCTGGCTTGGACGCATCGTGTCTCAAACGGTCAGAACGGCGGTGGTCGCCGCCGTCGTCGTCATCGGTCGACGACTTCCGAGGACTGGGCCTCTTTGTCGCACGGCGGGAGGCCCGTTGCTGCGAGTCGTTCTCGTCACACACGGACGCCGATAGCAATTTCTTGCAGCTCCCAGTTTTCCCGTCTAGATGGGCCGCTTTCCGTACGGGAAGACGCAGGACAGACTGGGTGGAAGGCATCTTGATCGTTCGAAACAATGGTGTCGGGGTTTCTTCGGTCCGGGGAAGATTTTTCGCGCGCCCTTAAGAAACAGGGCGTGTGTTGCTTGGTGCCTTGATCGTCGCGTGAAACATGTCCAGAAAGTTCTTCTAAGCTTGCGGTACGGGTCTGTGTACGTACGTACTCACGGATGAGGCGGGAAAACCACGCGGCGTATGCCGGTCAATGCAGTCACGTAGAAGCAGCTGTTTTGGCGGGATGTGTCTGCTGCTTTCCCGCCACAAACTAGCGTCAGTGCGTCGCTAGGGGCGCCACCATGCAAACTGCCCGCCGCAAAATGTGGGACATCATCTGTAAATTTGACCCTTAATAATCCAAATCGCTTTTATAAGTTAATCTCTTCAGAAATAATACTTTTACCAAGTTTAATTTGATTTAGCCAAGCTTAGAAACCACGCCGACCACACTAGCAACGCTGGTAACCATAGCAGGTAGTTTCGTTTTTACTTTGTTTGCGACGCGTATCTCCTGCCGTCGTGATGTAAACAAGGTGCACATTCGTCCGATTCCCCGGATTCTCAGTGTGCACTGCCATGGGAAAAGGGATGGTGGATTCACCGAGGTGCATAAGAGTGGACCCAGAAGTTCCGTAATGACTGCTGGGTCCGGTTTGCACGGGGGTCGAGCTTTCCCTGTGTGCGCACTCGCACTAACTTCGTTCGTCGTACCCACTTTGATCCTGCTACTGTCAATCGCTGGGAGGGTTTCTTTTGACTCCTTCGAAGCTTGGGCATGGCTAGGACAGCTGCGGCCGCTCGATGTTTGCGCGCCTCACAGTCATCTCGACGAAGTTCTGTCGCTGGCTGGGCTGCGCTCTGCCCTTGCGTACGACGCGTCGAACGTCACCATAATCTGTAGTTTCCGTCCTATTGATCTTGGGAGCCTTACCAAAGATTTCAGCGAAGGAATTTTCGTGAGTATCAACCTTTCATGCGTATTATTACGTACACCCTGTTATTGCCTTCTGCTAACGCTCGAGCGTCCCCTAAACATGGCAACAAGAGAGCATTTTTTTTTTTTTTTTTTTGAAAGAATGATGCTGGTTCTTGATTTTAGCTTGCCTATAGTTAGACCTAGCTAGACCCAGCATGTTTATGAACAGGGCTCCCGTATATACAGACGCGTGACAAAATGTATAGCTGTTATTTATGATTGAAAACGAGCGTGTTGGTTAATAGATACAAAACTTGAAAGAATAAAAGAGGACGAGGATGGTACCAGGGAGGGCTATGTTGCGCTTTTGCACTCCCAGGAGACTAGGGAGGAGGAAGTGACGTCATCAACGCAGCAAATGCAGATTGGATGTTGATTTTGTTTTCCTCTGTCAACATCCAATCTGCGTTTGCTTTAGCCGTTGACGTCGCTTCCTTCTTCCAAGTCTCCTGGGTCTGCAAAAAGCGCAACATAGCACCCCTGGACGTCTTTCCTAAGATGTCCTGGCACCGTGCTCATCCGCTCTGTTTTATTCTTTCAAGTTTTGTATCTGTTATTTATGCAAACGAACACATATGTGTCAACCCATACTCAGTATATATGACTCACCAGTTTTGAAAATATCTTTTTGCTACCCATTCCATTAAACTTTGGCTGCGTCTACAGTGCCGTCCGACAGCACTCCACTCGCGCCTACAAGTGCCGTCCGAAAGAAATTCGGACGGCGCGTGTATATATCGGGGAGCTCGTTAACCCACCACCCCGCCTGCGTTCATGCCGCTTCGCGGCGACAGTATGCGGCTGCTAATTACAACTATACCCACTTGGCTCCGTCGTACACGCCGCTTCGCGGCATCCAGCCGGCAACCCAAGCCCTGCTGTCCCCCATGCACCTCCGGAATGGGAGTCCCATACCATTTTGTTCAGCAAAGTTTCGTCGACAACTTTCGTTTTTTCTTTCTTTTTTAGTGTTAATTGTGAAAAAGAAATGTTGCAAATATCGACAAATGCATCAACAAAACAAAATGTTAGCTCGAACCCGGATCCGCTGCGTTTGAGGCAGACGGCTGAACTCCATGAAACGAATTATGTGACGAATAACTGGCAAATGCCGCCCGACGGTATGCTCGCTTTGCGCGCGAGGTAGCAGCCACTGTGTTGATTCCGCGCAGAGCAAAAGCCGCCGGGCAAAATTGGTTGGTTATTCGCAGCATATTCGTCCCATGGAGTTCAAACTTTAAGCTTCGAAAAACTTGTTTTGGCGGGGGAGGTCAAAATGCATGTCTATACTATAGGGTCGGCTGGATTTCGGGGCAGGCCGAAACCCCATAAGGGCTATGCCACTGATCTGCAGCATTAACTATATTTGCATTCATTGATAAACTACCCTGATAGTCATTTAACCTTTAGCAATTATAGTCGCTTGCAGGATGAGAGCGACGGGGTGTCTTTTTCGGACATTCAGCATGTGGTTGTTGCCTTCAGCTGTGCTTTGGCTGCATGCACGCTCGAAGCTTACGAGAGACTGTAATTAAAGGTAGGAAGTTTGTGCTGGAGGCATGTCCAGTGTAATTCTTTATTGTCATTGACTGTATTAAAAGCCTTGTTCACTTCCTTATTGCGTCTTCGTCTTGCAGGACCGAGACAGTAACCTGCGGTGCCTGCAGTCTTGGGACAAGCCTTACCACAAGGAGAAAAGCTTTCCCCTGTACCTGTTCGGTGCATTCCTGCCACCTCCTGGCCATGCGGCTGGAAAGCCGTGGTGGCTGATTGAATCCTCCGGTTTCGAGCACGACGGAAGAATTGAAAGTGCACTGTACAGATCCCGACCTGGACGCTCGTCCGCCGAAGTATTGTTCCACGGCCTGTTTGGCATGTTCCACCCAAACACGTTTCTTTACACAAGAGCGTCGCCCGTGGGAACGGCTGCTGTGGTTGCTCGTAGGGGAAATGGAACTCTCGATGTTTTGTTCAGGTTAGTTTCCCCTACATAGTATTAGTCTCAGTAAAACTGTTTAGTTTCGTATATGGAGAGCATGTCCGTCCACCCCCCCGCAGAGGACATGATGACGTCGTGTCACCCAGCTCCGGTTGGAGGATAAAGTAGACACAAAAGTGGCGACTGCAGCGTCGTCCGTTAATCGTAACATCAACTAGCTGCCTTTCCTTTTTGATGGTTCTCGGAAATCTACCAGTTTTTTTTATGAATGAGGACCCGGCATTTGAGACTGGAGTTAAGAAATAGCTCGAAGTGTAAATTATTTTTGTCAGTTGACAAATACGAGATGTGCTACAGCAAACAAATTATTCGCAACCGAGACGTCTGCTACGATGACAGAATGAGAATGCGGTTCTGGAGGCCGAACGTCTGCCTCGAATGACTGGCCACCAAGCGCGTGCTGGTTGCCTTCCACCATGCAGTCGCTGCACATGCGTGCATGCTCGAGGCTCACGAGATGCCAAAGCATCATATCAAAGGTAGGAAGGTCACACAGGATACAGGGCAACCGAACGGCCTCGATGCCATGTTAATGCTGCAAATGGCCGTACCCACCGAAGAGAATGGCGTCTGCAGGGGCAGAGCTTTGTTGCACATGTGATCGCTCCCTCTCACCTTTCGGCTCCACCTCTCTCACATGCAGAAGGATGTATTTTGGTTCACTTGCTCATTGTATTTTCGCAGAAACAAGAATTATGTCCAGGGCACCGTTTTACCTGCATCTGATACAGTCGCGGACAACACAAAAAAGCCCAGGCGAGCATGTGGCTCTAAGGACCTTTAAAGCTATCTGACGTAAGACAGCCGAGTTACCATCGAGGTTATTGTGGAAACAAAGTTGCACCGAAGCCACACGCTCGTTTAATTTTCATTGTATTGCCCGTGGCTGCACGACCTCTATTTTCGACAAGGAATAAAATATTCTTAGTGCCCTCCTCCACCATAAGGGTGGTGAAGGTAAGGAAGAGAAGACTACACTGACAGCTTAAGTACGGCAAGCCCCGAGCCTCTTATTATTGCTTCGCAGCCAATGGCATTGTGGCTTTCGCTGATAAAAACAGCAAAGAATGGATCACGAAGCAAGAAGCATGTTGGGCCATGCCCATCAACTCTTATTAAGCTGGCAGTGACAGTAGGAGAATGCACTCTGTGCACTCTAGTTCCACCAGCAAGCGAATCAAGCTTTTGGGAGAGGAGGGTTGAAAGAGAAAGGGGAAGCAAAAGTGTTTTTGGTCCTGCTTACTTCCCCTTTTACTTTTACTACACAGATCCCACGTGGAGTTTCAGCTGAACGAGCCGCCCAGACGGCCCTTTTGGTTTTCACCCAGTCAGTTCAGCGGAAGAATCGTGCTGAGCGAGGACGGCTCGGCGGTGCACCACTTCAACGTGCACGTCCCTGCCGAACGGCGCCTCAACGTCGGTGAGTGAGGCGTTTAGTCACGCTCTTTACAGCTATAGTCGTTTTCGCTTGCTGTAAACTTTCTTGTTTGTGTACGGATGAATAAGAATGAGGGAATAAGAAAAACCCAAGTTACACGGCGAGGAATTCCTATTTGACAGCTTCATTTTGTGTTCCCAAGGAGCACAGCCCCCACTGAATTGTCCGGGAGGTGGCTTCTTTCTTCGGGATCCACAGCTGGATAAATGGATGCTAACGGCTGTACCCTATATAATGGGTGGTAGCTTGTGCCACCTAGCTCTTATCTCGTTTTCTTCTCTTATCGGCATCGGGACATTCCAATTACTGTACAGGTAACAGGGTCCTGAAAGTTAAAAAATTCCACGGCCACATTCAGTTTTCCCAAACACGTGTCCCGACATGCGCCATTTCTTTTTTTTTGCTCGACATCAAAATATAGGGTGGTTCAAGTCACCAGGCTCGATCTAGAATGGACCATAAAAATCGACGCCTACACGTAGCAATCTAAACTTTTCGTCAAAGGTGTATTTCACAGGTCGGTTTTTTCTTGTAAAATTACAAAGCGTAGCTCTCTTTCTGTAAAAAATAAGGCCAAGAAACTTGCCAGGGTCTACGGCGGGCAGCGACGCAGACGACAGGAATCCAGCAGTGGGTGTCTTTGGCGTTCGTACTGATAGATGGCTCTACCCCCTTATCGCGACGGCTCGCGACCACCGTGGTTTATTAAAATGAACATAATTCTTTAGAAATGCACTTTCGGTTAAAAAGTAAATGCGGGCAATAAAAGCAGAACTTAAAGTAAAGAAACGCGTCTGCGTAACGGCGGCACTTTGGCTGCCAACGGATTTCGTCTGCGTGTCGTCTGCTTTCTTTCGCTGGTCGGCTGCACCTTCGGGCGCTGCTCCCGACGCCATCTATCATTACAAACGTTAAACACACCCCGCTACTGGATTCCTGTCGTCTGCGTCGCTGCCCGCTGTAGACCCCGGAAATTTTTTTCGCCTTATTTATCAGAGAAAGAGAGCTATGCTTTGTAATTTTACAGGAAAAAACCGACCTGTGAAATACACCTTTGACGAAAAGTTTAGATTGCTACGTGCAGGCGTCAACTTTTACGGTCCATTTTAGATCGAGCCCGGTGACTTGAACCACCCTATAGACACAAAAGAATGCCAAATTCGTGGGATAAAGAAACAACAAAACCCTGGCTGTGTAAACACGAAACCCTATTTCAAATTGCTGGCTGTTGGTGAAAGGTGGATGGTGAATGGAGTAGAAGTGAAGGCTTTTGTGTATGTCTCTTCCTAGATTTGGAGTGGCTAACTGGCTCGCAACACGACGGAGACGAGGAATCTATGGAGGTAGACATCGGTCACATTCCCGAGATGGCACTGCACTTTGTCGGGGGCGAGACACCTTCCAACGTCACGTGGAGCTATGAGATGTCAACGAAGGAGGCCCGACAAGCGCTCGATCGAATGTTCTTCCCATTCCTTAATGCAAGTACTCTTCAATATGTTGCTCTAGTCTGTTGCGGGTTAAAAAAGGCGTGACAAACCCCACAACAAAGCTTTCGGCTTGTCGTGATTGGTTGTTTCCTCCTCTCCACTCACCCCCTTTCCAGCATTCGCTCTGCTAAAGTGGAAAGAGCTTGTCCTGCATTTTTTTCATAGTGCAACCAACTCGTATGTGTCGGAAGGACATTGCCTTCCTTCCAGAATTCGTCCTTTGCAGCTAATATTATGGGCTGCTTTGAATTCCCAGAGTCCATGGTTTTTAGATCGACGTAGAACAAATGAAGGTACTTCTTGCTAGAGATCTGTATGCTTGAAGAGAGAATCGGGGCATTTGTGGTTGTACGAACATGATGACTGACATACCAAGGTTTTCTCTCCTGCGTTAGCATTTCTTCTGATTATTAACACTGCATGCCAAGTCATAACTCTATAAGGGGATAAACTTTACCTTTTTCTTCAATGAGACTGATTTCATTTTGATTTTTAGTGCTTTGGTTTGGTTGAGGAGTTAAGTGCTTGCAAAATTAGGTTGAAAATCTCATTGGTTATATGTAGTATTGTATAATTACCACGCTAACCTTTATTAGGAATTGGCATAAGAATTTAATCATTGCATGTGGTAATTTATTTCCTGCCCTGGTCATTAAGCTTCACGACAAAAATAAAGGTGTGCTTTTCTTAGCCTGAAGCTGTTGAGGAATGCCAAAACGAGAAAAAGGAATCGACATGAAAGAAGACTCTATTTTTCGTCCTTGACTTTGCTGCCACTCTTCAGCAACAATGTAAAAAAAAAAAATTGATGTTTGTGTTTAGACAGCATTAGGCCAGTCTGCCCTTGAAATATGACGACACTGGTTTATGCTGTAAATGAGAAATTGGTGCAGTACGACTGCTAGCCTGGGGCCTTTAAAGGGACACTGACAGGGTATTTATGCTCGCCGAGGTTTTTAGTTTTACGTGACATATGAAAGCCTACCACCCAGAACAGAATTTGCAGCTTGAAATTTGGTTTCTTTCTGCCCGAAAACCGCCGATCGAGAACTGGCCGGTTTGAGTCACGCTCCTTCTCTTTTCTGTGGTCACGGGCCGTTTTCTAATGTTTAGACCCGACCACCAAATTTAATCAAAGTCGTGGGTCATTGAAGGCACACAGTCAATATTAAAATTAGAAAAAAATATGAAACATCTTTTTTTTTGGCTTTCAAAAAGCTGCAAAGACGTTGATTGAAAAAAAAAAAAGGTAGCACAGACAACCCGAAGCATTATGTGCGTTCACTGCATAATTCTCATCATGGCGTCGTTTCACATATTGTGGGACTAGCGGATGGCAGCGGACGACGGGGGGGCACCTCTACTTCAGAACTGTCGTTCACGGTACCGGCGAATTCTGTCTTCCTTCGAAAGAGAAATTTCGGACCGATCAAAAGAATTGATATTCATCTCGTACGACACGCCCGACCAGCAAGCCGATTGCACGAAGACCTCGCCAAGCTGTCGTCACTTCTCGTGGCTGAAGACATCGCTCGCTCAAACGTCAAGCACGAAGTGCGCACTTCGAGTTGAATACGCAAGCGTACGGTTTCTTTACGAGGTGCGAATGTGGCCTATGCGTGGTGCTGCCCGACTTCATGCTGGAAGTGCATGTACTGGAGGGAAATCGGCTGCGAACTTCCGGCACACAGTCGACCCATTGCATTATTACGCAATAATGAGTTCCTTCAGTAGCTCAGTGGAAAGACGTCCGCTTCACACGCAGCAGGCACGGGTTCAATCCCTAGAGTGTGTGCAGCATTTTTTTTTTTTTTTTTGTCAAGCATTTTGCGATGTTTACATTTCTTTTTTTACAATTATCACTGAAACTAACAATTGTTGTGGACGATACGTCACTGAACTGAATGGTATGGGATTCCATTTTTGACACCTGCGAACTCAATGTAGTCACTTTCCACAAAATACAAGGAGCATATGAATTGAGTAGCGTCCGCTTTCCAAGCTTCGCATAGCTGTTCTAAAGGAATTGCAGCCAGCCATTGATCCCGACTCGTGCGGCGGAACAAACATAACTGCAAAGGAATCGCACGGCAAACGGATCCTGCAACGCATTTCGTCTGCTACGTGCGGCAGAAAAATTAAAAAAAAACAAAAAACGCACGGTTGGGTGTAGCCACATGACTTCCACCACTCCAGTCTCTCCTCTCCACTTCTCCGTGCGGTGCGGGAGTTTCGGTTTCGAGCAGTTGCGTTTTTTGACTTTATTAAAAAAGTAAATGACCCTGTAGCAAAATATTAATTGGGCAGTATTCCGACACCATAATGAATCGCCTGGCAAAAAAAAGAAAAAACATTTTTGGGGGGTGTCAGTGTCTCTTTAACATGCATCACATGGTAGTGAGACACGACCGCATGCCGGTACGATCCTCATGCAGATCGAAACAAGCAGGGGCAGGGATTGACCCCAGGATCGCTGGATTTTGCTGCGCAAGGTTTAGCTCTACGCGTTCCGAGCTGTGGTGTGCTAACGCACTTGACCATCGCTTCCCCTCAGCAATGTACAAAGTTTCAGCAGGTACAACAGTAGCGTTATATACAATAAAATTCATTTAAAGGGCAACCCCACTTCATTTTTGTTTTTGAAAAAGCAATGCAGCCCTCTTCAATATCACCTAGGAAGACCACACATCAGATATTACGACGTAATTCTGTCTAAATGTTTCTTAAACTTCCCGGCAAACTTTGCAACTCGCCCAGTTGCCGAAATCGGTTGACTCGAGCGGGCGAATTGAGGCGCAACCAACAGCGCAGTCAGGGCTACGACGTGGGCATAGCCAACATTGAGTTAAACGTCATCTCCATTGCCCCCTTTTGCTTGTTTTTACTTCTCTGGGCAAGCGTGACAGGTGACATCAACAACGTTTCCTCTTGGCGCGCCTGCGCAGCGCGCTTCTTGGGAGCCATTTGGCCGCCCCGCCGTTATCGCCTTTTTTCATGTCACAACTGCCGTCGTCATCCCACCGTTTCTGATTCTTGTCTCTCGGAGTTGCGTCCACACTACGGACACTATGTGCGCAGACTTGCGGCGCAATTGTTCTGACGTCGCCGAATGTCGTAGACACCAAAACGTGGTGACGTGCGCGGCGCAGACGACACTTGCGCCTGGCATACGCCCGCCCCAGTCCCGCCCGTTGTTGCGTAGTGGATCACGTGACATCTCATACCACACAACAGTCATGTTATTGGCGGCGCGAAGCCAATGTTGCTGAGCGAAGCCGAAGTTTCGGTTTTGATTTTTGTAGATTTAAAAATATATATCACATTTTTCGTGAAGCAAATGACATATTGTCTTTTACTAGGTCTTTTTAATGTGAAATCACTTATTCCGAAATCTTTTTAATTGAAAAGTTTCCCTTTAAGAAAACATGATGCAAGTACCGTGTTTATTCAAATAAAAGTCTTTTTTTTTTTTTTTTTTTTTTTCGGAAATCGTGATTAAAGAATTTCGACCTACTTTCACGACCAAATTTTGCGACCCTACCGGAGGCATGGAGCTATCGAGTCACCGAGCCGGCGTTGCCATAGAGCCGCGCCGCTTCTTGTTTCAAAAAGCTCTTGGTGCACGAAAACAACCGAAATGGCCCGCCCGCGGTGGCCGGTGCCGCTATCGCGCGCAACTCGGGCGTCGGGTTTTGCCATCGCGACTCTAGCCACTAGCGTTCCCCTTGCTGGGCAACGGAGAAGGAGAGGAACGCTATGCGCCATGCACTTTGCCCTCCATCCTCGCAAACGCGCACAAAAAAAAAACCCGAAAAAAACTGAGGTTACTTTTGTTTGTTGCTTGAGGCGGCTCGGCCAACGCTCCGCTCGCGTGTTGCTTATGGCGACACGGCGGCTTTGCTTGCGTCTTTGTAGTTTGTCTTTCGTCGCTTCGCACCTTCTTTCGTTTCTCCTTGTCGTCATTTTACAATGGTGTCTATGAAGTACTGTTGCGAATTTGAGAGGATGTCTACCAAGCTGACGAAGCTTCGGACGACGATGACATGTCCAGAAGTTCTGACGGTGATTAAGTTTTTGGCATCGCCCCATGATTTAGCTGAGAGCGATGTAAGTAAAGGAGTTTCTTTTGCCCAAAATTTCCCCTGTTCATAAGAATAATAAAAAAAAAAGGTTGACCTACATTTGAATTATTTTTTTTTATTCTCGGTGGGTCCAACAAATAGGGTTCGACCTATTTTCGAGTAAATGCGGTAATCTTTCCATCTCCAGGTGCCTTACCACAACCTGACCACAGCAGCTGCACTAGCACGGCAGGAGAGGAAGATGGTCCACTCGGTCGTGCTGTGGGGCAACTTGGATGACCAGTCATGCTGAGGCAGTGGGAGGACCCTGCGCAGGGGTCCTTTGGGCTCACCAAAGGTGCAGGAGCTGCTGCTGAAGCACTTCATCAGCATGTGGAGCATCACGGCACAATTGAAGGCAAGAAGGCGCCGTCATCAGTGTAGTCCCCAAACGCCAGCCTAGGGTCAGTCGTTGGCCAAATGTCAGTGCATCAGAGCACGAGTTCTAAAACTTGTCAATCTTGAAGAACCCGTATCTGTTTATAACGGCGGCCGAGCAACCCCTCTCGGTCTCAGCATTCACAAAATAAAACGGTGCGGAAGCATGCGGAGCTTGTAAAGTATACTGCACATACTGGGGGAATGTATTGCACATAGTTGTGCATCAATGGGTGACTCAGACCTGCTAAAATAAAACCTAAACTGAAAAAAAAAAAAAAAAGGGATATTTATGGCAAAGACAGTTTGGAAATTTAGGAGCTTGGGGAACCCATGGCTGTACCCTGGGGTGCACCAAGATTCCTTGGAACCTAACTTGAGCACTCGCGTACCTTAGTAAAATTGCATGTGGAATAAAATTGTTTCGCTTCGCTCCGTTTCACATTACGGCGTACTGCAGTAGATATTACGGGCCATGTAAGGCAGTCCAACATTCCATGCATGTTGCGCATGGCTCCACACGTAGCTCCACCTAAACGGAGGGTCATGTGACATGCTCCGGGCCATGGATTGGTCCCTCTGGTTCGTAGCATCCGTTTCTGTACATCTAAAGGAGAAACAGGGTATGGAGGCTCGAAGGCGTCGAGTTTGATGTCCGCCCCTCCTGTTTTAACCGAGGTTTGCAGTCATGTGGCTGAACTGACTAAATTTCCCCTCTGAAGTAGAGATGCACTGCATGATGCCATGATGCATGTTCGATTGTTGCACAGGCCAAACTGCCAGCGCAGCAGTTTGAAGAGTGCATCATGGTAGGTGATTGCCACTGGATGATGCACTGTCGAAATTGCAGTGGAAAATTACATCGCTGCATGATGGACTGGTCTAAATGCAGTGCATCGTGTAATGATAGTCCACTAGATAGTGTACTGACCAAATTCCATTGTGCAAATTAAAATTATATTGTTCCGTGATGCATTGGCCAGATTACTGGACCATAAATGTGTCTGGTGCGCCATCCCTAAAGCTGCACTGTCCAAATTGACTCCCCACATCAAATATACATACAGGGAGCAGCTGTCAGGCATCTGGCACACCTGCGCAAGATAATCGCGATTATCAATCCTTTTAACCGACTATATGAGCAATGACCACCTGGGAGCGTGCTCACAAACCAGTTTACAGACGACAAACATCCAGTATAGGGCATAAAAAATGCACGGCCGCCGTTTTTGCTCTATTTATAATATTTTACCATGCCTGACTTGAGCTCCGATAAAACTACAGGAGGACGCTTGAGCTTTGCCTTTAAGAGTGGAACGCAATAGCTAAACATATAAATCCCTGCTCGTTCCCAAGCCGTGGAAGCTGTCTGCATGGCCTAGTCGGTAACGTGTCTGGCTCACAACCGATGGGTCGTGGGTTTGAATCCTGCCTCCGCCTAAAATTCTTCAAATTTTTCTAAGGGGGGACACTACCCAGAAAAAACAATTTTTGGAAAAAAAGTTGATTTTGACAAATGTCATATTTACAGCCACCAACATCCAGAGAGTATTCCCAGAAAGTTTCATTAGTTTACACTGCATAATTAATTTCTCATAAATTTTTTTTGGTACACCAATGCCAAAGAAAAGGTAGTGGTTGGAGCACTTCGAATGCATTTTTCTCCATTCCAATTTTCGGCAGAAATTTCGCTTTAGGAAAACTATCGTTTTGTTATTACGTAACTTGGATTCACTTTTAAAAGTTTTTCTGGGGTGAAATTTTAAGGGAAGATAACTATGAGCTTGTATTTTTTTTTTTTGTCATTTTTCATGCTCAAGAACTAAACTTTTGGACAAAGTATGGACATCTAAAAAACAGTATTTGTTTTTCTCTGGCTTTTCTGTCATGAAAAATGGTATAATATAGAAATATAGCTCCATAATTATCTGCTGTGAACTGTCCTGAAGCAATATAACACATGAAAATGACAAATTTAAAAGTAATTTCAAAACGATAGTTTTCCTACACAGACACGGCCACTTTCATCTTTGAACATTTGCAATCTTTTTGTACATCACCCAGGTTAACAAAATTTGGCAGAAATGTTCTCAACGTGAACAGAAACAAGCCCTGTAAATCTAATTTAAATCAAACAAGCGGTGCAAACATTCACTTTTTTGGGTAGTGGCAAAAAATGATTTACTTTATCAAGTGAAATCATTTTAAACATGCGGCGACCTTTCATTCTCATTACATGTCATGTTTTAATCACTGTAATTCCATGCATCACGTGAGCATTGTGGGTTGTTTGGAATTCAAATTTTGCAAAGCAAGCCAAATGTATTAGCACTTACGGCCGTATCCTGTAAATAAGACACTACTTTTTAAGGTAGCTAACTTCCCATTGTTTGGCACTAAACATAATCGTCAAAGTGTTCTGCTTTGAAGTCCCAAAAGATAGCATAGCCATCGTCACTAAATTGTTCACCAGAGTATGATGTTCCATAATAGCTGCTCAGAATGGAAGTGAAGCATGTTGATTGACTGCTAGCTGCCGTCACAGCACCAGCTGAACCTGCCGGCTGAGAGCATGGTTAAACAACATACAACCACAATCGAAGTGGCAATATCATGAATTTATACAACTGTCTTGAAGTATGTGTTCACGCATCCCATGCGGGGAATTCCTTCTCAGTGCAGACATCTTGCCTTTCCTTATGTCAACTTTGGGGACTTAATCAGAGCAAAGACTTGTACTAAATAAAGAGACCCACTGGACTATGTGGGCAGAAATTGAGGGAGAGTAGGAGATGTCAGATATACAAGCTCTGGTTGGAATGATTAGTAGATAGCCTGAGAGCTAGATGCCTTTGTGTCCACTGCACTCATCAAGCGTGTTCAAATGCGAAAACCAAACCCCATGGACTCATCGTTCCGTGTCCTAGCCAAGGCTTTCGACGAGTGCAGTGCAGACAAAGGAAGCTAGCTTTGTGTCTACCCACTAATCGTTCCAACCAGAGTTTGTCATTTTGACATTCCTGCGCTTTCGTCTCCTTCTCTCCCCATTCTCTGCCCGCACGAACACTGTAGCACTCTGTCACAACTCTTTTGTACTGTCAAGCCTAGTGCAGCATCCACAGTACTGCAGCCCTGCTCTACTGCAAAAACATGCAATTTCGTCTTGCATATCATTCGCATGCTTCGACAAAGCTGGAGCATTGCAGAAGCTACGCTGGTCTCCACACCGTAGCACAAAACAGTTGAGGCCGAATAGAGATCCCCGCAGGGGGCACCTGTGAAAGCAGGTGTTTGGAGGGTGGCGTCTCCACGGACCCCGAGCCATGCGGGTTCGCCCGCCCACGTATGGCTGTGCGTGGCTTTCCCGTGTCCGGGGAAAAGGGCATCCTGGTGGTTGAGCCGAGCCCGGGGTAGGTTTGGACCCTTCGGGGCCCCCCAGGTGAGGCAATACACCACTTCGGCCCCTGCTTCTCGTAGACGGGAGTCCTGGTAAGGCCCGGCCAGGATGATTCAGTCTAGTCGCCACTTCTACTATCCTCTCTCTACTTTCACCCTTGTCTTCTCCTCCTTTTCACTCTTCTCATTTCTCTTCTTTCCTTTTCAACTCCTTTGGCGGCAAGGGCTAACCTTGGGTGGCGACAGACACCTTGTCCAAAACCACTCTTGGTTATAGAGACTGGGCAGCACTAATAGCGTAACGTCTTCAGCCAAGCCATTCTTGTTATGGAGCGTTACCTACTCCCTTGTTGGGCTCGGTGGTGGGCGGTGCACCACAGTTTCCGAAAACCCTCCCCCTTCATATGGGTTCCAAACTTAAACCTTTTGATCGGCCCCCCAAAAGGGGCCGCACCGAAGCACTGAACACAAAACAATCTTTTGTACTGGAAAAATTCCCGAAGTTCCTTGTTATGCACTCGGAAGGTGACAAGCCACTTGGCAAACTTTCTCCCTTTCTAGTCTCCAAAGTTCTTGAGGGTGTTATTGGCGCCAATTACAATGCAAAGAAGATGGGATCTGATGATCTCCTTGTCGAGGTCAACACAAAGCAGCAAAGTGATGCCCTCCTTAAATCGAACCTTGTCTCTGACTACAAAGTAAGCGTAAGTCCTCACCGCAAACTGAACAGTGTTCAAGGGGTCATTTCTGAGGATGACTTGCTTGACTCACCTGAGCCAGAGATAATTGAGGGCCTCTCTAGTCAAGGAGTTATAGATGCACGACGAATCACTATCCGCCGTGATGGTGTGGAACGGAAGACAAAACATATAATTTTGACTTTCGATTCAACCACTCTGCCGCAGACTGTAAAGGCAGGTTACCTTCAATGCCGGGTCCGACCTTATGTGCCGAACCCTCAACGGTGCTTTAAGTGCCAGAGGTTCGGCCATGGGTCACAGAACTGTCGGGGAAGGGACACCTGTGCAAAGTGCTCCAGCAAGGAACACGTTGCAGATGTGTGCGATAATGAGCCTCATTGTGCGAACTGTAGTGGCAACCACCCGGCATACTCTCGATCTTGCCCTGTGTGGAAAGACGAGAAAGAAGTTCTTACATTAAAAGTTACCGAAAACATTACCTACACTGAGGCAAAGAAGCGCTTTGCTTTTGTATCGAAGGGCTCTTATGCCGAGGCCGTGCGCAGGGGACCAGCGCGGCCAGTAGTTTCGATGGGAACGCAGACGTCTCCGGACGACCTGCATCTCCCGTCACGGTCCCCCTCTAAACCCCCGAGAGCGGCGCCAGTGGCACCGCCTCCGAACCGCAAGGTGAATGCTGCTTTGCCAGCATCCGCCCCAGAACAGGAGATGTCGTCTCCTGCTCAACCGGCTGCTTCGACCTCTCGGGGTCGGGGCCTACCTCCCCACACCTCTGCTCCTCAGAGGAAGCCTGGGGAGGTGCCAAAGCAGTCGACCTCCAAGGGCCAGCTGCCAGCAACTGCAGACGAGCCCATGGACGAGGGTGGGTCGAGATCTGATGAGGAGGCTCTCCTCTCAAGATCAGAGTCCACCCCCTCTGCCTCCGGTGACTCTAACCGGAGGCAGAATAACCCGCCTAAAAAAACAAAGTGCGCCGCGTGTAAAAATTTATTTTAAACCGTAAGGAATATAGCTTTTTGATATAATTTGTATGTTATACTTGTTTTGTTTTAAATGGTTAAAAATATAGGTATAATGCAGTGGAACTGCCGCGGTCTTTTTCGTAATATTGATGATGTCAACTTTTTTCTCGATGAGCTCCAGCCTGTTGCCATCTGTTTACAGGAGACTCATCTTAATGAAACAGATACTCGGGTACTACGGCGACATCAGGTTTTTAGAAAAGACCGTGTTTCTTGTAACACCTCTTCTGGTGGAGTAGCTGTGGTTGTGCAGAGTGGTATTGCCTGTGCGCCTGTCCCTCTCGCAACCCCCTTAGAGGCAGTAGCAGTTCGTGTTCTGCTTGACCGCCTAATTACTATTGTTTCGCTTTACCTTCCACCAAACTTTCCAGTGCATTTACATGACCTGCAAGGGCTTGTGGGCCAACTGCCACAGCCTTTTTTAATCTTAGGAGATTTTAATGCACACCACCCCATGTGGGGCAGTGCTCGTCAAGACTCTCGTGGCGGTGTCATAGAACGTTTTTTTACTATCATCTGGCCTTTGCCTATTAAACAAGAGACAACCAACTTTTTTTAGTGCACCTCATAATACTTTTACTTCCATTGATCTTTCCATATCATCACCTACTTTACTTCCCTGCTTTTCTTGGAAGGTTTTAGAAAATCCTTTCGGTAGTGACCATTTTCCTGTAATTTTAGAAAGTTCAGTATCCCTTCCTTCTCTTCGAGCTTGTGCTCCCAAGTGGAAGTTAGATAAAGCCGACTGGGCTTTATTTTCTCTGGAGGCAGTGGTTGATCCCGCTGTTTTTTAGCTATGTCTCCTGAGGAAGCGACTCTTTATCTTACCGAAAAAATTATAAATGCTGCTTCTCTGTCAGTTCCCCGAACTTCTGGAAATATTCCCAAGAAATGCAAGCCTTGGTGGAACAAGGATTGTACAACCACCATGAAAGCTCAGGATAAGGCTTGGGGAAAGTTTCGGCGGTACCCGACGGTTCAGAACAAGATCAAATTCAAACAGTGTAAAGCAAAAGCCCGTTGGACACGAAAACAAGCCAAGAAGACCTCATGGGTGAAATATGTATCCTCCCTAAACAGTTTTGTTCCTGCAAAAGAGGTATGGGATCGTGTTAAGAAAATTCGAGGTACTTACCACTCCTTCAGCATTCCCCTTTTTCCTTCATCATCCCCATCACTAAAAGATCAGGCTGACATTCTTGCTGATCATTTTCGAGAAGTCTCCAGTTCTTCAAATTACTCTACCAAATTTAAAAAGTTCAGGTCCTTGGCAGAAAAACAGCATATTGATTTCTCTGGAAGTGATACTGGTTACAACCGGCCGTTCACAATGTGTGAGCTTGAATTTGCCCTTGCAGTAAGGAAGCAGTCGGCACCTGGTCCAGATATGATTCATTATGAACTGCTGAGGCACTTGTCGGCTGAATCCTTGGTGAATTTGTTGTCTTTCTTTAATTATTTATGGGAAGCTTCTTGTTTTCCACAGTGCTGGAAGCGAGCACACATCATTCCCATCTTGAAGCCTGGCAAAGACCCTTCCCTACCACCAAGTTATCGGCCTATAGCACTGACTAGTTGTCTAGGAAAAACTTATGAACGGCTTATTAACAGAAGGCTAGTATACATTCTAGAACAAAAGAAAATTTTTGATAAAAACCAGTGTGGTTTTAGAAGAGGTCGCTCAACCTTAGATCACCTTGTCCGGTTGGAGACTTTCGTGCGTGAGGCTTTTGTGAACCGGCAGCATTGCGTTTCTGTCTTTTTTGATTTACAGAAAGCTTACGATACGGCATGGCGGTACGGAATACTTCAGGACCTGTATAGGTGTGGCGTTCGTGGTCGCATGCTGCGTTGCTTAAAGGACTTCTTGACAGACCGTTTCTTTCAAGTCCGCCTGGGATCCACGCTCTCAGATGTTTTTACACAGGAAAACGGCGTCCCACAAGGAGGTGTCTTGAGTGTTACCTTGTTTGCAATTAAGATCAACAGCCTCGCTGCAGTTATACCACCATCAGTCTTTTATTCATTGTACGTAGACGATGTCCAGATCGCTTTCTCCTCATGCAACTTGTCAATTTGTGAGCGCCAATTGCAGATAGCAATAAATAGGATGAGTAAGTGGGCCGATGAAAATGGCTTCCGGTTTGCACCAGAAAAAACAGTGTGCGTGCCTTTTTCATTACGTCGAGGGTTGTCGCTAGATCCCAGCTTGCAGATGAATGGCATTGACGTAACCGTTAGGCATGAGCACAAATTCTTGGGTGTTATTTTTGATAAGAAGCTCACTTTTCAGACCCATCTAAAAGAACTGAAGCGAAAGTGTCTTAAATCTGCCAATGTTCTCAAGGTGCTTGCACACATGTCCTGGGGTTCTGACAGGAGATGCCTCCTGCAACTTTACAACTCGCTGGTTCGTTCCCGCCTCGACTATGGTGCGGTTGTATATGGCTCGGCACGACCGTCATCTTTAAAAATGCTAGATCCTGTGCATCACCTTGGACTTCGACTTGCCACGGGGGCCTTCCGAACGTCGCCTGTCCCGAGTTTGTATGCAGAGACGTACCAAATGCCACTAGAAAAGCGAAGACAGTTCCTCAGCCTATGCTATAGTTATAAAGTCAAATCTGACCCTGAACACCCATCCTTCCGTTGTTTGCAGGTATCTCCTTTTTTTCGTCTTTTTGAGAATAAGCCAAGTATAGTACGGCCTTTAAGCCTCCGCATTCAATGCATGTCTGCATCCCTGCAGCTTGCACTTCCTGAGCGTAGCTTGATGACGAAAGTTCGAAGCATTGCTCCTTGGAAGGCGGTGCACTATACCTGTGACTGGTCACTAGCGAAATACAATAAGCGAACTGTTGCACCACTAGTCCTTCAGCAAGAGTTTATGGCCTTGCAAGCTAAGTATAAGGACCATGCACAATTCTTCACTGATGGTGCAAAAACTCCACACTTTGTCGGTTCGGCTGTATATTCAGAACACTTTGTAAAAGCTCGACGGCTTCACTCTGTTGCCAGCATTTTTACTGCAGAACTTTATGGTGTGCTCATGGTTATTGAATATATATTAGGCAACAACATCAGGAAAGCTATCTTGTTTGTGGACTCCCAGAGTGCTATCCTCTCTCTCTGTTCCCTCAATGATTCTAAGAATCGGCTCGTGCAACAAGTACGGGTAGAGTTAAACCTGGCTTCCCAAATGGGATACAATATCAAGCTGTGCTGGGTACCAAGCCATGTGGGAATTTCAGGTAATGAGAAGGCGGATAGGCTGGCAGCGTCTGTTAAGGATGCTCTGGAAACACCCGTTCAGCTGCCTCAAGAAGATTTTAAACCAGTTCTTAAAAAAGCAATTAATAATGCCTGGCAGCAAGACTGGGACAAAGAAATAAATAATAAGCTACATGTCATCAAACCACGTTTGGAGGTATGGGAGAGTTCGCACCATAGAGACCGTCACCATGAAGTTTTAATGTGTCGTTTGAGAATTGGACATTCACGTGTCACCCATCAACACCTTCTTTGTGGTGAGGACGCCCCAGTCTGTGAGCATTGCGGTGAATTGCTAACAATGCTGCATATTCTATGGCACTGCAAATTCTTTGATCAAGAACGTCGAACAAGTTTCCCTGCACTTTCTGGATACCTTCCATTTCATCCAGCCTTTTTACTGGGAGATCAACCTTTAGTTCCTTTTGGTCATATTTTAGATTTTCTTAAAAAAACTGGCTACCTGCACCAGTTATAGATCCTCCGCATAGTAATTCCTTCCTTTTACTATAGTCTTTTAACTATTCCTTTGGCGCAGCATGGCCTATGTTGCTTTTGCGCCATTAAACACCTAATAATCAATCAACCGAATAGAGATACCTTATCAAGCGACTTAATTTTTTTTTTTTTTTTTGTATACATAGGAAATCAATGCTTTGGACGTTGAAGACACTGTAAAGAAGATGGCTACAGCCTGCCTTGGACAATACCGCTTTCCGGTCCAGATCGTCTGCCTTCTTCCTGACGCCACCATTGTAAACGGCATAAACGCAAATGACATCCTTGATATCGACACCGTGGACGAGGATGAATTTGTTGGGTGGGTAAATGGTGCTATGGTCTGTTCTTTTTTTAGCCTTGGTGTATGAATATTGATGCATAAAATGGCTTCTATTCCTCCGCTCTTCCAGCTTCCTAGAGCAGCAGTTTTAGCTGTGCTTCTTGGCATGCTTAGTATGCTTCACTCTGTGAGGGCACACTTCACAGTGTGTCCAATTCAGACTTTTGTGGCAGCAGAGCCTTAAAATGGCAGCATGGCCATTTATTTCTTGAAACTATACTTCTTTCTGGCTATGCTTCTTTTTGAGTAATATGCACGATTTAGGTCTCTCCTTACAAATTCAAAAATGAAACAAGACCTACTGTAAAATACCAAGCACGAGCCCATGCCATAATAAGCACTCGCTCATTACTTACGTAACATTTAAAAAATAAGCGAAGGTTAGCCCAGATTTCTGAGCTCACCTGGCTAACTGAGGTGCTGTTCTGCGTTAATCGCTTTCTTGAGCACACTGGTTCAAAGCGATGAAACTCAACGCCATCATGTGCCCCTTCTGCATTTTTGCACTCTGACCGTCCAAGCACCTATCTCAAGGTTCTCCCCAGATTATCTCCCAATTTCAAATGTTCATGTGCTCGGCATTTTGCAGTAGATATTTCTACAAAAGCAGGCACTTTCATTCCTTATCTTTTTCACATGCCAAGTCATGCTAAAAGGTTTTACTAGGGTGCCTACATGTTTCCGTCGCTCCGCTGTTTGGGGTGGCGACAACGTTTGTGATACCTGTTGCCGACAAACCAGTGTTGCCTACCTCGTTACCATGGCAGCCTCCGCTGTTTCGTCGACCATTTTGTCACACTCGCCAGTTGTGCGCTCGCGCTACTCCGCTAATCCTCGTTAGGGCTAGGGAGCGCCCACCGCTCTCGTTCCGACGGCGAGGTTTCGGTGTGCGATGCCGGTCTGTTGCGTTCCATTTTGTCAAGGGGACTCACGTTTCGATAAACGCAACACATACTTCCTGCTTGCAACTTCAAAATATGAAACACCTGAATAAAGAGAGCGACAGCCACGACGACCGCCATCCCGCTGAGCCTCCGACTCGTCCGACTCCTCTTATGAACGGAAACGGAAGTGGCCTCACAGTGTTGCCGGTGTGTCGAAACTACTACGAAAACTCAACGTTGTGTATGTTTAGCGAAATAAGAAGTGGGTGAAAATGGCGGTGGGAGAGGTTCTGGGAAAGGGTAACAAGAAGTTGCGCCACCCTAAAGCGGAGCGGAAACATGTAGGCACCCTAGGTTTTACACTAGTTTTATTTAGGATTTGCATTTTTGAAAGATGTCTGCCTTGTTCGCTACAGTAGTGGTTCCTAACAGTGCAATATGTTTTCACACTATATTGCATTAAATGCATTGACGCTCTTTCCCAGGTTTAGTGACCCACTCGACATGAGGTACCACCAGTTTCTGGTTTCCTGCATCGAAATGGCAGACAAGGTTCACAACTTCAACAAGCCGCCGGTGCCTAGGAGTGAGCTGTAGGACATTTTTGTTTGGGCCCAAACCCAAACTCGCTCTCCAACTGGAGAGTGAGTTGAAGCTACAAGGGCTCCATTTTTCCTGTACTGGCGGGGCGTGCTATAGAGTCCCCCTGGCAGTTTCAAACCGGTCTCGCAAAGATGAGATGGAGACCAGCAACCTAAACCCTTTTTCCTATACTATCTCCATATCATTCTGCCGGCTTGCAAAGCCTTTCTTCAGCAGACGGCACATGGCTGCCTGCTGAAGAATGAATCGCCAATTGAAAGGTCACCATTTGAAAAATGTTTAAGCGACTTCCTGCAATCCTCTTAATTACTCTCACAGCCTTATAAACAGCGCAGTAGGTGGCACTGGTGTCTTGTCCGACGGTCATCTTGTGTACAAGATGAAGTCGATCAAATGGGCAAGGCTTGAAACTTGTCACAGTAATCGCGAGGGCTGGTGGCGCGGGATAAGGTTATTGCCCAAAGTCACTGGAAATGAAAACAATTTGAAGAAGATGCAGCTCCACTCGGAGTAAAGCGTCCAAGAATGTAAATAGGTTATATTGAAGTGGTTGTTTGAAATGAATGGATGTCATGGTTCGTTAACCCTATGAGCGCCAAGATTTCTTTTTTCCTGCACGTCGAACACAAATTTTTGGTCCCATGCAGAAAAACTTTAGCAGGTCTTATGAAGTATATATATTTATCAAAGACACACTGATCTATGGGCTTGAAAGTTAATTGATGTCTGCATGCCTCCGACCTAAAATATTTTTCTCAAATTATACTGTTTTGAGACGGTAATATGAAAAGTGGCACCCCGACTTTGCACCCTGGGGTCACTTTATTTAAGTGGCCTTAAACAACATTTTTTTTTATATATACAGAAGTAAGATTTTCTTATTTATTTTATTTACTTATTTCTAGATTTCTGTGGTCACCATAAAGCTCGAGGTTGGGCGGCATAGTATTGGCCTTCTGGAACAACGAAGGAACAAACCTAGGCAGAAGTCTCCTAAACAAGACTTTCTGCATGCCATCAACGGGCATTAGTACATGACAACTATCCTCTACGCGTAGAAATAAAATCGATAGCCCAGTTGGGAGAGGTAGGTAGCAAATCGAAACAAAACCCTGCATGGCAGTGTGCCGGTACTCAAAGTGTTAATGGTAAATGTGAAGGTGCTCTCGTCTCTAAATCCTTTTATTCGAGAATATATCATCCTGCCCCCGAGTCTCTCAACCATATTTAAATATTTCATGCCACTTCTGAAGCGGACAATCGGTGATGCAACTTGTTTGCCCCATAACGAACAGCCATATGAACACAATCAATCAAAAGGGTTTGGCGTGAAGTCTAGTAAAACCTCCAAATCATTCTTGCAGCTTCACTCCCGCCGTATGGCGGCTTGCTGCACGCCGAACAAGCAATCAAAGTTTTTTACAATTTACAAAGCAGTTTTATTGCCTTTGATAGAAATGCGGAATTTATAGCAAAGCCGAGTTCATGAGGCCTTTTTTGGAGGAAGGGGGGGGAGTCCCTTTTTAGGTCTCTCTTAGGACTGCCGATTTTGGTGTCTTTTTTTTTTGTCTGGATTACTCTTGAGCTAATCAAGTACAGAGACAAAACAGTCTGTGCGGCGCGAGCATTTAGCAGCCTCTGGTGCCTTCCTGTAGCCGTCTTAGAAATAAATTTGCTATATTTCTTTGCAGTAATGCATTGAAAATGAAAGCTTACTCAAACTATATGGTGATATTTTGTGTGTCTGGAGAAAAATTGTAATTCTGGGCAATTGTAGGTAGGTTATGGTACAACCAGAAGTGTTAGAAATTTATTCTCGGATCTGTTTCCTCTCAATCGAACACTGTTACGGGAACCCTTGCTGTACTTCTATCAGAGCTGAAAGAAACGTGCAACTACCGCAGCTAGTGAGCAGAAAATCTAAAGTGCCTTTTGCACGTCTACATGGATAGCACCTTCCAAAGTGTGTTGTGTTTAGTTGTTTGGCAGGTGTGGAAGGCATCCAACTGATGTAGTAAAGTGACGACGTAACCTTATGCACCACTCAAAGGTAAGAGTGAAAGAGCCCTATCTGATAAGGCTAGATTTTATGCTCTGTATGCTTTGAAACCCGGTGTGAACACCAAATGGTGATTACTTTCATTGGTGGATTTTTCTCGATGTGTGCCAACCTTTTAGTAAAACTAGAGGTTTAATGACTCTGTGCCAGATCTGTTGCATCATTGCTGTGCGAAGTATTCTGCTCCTCACGATCGAAAGCATCGAAAGCGTATGAATTTTCGTTTTATGAAGCCGCTTTTTAAAACTATTTACCATAGAAGGAAGTGGTGGATGCGCGGAAATTTTAAGTTGCTTTCGTGCATATTTTTATAATAAAAGTTTATACAATGTCATGTTGTTGAAATGACTATTTACTCCTCAAGTGACTGATTTGCTGGAGCTCAAGTCGTTGTGGCTGAGTGGCTATGCAAAGCGCAAGTTCGGCTGCTGCTTTTGCAGGGGTTCTGGTGACATCAGAAAGTCGAGCTCTGCTTGGCTCTGATTGAAGGATAGTGGGTAGACCTCAAAGCAAGCTGCCTTCTACCCACTATCCTTCAAACAGAGCCAATCAGAGCTGGGCATTCTGCTGGAAAACAAGCAGAAGAACTTGCACTCTGCATAAGTTAGAGAGCCGGGGAAACATGAGCAGAATGTTGCTTGATCTTTAGCATCCATTTCACACTCTGGATTTGTGTGCTCATGCAGCAACACAGAACACAGTGTTTTGCAAACTTGTAGCTTGAGACTAATTTCTTGGTTTGTCTACTACTCTTGTACTTCAGACTGGTAAGGACAAGACTAAAAGCCTGCAATATTTTCACGGTATACTGTAAACAACTAAATTTTCGCGGGGACCTAATTTCCGTGCGCGAATGGCCTACAATTTGCGAAAATTACGTCCCGCGAACAATTCGGGCAGTATGTGAACGCAACGGAAGCTGCACTCGATTTGCGAAAATTAGAACCCGCGAAATAATTTCAAATTTTCAGCTTTTGCCCGATTCGCAAAATTTTTAGCCCGCGAAAATTAAGTCGTTTACAGCATTTTTTTGCCTTCTTTCCAGAAACATAGGATGAGGAATGTGTACAGTGGTAATTTTTCTAATGTTGAAACGACCTTCTTTAGATTTTATATCTTTTCTTTGTAACTTCCTGCAGCTCTACTACTTAAAAGTAGCAGTCCATGTTTTCGGAGTTCATTTTTCGTCAAATTCATAGAGCGTTTTTAGGAGTTTATGCAAAAAAATTCTGTTTATCGGAGTTTACTTTTGTTCAGTTGTAGTGTTTACTATTAAAAATAAATTAATTAATTAACAACATCTAGGTATAAACATATTCTAGATAAAAAATAAAACACTCTTGTATCAATTCATATTTCTGCAGCTGGATTTTGTCCCACGATAAAAGTTGCGCACAAGTGTTGCTTCGATAAACCTTGATACCTTAAAATCAAGAAGCTCCTTAAGGTAGTTGCTGGGAAGCTCATATTCATCCCATCTTATTTTATCAACCTACCCAACAGCCGCACGAGGTCGAGGTCGAGTGGTAAAGGATGTAATAGAGAAGTTTCAACCGCTCTCTTCCCCATGTTGTGCGATCTCTATGGTCCATAGCTTTCACTGTCACAAAAACAGAACCTCTCCTTCCTCTAAAGCACAAATAGTATGGCCCTAAAAACCAAAACAGTGGCTCCTGTTGTGACCCAAAAGTACAGTGATCTGTTGCCCTGAATGAGCCTCGACGAGATAAGCGGTGCATTTTCCCTAAACCATAGAGCCTATGCGCAAATAAAATTTTAAAATACTGTCTTTTTTTTTTTTTGGGGGGGGGGGGGGGGGGGGGGGGGGGGGAAGGCATTAGCACATCAAAATTTGAAGTTTATTGGATAAATCTGAATGGACCAAAAGTTTACCGGCGGGTGTTTTTAGAAGTTTCTATCTGAAAACACGGAACCCTATTATAAAGCTTGCTTGTCTAACATATTTTTAAAATGTGTGGCTCTATCGTAAACACAGCTAGTTTTAAGAACAAACTTTATGCAAGATAGTAGAAAGCATTGCAAGTTTGTCCAAGATTTTCCCATGATGAATCACGACGACGACGATCACTGTAAGCTGTGCCGGGTGACCGCGGCTGTAGGTTCTGGCCCTGGACATGAATGCATCGGGGGTGGCAGCCGTCTACCTCGACTGGGCCACCCCCCCTGAAGCCGCTGCCTTCACCGAAGCGAGCGATCGCATCGTCAGGCGCCAGGACTTCGGATGCAGGAATTTCCTGAGGGGGGGGTCAGGGGTGCTATGTTGCGCTTTTTGGACTCCCTGGAGACTAGGGAGAGGGAAGTGACGTCAACGACACAGAAAACGCAGATTGGGTGTTGATTTCGTTTTCTTCTGTCAACATCCAATCTGCGTTTGCTGTGTCGTTGACGTCACTTCCCTCTTCCAAGTCTCCTTGGAGTCCAAAAAGCGCAACATAGCACCCCAGGTGTTGGTCAGCGTACCATTTGTTTAGGAACCCCCTCCCCTCTCTTTCGTTTAGCGCCCTAAATTTTACACATGCAGAATTCAAGAGGAGGGTCAGGACATCCGGACCCCCCCTCTAAATCCGTCCCTGCATCTAACGGCCCGCCGAGGGTCGCCTTGGCTCTTTGGTTTGTTCGCCTGGGCCGTCACCGGGCCTCCAGGACTCGCGTGGCGGTTCGGAGGAGTGGGTCGTCCTATCATGCACGGCGTCTTCGTCACCGCCTAGCAGCCAGGACTTTCCCAGCCCTAACGCACAGTGGGGCCTGCGGACACCACCCTGGAGAGCTTGCCAGGACACTTCTGCCAGCTGGACGGGGGACCGGCCCAGCGAGCAGCCCATTGGGAAGCACTGGGCCCACCATCGCCTGCAACATCGGTCCGCGCACTCACCCGCGGGCTTTATTTCATATCGTCAGCACCTCTCTGTGATGTCACGAATGTACTAAGTCACTGATAACTGTGGAAGTCTAGGAAAAGAATAATAGCAGATGAAACTGATGTCACAAATCTGCTGAATCACTCTAGTCCTTATGAGGACTGTGCATATGTCAATGAGAAGACTAATAGCAGAGGACACTGCTGTCACAAATCTGTTGTCACTCTGTTAAGAGAACTCTGGAAGTCTATGAGAAGACTAGTAGCAGAGAAAACTGATGTGAGAATTAGGCAGGCGACAGGAAGACAATAGCAGAGGGCACTGTGATGCCACAAATCAGCTGAGTCACTCTAGTCCTGAAAAGGACTGCAATGGAAGCTTATTTGTGCAATACAGTTGAACCTCGATATAATGAAGTCACCAGGACCTGGGACCCGTTAATTATTTAATTAAATCGGGAACTTTGTAATATCGAAGGAGGGAGACCTCGCACATAGGCTAGGTGGGGAATCCGAATTTGTTTGTTAAATCGGGAAATTCGTAAAATCTGGTTTCGTTAAATCAAGGGTCAACTGTACACAAGTTCCAAAGCTGCAATCGGCCACAGAAGTTTGCTTCTTTACATCACAGGCTTACGGTCCTCCTTGGTGCTCAGTCATGGGCAAGCCTGATAACATGGATTATCCATCACCAAGAGATAGATTTGTGTTCTTAAGCACCAGAATTGTACAGTCGAAAAAGAGAAAAGGAGCTGAGGAGTGAAAGGAATGCTAGCCTCACAAATGCATTTCTTAAACAAAAACTAGTTCATTCCATGCTTTATTAATGTGAAGTGTTCATTCTTAGTGGGCATTACCCAAAAAAAAAAGAATGGTACTGATCCTTTTAATCTTTGTTTTCTATTTGGTTCAGCCTTTTAGGGACAAACACTTTAAATTGATTCAGTAACCTTCAAAGGAAGGTTACTGAAAAAAAAAAAACAGTGTTGACTGTTTCACCCAGTTTACTTTGCATCGATGGTGAATTCTTTCGTGAAGCATCCATCATTCTCCGATGTGGCTTGAGATGGTCGGTCATGCAGATGACGACAAGGCATGAGCAGCAGACAAAAGCTGGCTACTGTTCAATGTTGAATCTTTTCATGGTAAAGACACCTTGTTCTCCCAAACAGTAAAAAAACGCTGCATCTATAGTTTCTGTAGATGTCTAGCTATAGTTCTTTGAACAAGCTCCATTTATTGCACTTGGCATTAATAGGCAGAAGCTTAGCCCAGCTTATCGCAGTGAAAGTTTCAAAAACGTTGTTGAAACTCGGGAATAGGGTCACCAGCATTGCCAGAGTATAAACAGTGTTACTGCGAAATATTCAATGTTCCTATAGTCGGTGACAGGTCAAGAACAAAGTGAAAGGCTCCTTCCATCCCTTTCCACTTCAGCGGTGCGAACAATGGAAAGGAGGTCGCCTCCTCTCCAGCGTTTGCACCACCAAAGTGGAAAGAGGTGGGAGGAGCTTCCACTTCATTCTTGACCTGTCACAGACTATAGTACTTTTTCCGAAACAAACTGTCACTTTTTTTGGTGACAATCAGAATGATGAAACCCAATTTATTTAATAAACCTGGTACTACTATCGGATGTTCCAAACACAAAAGTTCTCACAAATTTTTCCCTGTTCAGGAAGATGGAACCCAAACCAGCTATGCAAGTGAATTCATGCGGCTCAATTTCGTGTCAAAATATGCCTATAGTGGAAACATTTAGGAAGTACAGAAGTAAAGACCTCCTCAACGTTACAATATTGTCATTTCTGACATATAATACATTATTGGATTCATCGAGACGCTCATTCGTTAGCTCGATTATTACAACACCGGCAACATCATGGCATAAAAATTAGTAAAGGAAACATAAGAGTTCGGACAGAAGGCTGTGCTAAAGCATCCCAGCTCAATTGCATTCTAGAAGGATCGCACCAATCTTGAGGAAAAGTTTGCTGATGTCGTTATAACGGCGTTGCCGTGGCCTCCTTTGCTTCAGTTAGGGCTCGAGACTCGTGAACGTAAGCTACAAAGTCCACACCTTGTGCCTTGGCAGCCCTCAGGAACCCGCTGTTTGCAGTAACAGTCACCGCCTTCAACTGATCGCCGGTGCCAAAGATGATCTTGGACCGTTTCCGAATTTTTCCGCGGAGGGACAGGGACACGGCACGCACGGACGGCTTGTCGGGCACCACCGCAACACGACTCAGCAGTCTCTGGGCAGCGGCCGTCTCACACGGGCCGGCCATGACGCGCACAATCGTGACGAAGTCGTCGTATGCGGACTGGCAGCAGACCAATTTCCGTCCCGACGAAGCCGCTCTCGGCAAAACGTATCCTGGCAAATCGCCTGCCGAGGAAGCCTCACGCGCCGAGTCACATTCCGACGAATCGCTGTGCATAGACGCCCGTTTGGTGAATGCGGCGTCTGCCAAACAGCTCTGCCCCGATGAAGCTTGTGAAGTGCGGTCTGACGAACCGACCTCTGACAAACCAATGTTTGACAAGCCCAGTAGTTCGTCCAGCGCCGGTTTGACCGGGTTTTTCCGTTCATTCTCGGCCTGTTCCGTGAGGACGTTTTCGCGGAACCGGAAGTGGCAGCGCCCGTTTGTGAGGGCAGAGGCGTAGGCGATCATGGTGGACACGTCGAGGTTCAGCACGGCGTCTTCGGGAACCTCGCCCAGCTTCAGCGTCGAGAAGCTCTCCTGGCTGTCGTCTGTCAGCGTCAGTTCGCCGTTGTCGGCTGAGTCATCGGATGCCGACAGGTCTTCCAGACTCACCACCTGTTTAGAGAGAAGGTAGGGCAGTATTTACAGAACTTATAAAAACTTTAAAGAAAAGTGAAGGCCGGTTCACGCACAGTTGCGTTTAACAGCAATCAACTGTGCTACAAACGCTTGCGAGGGCTTACGACGAGGTAAAAATGGAGCCATATATTGGAAAGCCCTGAAACGCTTTTGGTCTGCATGCATTTTACGGATAGTTTTTTCAGTGTGCTTGAAATGGTTCCGACAATGTTACAAGAGACTGTTTCTCAGATTGCACACAGATTTAATCTCGCAAATACTGCAAAACCTTCAGTTATACGCAGATCAGAAGGGTTCCAGAGCTTCCTGATAGATGGCGATAGTGTACCTGTGTGTTCCTCTGTCTAGATGTAGTCGTAGAGAAGTCAATCGCAGTCGGAGGCAAATGTGTGACCCAACCTATAGGCCATATAGGCTGCTCTGCTCATGGGCATAGTGGAAATAGATCAAACAAAAGACAGCTATTGTTCTCAATCTCGTGGCAACTCAAGCATACTGCTTTGGCTGTGCTCCATCTTGCTTTAACCGTGCGAACGTTTGGCGCTCCACAATGAAGAGAACTCGGAAGCTTGGGAGATGCATTATATATAGGATTCCATGTTTTCGGAGTTCATTTTTCATAAATTCAGAGGGTGTTTTTCAGTTTATTTTTCACTAAATATTCAAAGTTTATTCGTTTTCTTTAAATTTTTGTTTACATTTCGAAATAAAAGGAATTCAGGGTTTAATATTACTCTTTTCATATTTTCATAATTAAAAATAAAAATATATATTACCTGGACAGAAACGAACATTAAATTCACATGACAGTGGTGGAACTGACAAGTGGTGATTTGGAGCAGCTCTTGTAGCAGGGAAAAACGGGTTTTGGAGCAGAGATTCCCACTTTTTGAGCAGACAATTTTGAGCTTTCACGTCGAAAAGTTTTATACAATTTCTTCGAAAGTTAGCTCGTAGAAAAAACTGCAGTTGGAGCGTTGGGAGACTTAAGTGTTATGCCTACAGAAGACCTGGCCTGTACAGATATTTAGTTATTTATTTAATATTTAAACACCGGCAATTTTGTAGATGTCTCTATTAACCTATTTGGAGTACCAATTGTGTCTTCACTTTGTGTTTGACATAAAAAGTTGTTTTTGGCAACTTTGTAGAGGGTTTGTATCACGGTGACGTAATTGTCATGAGTTGGACATCAAACCGGAACTTTTGTGTTGAATGTGTCTCGCACTGCCCTCCTTTGCATTCAAGCTGCTGCTGTTCATAGAGCAGCTAAACGGAGCACATAGCCACTCTAACCGATCACGAGTAGCGCTAGCTATTCATTTCGATCAATGTGAGCACCGTTCGCACAAAAACCGGTAACTCTTCGGTAGACGTGTGCAGATCAGGAATTTTGGGTTCGATGCTAATTTAAAGTGAATAGTAGTATCGGCCGAATATTTCTTAATTGAATAGTTTTTGACTAGAAGTGTTTTTGCCCTTTTCTCCAAGCCTTTTACTATTGCAACACCATGCTTAAACAAAAATTCAGCTGGACTCACGAAGGTTGTTCCTAATTGCCCACTCGTGAGCTCTTAAATTTAATCTAACTATAAATCTAGACTGTAGCCTCAGAACGTCCAGTACCTACACTGGGATAGCAAGTAAATGACAGATTTGACATAAAGTTATACGTATAAAGGAGCACGGCCACACCTATTTCAGGGGATTTGTAAATAATCTTTCTATATAAATCAATTTTCTTCAATTTTGAGTTAAAAAAAAAAAAAAAACAAGCACAAATATCGGACACAGGTTGTTAGAACATTGCTGCCTAGCACATACCCTCGCATAATAGCCACAGTTAAATTTTGAAGATTTTATTGCAATGTAATAGCAATCACAAAATTTCCTTTTTTTTAATACATTAGACGCGGGCGTGCACCATACTAGCTTGAAGGTGTGTTTTTCGCCCAAGCGCGTGGCTGCGCTGTGGCGAAGCGAGTCGCGAAATGGCTATGTCCGCTCCGCGGGTGTTGCTTCTCCGCTGTGCGCCTCTGCATGAGGAGAAGCGCGCTTAAGGGGGCTAACCCGCTGCAATCAACACTTTGAAAAGTATCGCAGTTCATTTGAAAGCGAATATCAAAAACCATATTATTTGAAACTGCTACAAGAAAATTACAATATTTTCGCAGCCCCACTCTTCGCACACAGTGCTTAGGCATTAAAAAAACACAAACAACTGTACTTTCTTAATTTTCTGTGGCACAGCCGACAATCTCACGTGCCAGACACTTTCAGTTTCCTTCTCGGGAACGGCTCCCTTTCGGCGCAGACATGGCGAAAATTGTACACAAATGCAGCCTTTGGAGCAGCGTGTAGCAGGTTATTCGTTCTGGCGCAGTTTGGCACAATTGGCGCAGCAGTTCCACCACTGCATGGAACTCACCTGTATCATATGGTACGTCTGCAGCTGCAATTGGCATTGGGGCCCTTTCGATGGTCAATACTAGCTGTCCCACGATAAATCTTGCAAACAAGCATTGTTTCGATTAACATAAATCCTTTGAAATAAGCGGATATGGGCGTAGTCGCTGGGAAGCTCCAGCTGCCCTGCTTTTGTCGTGGTTCAGAAATGCAATGACCACTTGTTGGGAATGGATTTCGCCCATATAAACGCTAAAACTCTCTTTTGTCAAAAGTTTAAGATTTTAAAGGAAACTAAAGTGGCCATTCCTCAGGAACACCGGCCCTGTACTCTCATGTAACCTATCCGTAAAACAACATTTTTCTTTTTTTTTGTTATTGCGATTTTGAGATTTGGAATTTTTCAAATAAATCTGAATTGGAGAATATTTTACCAGCGAGTGTTCTTCGGAGTTTTCCGAATTTATCTGGAACCTCTCACAATACACTACTGTAAAACTAAAACAGTATAGATTGTAGCGAGAAGGAAAACAGTAAGCTTAGAGAAAATAATGTTGTGTACCCGTAGCTGCATACGGTAAACCTCGCAGCAGAATTATTCAAGAGAGAAAAGCTTTTCCACTTTCAAGGTCGGCGACTATTTCATGGCCTTTTTAAATAGTTTAAGATGTGTCGGCAACCTTTTGCAGCAGCGAGAAGAGTCGTCACAAAGCCGACGTAGAGGGGGCTAGACGGAAAGTCGCGAAAAAAAGGCAAAAAGGAAGTGAAGTCGTTCTCTGCCGAAGTATGGAGATGCTGGACAATGCCAACTGGAAGTCAAAACTGCGGTGTGGTCTTTATGTCTGCACGAGGAAGCGGCGGAGAGGTGCCTTTCTGGTCTCCCGCCGGGGATCGCATGAACCGGCCTTGCGGGTTGCCAACGCCTGGTTTAAGAACTACAGTAGGCTTATGATAATTCAAACTCGGATATCTTAGACTTCTAGTTAATTCAAACAAATTAAAAAATTTTGGTTGTCCTGCCATGTTATTAATGTACCTCTAAGCCGCTTAATTGGAACGAAGTTTTTGTATAATTCATACTTATTCTTAGACTTCACAAGAACAGACACACCAATTTCATACTTAATTTCATACTTCATACACGGCCCCGTTGAGTGCGTTTTCTTTCCGAGCATCGGTTTGCTTCTCCGCAGTGCACTGGTGCTTGGTGAGAACCCAACTCCACGGGACTCAAGCAAGGAGCACATGAGCTATGAAATCGGGCACCACGCGGACATTTCCGCGGCAACTTACGCAGACGCTGCGAAGCGGCGGCATGGCATACGTCCACGTCACAGGGTCCACGCAGGTTGCTATGAAAACTGCCACGTGGTGCCCGTTTTGATATTAGTTCATATTAGACAAAAAATTCTTGGCCTGTTGAACAAACTTAATTTTGTCATGTATTGCCTAGACAGTCCAGGATATATAACATTTTTTAGGGATAAATAAACTTTTCTCAAACATTTCACAAATGTTTCATGTTCCATACCTGCTTATGATCAGTAGGCCTATGTAGAGGAAATCATCAAATATCTGCTTTGTACGTGTAGCCATTCAAATGGCCAATCACTATTTTATCTTGCATCATATTTAAATGAATTTCCGATATTTCAAACTTCTGATAATTCAAACAAAATGTGTGGCTCCATCAACTAACGAGAGTCCACTGTATTTGTAGCAAAGAGTGACATAGTAATGCAAAGTCGATGTATGCTTGGAATCCTGGTACAGTCATTTCAGGTACTGGACTAATCTAGGTAAGGTAGTAAAAAATAACGACTACTATAGACAATTTGTACTGTACTAGATGCCAATACCGAGGTTCTGTGTCACACTTGTGCCCATGTCGCAGTGCCTGCCAACTTCCAGCAAACCTGTATCTAAGACAAACTAAACATGGTCCGACACAAACAGGGAACACAAGTGGCCAGAATCGATACCTAGATATCGAGGACATAGCGCAGCATTTTCTTTGCCATTGACCGAAGGCCGGCACGGTGCGCTGCGCCAGCGTCTGCCCCAGACTTGCGTCCTCACTACTCGAATGCAAATCCCAGTCAGACACCTGGGTGCAGATAGGGCCACGACTTGTGTCCCCATCCACGCCCCCCGCTGTCCTCCGGTAGGTGACGCAGAAAGTTCAGCGCTACGGTCTTGCCGTCTACGACGCATTGGCAAAACTCTATGTCCAAAGGGGATGCGTGTTTGCTGCTGGGTGTCTGGGACATGTTTTCGACCAGCGCGTTTATCGTCCCATCCCGCCCGTGCATCAAAAGCAGAACCCAAGTGGCAACAGATTGCGTCACGGAAGCCGGAACGTCGTTTTGTCGCGATCCTGGCGGTTGGTCGCAGAAATGTTGGCAAAAGAGACGGGCAGACACGAGGTTCGCCGTTGTCTTAGCATCCCGACTCGCGTCTGCTTCCGTCGCCGGCGACTGCCTGGCTGCAGAATGACCTGTGGTGGAACAGGCGTCTGCCGCTCCCGCCGCTGCAACACTGTCAGGATCACGACCAGCGACGACGTGACACCTCTACAACGTCATTGGGCACAAAGAGAGGGACCGCTTTTGACGATGTGGTGTAAACGCAACAGTCGGAGATGTGCCCCAGACACCGTATAGCTGGAAAGAAGGCATACCTCAGCACCAACGCCCTCTATGATCTCCCTGAGCGGCTCGCCGACCGGAAGCGCCGTCCAGATCTTCACTTCCGGGATGCGGTAGAGGTGCGGGTGACACCCTGCACAGTCCACCATGTCGCGGACCTGGTCCAAGATGGTCCGTCGGCCGTACTCTCCGTCGCCCAGCGACGAGGTCAGGAGGGCTTCGGGGTTGCGGGCCACCACCTTGATCCAGGCCAGTCCGTTGGATGCCACCACGTCCACGATGGTCCTCTCAGGACCTCTCCTCGAAGGTGTTTCCGGCGCCTGGTAGGGAGATGTCGTGGAGCTATCCCGTGAGATGGACTCTACGTGCAGTCCTTCGTCTAGAAACTTTCTGCCGTGCCATAGCCCTCGGTTTAGGACGTGGGTCCCTCTGGTCGCAAATTTGACGCTGAACCAACTGCGCTAACGGTGCGCATGAAAAAAGCGAGCTTGAAATGTTGTCGCGAAGCAACGAGCACGCTCACAGGTGTGGTGGGAGAGAGTGCGGGAGGCAGGGCAACACGAATAGCAGGGTCAAGGCTCGGCTATGCAACCGCAAGGGACGCGGACTTTGTGCTCCACTACCGCTGCGGTGCTAGCTTTGGCAGGACCGTCTTTTGGAGAGGCTATGCACCACATTGTTTGCACCGTCGAGGCACAAATATGTACCAAGTGCATCTGTGCAACATCATCGTGAGGAAATGGGCAATTTTATTTATTTAGACATACTGCAGGCCTTAAACAGGCCCCATGCATTTTATGTTACCACTGTCTTGACCACAATAATCTGGGAAAGGGACAAATCGTTTTTCCTTTCTTGGGGGACAGATCTTGTTGTTCTTAGACAGTGACCACCCGACATGAAGGGTTAAGACACCATAACCCAGTTCAATCCAAGATCTCTCTAGGGACAAACCGGAGCACCAGAACTGCGCTGTTGGCAGTAGAAGAAAACCAATCGGGGCAGGCGTAGAGCGTACCTTAAAGGGCAACTCTGGTCAAATTTTGATGTTGAGAAAACGATGCAGTCCTACATCGTATCATCTGAATAGCCTACATGTAAAATATTACAACACAATTCCACCTACAAGTTTATTAAACCGGCCAATGAAGTCGGAGCGACTCCACGGTCACCGAACTCTGCCCTATCTAGGGGGCAATGTGCAGAAAAGTGCAGTCAACGCCGCTGTGTAGACACAGTCAATGCTGCATGGAATATCAACAACTGGAATTGTTATGTTTGTTCCTTACTTTTCGAGGTGTGGAGCTTGAAGCACAGAGAGAAAAAGAGGTTGGGGGCGCTGTCCGCCGCTTTCGTTGATGACATAGCCGACATCTCCGTACCATGTGATGTGCAGTAGTTGACGAGCAGCAACAATTATACTGCCTGCCGCGAGCAAGGTTTCTGTTTCGTTTAGTAATTTTCGTTTAAACGAGGTTTGCAAGAAAACTATTCCACTTTTCAGGAAAATGAATAACATAGAATCGTTTATTAGTATTGACATGATAATCACCCACAATCCCAGAATTTCCGGAATTGACTGGAGTTGCCCTTAAAGGAAGCTAGAGAGACACCCGTACTTGTCTGAAAATCTCAACAACCGTTCAAAAAGCCTTCGCAACCTTTCCAGCACCTCAAGACCTGGCGTCGAATGATGGTGCTTATGCTAGCGTCGCAGACTAGTCTGAGCAAGCAGTTGTCAAGAGCAAATGAAAGGATGGAAGTGGCATCTGTTGTAGCAGCCGGTAACTATCAAAATACTTTCTGTCTAAATGCATGAGCGTTTAGACAAATGCATGAGTGTTTAGACAAAGTTTAGACTCAAACTGTTATGATTTCCCTAAATATTTTGCCCTTGCTGTAATCAGCAAAACCGGTGGCAAACACTGCTGTGCATCTGTGACGTAAATAGAACAAAAACATTTGACATTGTGACCATCTGCGGTGACCGACTGAATTACCTAATTTTTATACCACTGTCCTCCAAGGCCAGCGATTTCACCGATTCGAAACTGACACAGTGCTTGATTCTAGTGAAGATTATGCGCCCAGAAAATGTCTAAGGAGGGAGTGTCTTGACGAAAATAGTCCTCACTTAGAACAAAGATTTCCCGAAATGAGTATTGTTCAGTTTTTAAACACTTTTCCATCTTTGACACGGACAAACGTGCGGTGTGTCCACGCATTGCCAAATGCTCAGTCTTCACCCAAACGTAGCGCTAGCAGTCCAAACAAGACGCTGAAGTTCCAGAACTAACAGTTCTTATTCAAAAGATATGAGGGATTTCCTCAAACGTTCAATGAGGAAATGGGGCATGTTCCCAGTTGCCAATGCCATTCATCTCCGAGTAATATCTGCGGGCTTTGTCAGTAACCATTTTCTCAACAAAAATTTTTGAAAATCAGATATAGCTTTTTAACCCAATGACGGCAAGCTCTGGAACTCTGGCATCTGTTCCAGACCGCTAATGCTACACTTGGAACAAGACCAAGCGTTCAGCAACACATAATTTCTTTTTGCAACAAAAAAAACTAAACTTTTTGGCTTTCTGGTTTTTGCCAGAAAGTCTGTGTATTACTCGTGACATTTCATGTTTGAAACGCAAGCAAGAGCGCACACACACCTCCGGACAAGAGAACGGCTTGAGCACATCCACGAGGCCGTGGACCGCCAGGGAACAGGTGACGACGGACGAAAGGTAAGCCAAGTTGGTGCAGCGAAGGTGCTCCCCTTTGATGCTGTCGGGGGCTTTGCACAGCTTCCTCAGGAACTTGATCTCCGCCTGAATCTTGCGCTGCAACTTGCTCTTGCCGGGGCACACGCTGAGGCCGTCACACTGCTTCAGCAACTTTTCGGCGCCCTCGATCTTCTCTAGGACTTTCTGTCGGGCTACGTTGACGTCCATCCCTCCTAAACCGAGAAGCGACATTCGCGGGAGTTCATCTATATCACTTCTCGTCATTTTTATAACTAGGGCTCTGCGTTTCCAGGGTTACTTTTTCCTGAAATTTGGAGAGTATATTCCAGAGTTCTTTCGTTGGAGATTCATTTGGAGGTTCGTCGGAGTTTACCTTTTTGTTACATTCCCAATTCTCCTAAACTAGAGTATAATTCTGCTTTGTTCCATTATTACAAATATAAAAATAAGAGTAAGTAATATCTGGGTACAAACACGCCCTAAATTCGTTAGAACTCGCCTGTGTAGAATGATACTCCTCCGGCCAGATTTGGAATTGGTAGCCTTGCCATTGGCAATACTAACTGTCCTCCGACAAAACTCGCAAACAAGTGTTGCTTCAATAGAAGTCGACACTTTAAGATCGCTAATCTTTTGGACGCAGTCGCCGGAGGGCTCCTTTTCTTCCCATCCCCTCCCACCACTCCACCTTGCAGCTACGCCGTGAAGGGAGTAATAAACGAGCTTTCACTGTTCCCTGTTTCTCCCATGAAATCTATGAGTCAATAGCTGCAAAAAACGACCCCTCCTCCCCCTAAGAAGCACAAATAGTGTAGTCCAGACTGGATAATTGAACAGTGGTTTTTGTCACGAACCAGAAGTACAATGACCTGTTGTCCTGACAAACCTTGAGAAGATAAACCACAAACCCCTTTTGCGAATAGTCGGAGATTTACAAAGAAACTGGAATGTCCTCTCCTCGGGACCACAGACCTTGTGCCAGATCTCAAGCCCTCCCATCCCCGAAAAATATTCCTGGCTAAGCCACTGCAGTATCGATTATTCGAGTTACACGCACACTTCCTCCAAGCTGGGGAATCCCAAACCCGTGTCCTGCAAAGGGAAGCTGAAACACTCCTTTCAAAAAATGAGATAGAGGTTGATTCTAGCGTAGTTTTACCCCGTGAACCTGAATACCACGTTTGTTTTCCCCGAAGGTGTAACTAAATGCAAAAAAAAAACACAAAAAACCTCCGATCGGTCGTTACACTATAGGAGAATCTTTCGGTAGCTAAACGCGTGTCACTCGAGGGCCGCACGTGCAATTGCAGGCTTGCCAGGTATACTTTTCCGCACTGACACCAGTCGTGACATATTTTTCTGCCCTTTCTAGAAATAGCAAGAGTGCGCGTGCATAGCATTACTAGGCGCTGAAGAGACGCGAGAGGGGAGATTCCAAAAACTCCTTTTGCGAAGTCGCGCTCCGGGAAGGAGGGCCTTAGGCGGTACTTTGAAAATCATTTTCGGCAGTCTCCATGCCCCACAAGTCAAATTCGGGGGTTTTACGTGCCAAACCGACAACGGGCATCTGGCACGCAACAGCAGAGGACTGAGGATTAATATCAACCACTTGAAAATCTTCTGACGTGCAACCGAAAGCTCGGTAACACGGCACCTTCTTTGCAATAATCCTCCGTCAGATTGTGGGCACCTCGGCCGGGATTCGAACCCACCACCTGAAGATCCGCAGGCCGGCGCTTTGCCTCGGAGCCGCTGAGGCAGTTAGCCTCCATGCACCAAATAAAAAAATCATTTGGATATTCAAAATCCTGGAGGTAAAATGAAGACGGTTTAAGTGGGTTTACTCACATACAAAACTGCTACAGCCTTAAACGTAAGCCTCGATATACGCCGACTGTTTGTCCAACGCCCAAAATAGGCACCAAAAAACACAGAACCTATGAAAAAATATGAACCACCGAAAAAACAACTTCCCTATCTTTAAAGGGATACTGAACCAAAGAATTTAGTGCCCATAATAAGTGGCGCACGTTCTTTCCACCAGCCAGCAGCCGCCGGTGTGTGCGAGCACACGCAACAAAAATGACGTCACAGACCTCCATTCGCGGTTGAGATGACAGTGAAATGCATGGGCTTCGGACTAAAGGAGAATAAAGACAGGCTTTTCATCTCTACAAGTGAAAGCTACGTGCTTGTTAGACCAATTCATCGCTTACTTTTTACACCAGGCACCACTGTGTAGATGAAAAACTTGTCTTTATTCTCCTTTGGTCCGAAGCCCATACATTTCACTGTCCTCTTAACCGCGAATAGAGGTCTTTGACGTCATTTTTGTTGCGTGTGCTCGCGCACACCGGCGGCTGCTGGCTCGTGGAAAGAATGTGCGCCACTTATTATGGACACCAAATTCCTTGGTTCAGTATCCCTTTAACCAAAGGAAGTTAACAGATGAACAGAAACATGGCTAGCAGGACATATGTCCTATGAGACAGTATCCTGTGATTTGTTCCCGGATCGGTCACCATACGGTGAGGCACATTGCCAGCTAGTCAGAGAGCTGCCAGAGATAAATTTTCATGTAACACTATCGTCATGTCATCCATACACTGACTTAGCTTTGAAGCTGCTTAGAGTAAAAAAAAATGGCAAAACATTGACTGTCCATGTCGGAAGTGCCCAATGCATTTTGAGAGGAAATGGTGACCGAGATTTGAGAGTGGAAATTCAAATATATTTATAAAACAGATGTTTTGATTTGCTTTCACTTTCATTTTTATGCATGTCATAATTAAAGCTCTTTCCAGAACTAATATGACCCTGACATAAGAGAGTGAACATCAATGGTCAAGACTTCAGGACCTTGAACATGCATGCTGCAAGATTCTGTCGTCCAGAGTTCAATTTCCTTTTTTTTTTTTAATGGAGGCAGGTACTGTTTTGTTTAGACAGACGGAACGATTTCTTCCAGTAGAGTTCCATACGGATGAGATGGTGGCCACCTAGACAGTTCTGTCCTGACAGAATGTTCGTAGCTGAATGGCCGAGTTCTATCCATGTTCAAGTGCAGAACTAAAGAGGGCACGGGTTCTGCAAATCATCAAGCGTAGAGACACCCTGCTAAAAATGGCAGTTTCTGTTCATAAGTAATAACAGACTGAATTATCTGAAGGTAACCTCTAAAGAAAGATACCAAAAAATAAAGATGTAATAGATGGGACAAAATCACATATCCTTGTTGTTCCTTGCAAGCAGCAATAGACCCCTCCTAAAATTAATGCACTCTTGTGGCACAGCTCAAGACACTGCACAGCGCGTGTGCAAGGGACAACATGTTGACCTTCAAGTGCCTGTGTGCGCATGTTTGGCGGCATTAGGTATTCTCCCATGTTGCAGCGTTTTCAAAGATTTAGCTCCAGATTCGCGAAAGGGGTCTATAGCTGACAAGGAGAGAGGCTTCAGTTGGAGATTTGGCATGGCATTGCGCTCATATTTCATCCTAAAATCTGACATTTAAGAAAACATCCCTTTATGCGGTTATTTTTAAGCAAGCTGCTCACACGCAAGAAGTATGCCCGGTGCAACGAAAGGAAGGGCTCAACTAGGGATGAGGCAACTAGTGACAGTACCGCGGAATTTCGGACTGCAGTGCTTGGACGGTACTCTACTGGTGGCGACCGTTCCAAACATTCGCTCTGACGCAAATAACCTTCGAAGGTTGTTGATATGTGCCGGAGACAGCCTTGACTCAACGCTACCTTGACTGTAAATGCCGGACAGATCTTCGAGCATGGGACGTGGGGTTTTTGGGACGCTTTGTCAGACACAGCGCGCTGACTTTGAAAAACAAGAATTGTGAAACATATTTCTGGGATGTTTTACGAAATTACGATGAACTTACGCCGGTACAGGTGGTAATTCGTAACGTTGTAACTTGCCGCACAACAGAAAAATACCACAGCTGACGCGAACAAAACGAAAACGATCAGCCAACGAAATCAAGGCGCAGCACCACAGTTCCGAAACTGAAATGTCAAAACAATCAATAATAATATTACAACATTTAATTGTAAGAAATAAAACGCGCTTAGTATTATACACAAAAGTTTCTGCCATGTCAGCGCGTTCTGCTCCGTCATTTGCTTTGGTCATTTGAGTCACTTGAGGTGTTAATATTGAAAACAATCACTTATTCAATATTTTACCGACTATGAGTTACAATTTTTATTATTATATTAAATAAAACCGGTCGCGATTTATGCGCCAGTGAAACCGAAACCCCGCAAACCACTACGAGACGCTTCAGTCGGCGAAAACATCTCACAGTCGTGGCATACAAGAGATGCTTCCGCCCGGCCCTGTCTAGCACCCGAACAATATTTTCGCTATGATTTCGAGGCTGTGAAGAGACCTTGACTTTCGAAACATCCGCTGAACTCGGCGTCAGTGCCAGCAGACGACCGCCATGGGTTTGTGCAAGTGCCCCAAGAAGAAAGTGACGAACCAGTTTTGCTACGAGCACCGAGTGAACGTCTGTGAACATTGCATGGTGTCACAGCATCCTACGGCAAGTACACATAAATAGGAGTGGGTTTGGAACGCCGACCTTAGACGCTTCGAAAGACGACCAACCATGCAACAGTTGGAGCTCATTTTCGTGTACTTCCAGGTCGTTCGCGTAGCTGTAACCTCTACATCGAGGCAGACGGAACAGACAAAAATGAATCTCATATCTGACGTGTCAACTTCTCTTTTCCCTTTAGCGAACCATCTGAAATTGTTCTTTGATCAAGAATGTTTCCTTGCGATCTCGTTCGAGCACGATCACAGCTGCAAAAAAAAAAAAAAAAAAAAGCTAGTCGCGAATTTCGTCAATCGTGCATAACTGCGCAAGCGCTGTTATTGAGCCACCGCCTGCGCGTGCGCAAATTCTCACAGGGCGGCAAGAGGTCCACGCCCATCACTGTTTCCCCTTCCACGTTTCGGTTTCACGTAAAGAAGTGTGCGTGTTTACATTCATATGGGCAAGCTTCAAGATTGGGAAGCTTAGCTGAAAGGACAACTCACTAACATCTCAAACCACATTTTGTTCTAAGAGGCATGCTTAAATCGCCACAAAACACGAAAGCAGGACCAGAAAACAAAACCTCACCATGCCAAACAGGAACCAGCCGTTACCTGAAAAGCACTTTAATAAGCTTGCAGCTGTGCTCGAGATGTCAGCACATGACTGTTTTTCTAGCTATAGTTGGCAACGAGCTAAGAATTCAGCATGTGCGTTTTGCCTTCCACCAGCCTTTGCCGGCATGTGCAGCAAAGTGTTATCAAAGGCAGAAAGCTTGCATTGGAGACGGAGCATCTACTAAATAACCTGTCAACAACTATTGTTCTTTCAGTTTGTGGTAAACCATTGCAACCCTATATACCAGCTCACCTGTCTTGCCACTCTAGCTTTTTCGAATAATTTCTGATCCCAAGAGCAGTGAACGTGCAAAGAAATAATTTGTTTCATTGAAATGTAGAGAAAGCTTTCCGATCAACCTATTGCTTCAGCTACAGCAGACCTCTGGTCTGCATTACCACGCAATAAAGCTCGGACGAGAGGATGACACTCAATTCTCATCACACTTAAACTCGTAGCAAGCGTGAGCGACGAGCACATGCGGTACGCGTGCCGCCGTAAACGCTTGTATGCCGTTTACTCAATGTCGCCACATCATGTACACACCAAGGACAGTGTGCATCGTTCGAGGTCTACCGTCCTGCTTGAAGCATAGTGAAATTCCTTTTCCCGTAGGCCATATACACTAGACAATATGGTGGCACTTTAAACAAATACTTGGTGCAAGGTTGTACTGGAGCACAAACACTGAACCAGGCGAGACCTTTGTTTGTAGCAGAATTCTCAGCAAAGCTACCTTCTGAGTCGCACTGATGCGGTGCATAGTGTGCAATGCCGTCTGTTCCGTTCCCTTTGCAGTGCATTGTGCAGAGCTACCTCCAGTGGCTTCAGGACAGCGACTATGACCCCATTTGCCAGCTGTGCCGACAGGGACTCTCCACCGACGCGTGCACAAGGCTCATGTGCTACCGTAAGTCTTGGAGATGTTCAGTGCGCTATCGGTTAGTGTGGCAAGTCTCGCCGTCGTTCCTTCTTAAGCTCGTGCCGTTCTGAAGCCTGTATTCTGCTTCACCTTACGATGGACAGCAATGGACACTATCCGAGCCCATCCAGTGTCACGCGAGAGTCATATGACCATCAGGAGGGATGCAGCGACATGCGGGGCGCGTGGTCAAGTAATCTGTTCACAGCTGGCTGGGATGGTTCGTAGCATCCCCTGCGGTCCACTTCGTGAGGTAAAGCAAAGTATAGTCTGATTTGCCGCTTGCCCCTCCTCTGACCTTTGGCAGCGTGTTCAACAACTCGCCTTCAATTATTTTATTGCTACTACCTTTTACCACGGTCTCGGGTCATTTTCACCATGATCAACAATGTAACCTTTCTAAAACCCAAGCCAACAGCCCTGACCACTACCGTCGTCCGAGCATGTGACATCTGTGCCACGCTAATGCCGGGCTTGTGACGGCTAATGAAGAAAGAAGTTGAAAGCATATACCCAGGCAGATAACACGGAGCCTGTGCCTTTGATGCTTCAGCACAGCCTGACGTTTGAGATAGGTGCAAACGCTGCAGCGCCATTCATTTGAGACCCGCGGTCTAACGCTCACACGGTCTTACAGCCCCCCGACGTAGAGAATTTAAACAAGGGCTTTACCGAGGTCAGCACTACAGTTGTTTCTTCATTATTGAGACCGAAACAAATAGAGAATGAACTGCATGGTGAGGGACAGATTATCATCTGCCGTTGAGAATGCGGAAGTGACGCTGCCTGATAAAATGTCAGTTTCATTACCCCCATTATACTCCATTGACTCCTACGCTGACGGTGCAGTGGAAGTTGCGTTCGTCGAACCAGTCGCACGTTTTTCCTTCGCCACACAGTCACCCTCCCGCCCGTACCCCTGCTCGGAGAATGTGGTAAGGCGATGAAAGGGAGGCGGTGGATTGGTCCCGGAAGCGCACAGCTCCCAGCACACCGTCATCTTAGGGGTAGACGGAACATAATACGCATTCAAAAGATAAACTACCGTTTGAGCCACTAGATGGCGCCAAATTTTGGAAGGATACCATTAGGAGCTTCCTACGGTACTCTACGTTGCCCCGATATATGCGATTGGCACACGCCGTCTTGCAGACGTCTTCCACTGGAACTGCCTGGACCGCCACTGCCAACAGATGCCGCGCCACACCGCACCGGCCGGTTTCGGCTGTCCCACGTGCGGGGCGGCTGTGGTGCCCGCCACCAACGTGGCCTCGCCGGTCGCAGACGCGCTCAAGCTGCTGCTCAGGTCGACCGACTGGGCCAACGCCGGCCCTACGTCGGCACCCCCGCAGGAGACGACACCAGTGAGTTGTCATGTTGCCTGGCACCAGACTCGTATAAAATACTAAAAAAAGTATTTAAGTTAAGCTACAGAATACGTACCAGGCTAACAAGTAACCGAGTACAGTACTAAATACCCAAGTTTGAAAAGTATCCGAGTAGAGTAATAAATAGTCATAAAAGTAACTCGTTACTTCCAAAATACTCTATAATTACAGATTGCTAAATTGCTGTAAAAAAAAAAAAAAAAAAAAAAAATGAAAACAGCAGCTATATACTACAGGTTTCTTTCCTTGCCCCAATCAGTGTGAGAGAAGAGATGTCCTCTCCTCCCCACCCTTCACCCAGGGGTTGGAGGATTATCTTGGGTGGAATAAAAAAAAACACCTGTAGGCAGGGGAGGGAACAAGCTTTTTTGTGCTAACTTGAGGGCAAAAGATAAGCCACTGTAACACAGAAACGATGTCCCAGAGTTGAATCTAACTGACCACCAAACCCCTTCCGGGTAACTGCAGAGAAAAAGGGTAACTGCAGAGAAAAAAAAGTGTTTTTTTTTAGACAGCCTAATTGGGACAACTATGTCACAAAACAATTTTTCCACGAAAAAAAAAATTTCACAGAAATATTTATTGTGCGAGACTAATTTTAGTTTGCAGCTATTTTGTCCGTTTTAAATTGCGCGCCACAAAGTTGGTATTATATGTTACGGAGTGACGTGCTATAGCAACTCTTCTTAATGGCTAAGAGATTGATTGACAGCTTATATCTTGGTTGTTAAACCTTTGTGGTATGTTGTAATTTCCTTTTGAGCGGCATATTTTTATGTTTAAAGAATAACCCATGTAATGAGGGTTATTACTCTTTACAAAAGGTTTACAAGACAAGCACTTCCGTTTGGATTCATACCATAACAAACAAAAGCTTTGCCATTCTTTTCATAGCTGCCGAAGTCTCTGCTCTCGCCTACCTCAACTATTTCGCCTTGACCCAGGTGCTTGAGTAAGACTTCCTAAAGTGAAGTAGTGTGTGCTTAGCAGCTGTCGCAGGTGTTATTGATAGGAAGCGACGCGAGTTTTGGCTTTCATAGCGCGGTTTGTTACTTTCGTTTTTCTCTTTGCTTTCTTAGCAGTTTTTTTTTTTTTTTTTTTTTTTCATGTTTGAGCGTGCAATTGGCAATTTTTTTTTAGATGTCTGCTCCTGTGAAGCGGTGCCATTGCTCTGTAAAGTGGTGCCAGATGAGTGATGAAGACGCACCGGAAGTCGAGACGCTGCGTGTGTCGTTCAACTCCGCAGCCAAGTCAATCCAAGAGTGAGGGGCAAGGCGTACTTCTCGGCGCGGGTCGAAAGAGCGGGAGTTTCGAATGTGGAGAGGTTCTGACTCCGACTGATTTACGTCCTGTGGCGTAAATATTGCTACAAAAAAGATTTCCTTTTTTTCGCGAAAGGTTTGTTTTGTGACATGCTTGTGCCAATTCGGCTGTTTTAAAAAACTTTTTTCTTTGCAGTTACCCTTTAACCCATTTGCTACCGCGCGTGTTGCATGCTGCCGGGTTATTCATACCGCACGTTTTCCCCCTAAAACAGGGCCACACTAGGCGTGACTGTTTGGCTTGTATAATAAGCTTTTACAGTAAAACTTAGTGTGGAAAACATGTAGTGGTTCATTCAAGTCTTTAAATCAATAGGCCCTCACAGATTCTTCTTCCTTCTAATAGAGATTTCTTTTGGCAAAGCTCAGGGGTCTTTTTGTTCAAGGACAGCTCCAATTCAGATATTTTCGTGTTACTTCGATTTTAATGAACCATGGCTCAGGTACTTTTCGAGGTTGCATGATAGCGCAACGAGATGCGGTTACAGAAAATCTCGTCGCACTTCTCCACCGCAGGTTTTCGTGTAAAAGAATGTTGAGTTTCGAGTCGCAAAGTTTTCTTTTCTCGACAGACCCCTCTCGAAAGTGCGCACCATCTACCATAATATCCAGAGAGGTGCCCCACTCCCGAAAAATAACTTACCCCTATTTTCGGCCTGATTTGCTATTTTGTTTCAAAAGCACCGAAGGATAGCCCACTTTTAGTAATTTTCAGGGCTTTGGCTATTGGTGCGAAATTGTGTTACTTAGCCGTGGTACGAGATAAATGAACATTGCTGACTGTGGAGGCCAGTTGTCTTTGGTTCACCGCTCCTCCCTGCTATTACTAGTTTCATGGGTCATAAAATTGAAAACTAGTATTTTTTTAACTTTTCTCATCGCACATCGAAAGTTGGCCCGCTCCCTAATTTCACCGAATTTGCTTTCGATTTTAGGTTGGCTATCTCATGGGATATTACGGTAGATTCTAGTAGCTGTAGCACCAATCACCTCGAGTCCATCGTCACTTGTGCACATACTCTACGCGTGTATTTGGCACTTCGTGTGTGTACTTAATATTCTCGTTCATTTCTCGGCGCCGTTTTATTTCATCGTTAACATGTACCACCAGCTCGCCCGACCTTCCACAGTATCGGATCAAGAACGAGCGCTGCATTGACGTTTGGCGAGCGCTCGGATCCGAATCGCACTCTTCGTGCCCACGTAATGGGACCGCCAATGCTGCTCGACGGGGTCTCAAAAAGGGTCTATCTTTTACTAGTAGGCGGCATTTACGTGAAGATGGCACGCGTGAATGTCTCATCAAATACCCTTTCAAACTAGTTCTTTTTTTTTTCCCAGTGTTGGGAAGTACTCTAAGTATATTGTACCTAAAGTACTGCTTGACATAGGTTTAGAAAACTTCTACTTTACTTGAAGTACATTCTCTGAGCACATACTTGTGCTAAAGTATTTTTTTTAGTAATTTGTGAGGAAAGTACTATACTCTTGATTTCAAAGTACATTTCCCTAAATTTGGTGTTGTTTAATTTGTATCACAAAATGATACTTTATAGAAATATTGGGAGGGCAAGTATAAAAGACCTCCAACCTCCAACACACACACACACACGGGAAAAAAAAGGTGTATTGTTGTGTGAAAATGCACTATTGCCTTTCGAGACGTCATCTGGTGATTTCTCCGAGTGAAGTAATGGCGGCTGTAATACCGATGCAAAGAAGTACCTTGTAAGTTGAATGTGTTACATAGTTTGTCAGTGAGAATAAAACTACCTTTTGTCCACTTGACTCTATTCATTATTTGCCGCCATTTCCAAAACTTACTCATGCACCCTTAACTACCTCTAAAGATATTCATACTTATTCAAGAAAAAAAAAAAAAAAAATGTAAGGGCACTATGAACGATTGTGTTAAAAAGTACTTGTACTTTACTTTGAAAGTACAGTGCAACCGACTTATAATGATAATGGGAAAACCCAAAATTTCAATCATTATAACCGGTTAACGTTGTATCTGGACTAGAAACTGATCATTTCCAGTCTAGAAACTCTAGAAATTGATTGTTATAAGCGGTACGTCGTTATATGTGGTATCGTTGTAAGTGGGTTGCATTGTACATTGTATTTGTAGCACTTTACTTAACTACATTAGACCCAGTGTACTTACTGCTTTACTTGAAGTACACAACCTCTCGTTTACTTTGTACTTTACTTCGAGTACCTTTTAAACGTGCTTTATCCAACGCTGCCTCGCCCTTGCAGAAGAAGGAGCAGAGGGCGGCGGCCGGACCCCAGGGCGACCCCCCCTCGGCGAACGGCAGCCCTGCCCCTCCCCTGACCCCCTCGGTCCCCTCGCAGTGGGGGCCCAAGAGCCCCAGCCCCGCGCTCCCCACCGCACTCCACGGGAGCACCTCGTCCGAGAACAACGTTGGGGCCTACGGCTCCACCGTCAACAGTGAGTGGGTAGTTTCGTGGCGCTACTGTGGTGCCTTGAATGCATCTCCAACTGGTGTGTTTACCGCATCCTTAATTGTAGTCTCCCGATTTCCGTCTGGCGACATTGTAGAAGTGTCTTGACATCGCAAGCTTGACAGGCTACGGAAGCTTTGGCAGCCAGTAGTTGGGGTGCCACGACAATGGCGACACTCCCGTTTGCTTCCACTTTTTGCTGGAGCTTCTTGGACTGGCTGACAGCACAGTGCGCCAGCTCCTGCGATGTCGTTTCTTACTTTCGGCGCACGACTGATATAGGACGCCAAACGCAACAGTTAAAGGCGCGTTCCGGGCTTCGTAGCGGCACCCCATCCCCGAGTGCGTAACGGTGTAGCTGTTAGAGCGTTATCATTGTTTTGTCTTTATTACACTTTAACACGATGGGAATACACAACGGCTACAAAAAGCATGGACCAAGAAAGGAACACTTGCGACATGAGGACAGCTGTACCCGCAACTGAACTTTGTTACTTAAAACGGAAAAGAGAAAAAAACACGTAACACGTCACCATCAGACCACAAGGTGGTGGGAAGAGGCCCTACCTGTGGCCCTCTTCGTCGAGGGGGAATTACTAGACACTGCTTCTGCTGCTCACGGTCAGGCTCTCGTGCTCGCTAGAAACCGGCGTTTCTATGGCACAAATTGGACGAGTAAAAAAATGGCCCCTTTCCCCCACTATCGTGGTCACACAGAATGTTGCAATCGCAGCGCAGTTGTTTTTGCCACCTCAGTCACTCCAACACCCCAACTCTAAGAACAAGACATACCTGAACGGAGAAAATGAAAGACTTGCACCGGCGCCACGCTGGGGCTTTCTCGTGAACAGCGCTATCCAGAGAGCGCACCAAAATTAAAGAAAAAAGAAAGGGTATGCGCACTTGGCTGAAGCCTGAAGCTCACTCGTTTAGTGTGTGCAAGGAGTGGAGCGCGTCGCCAGTGTTGCTCTGTTTGATTACACAATGTAATCAAGAGTTGCTCGGATCTGCTCGATCAAGACGTTTGCTGGCACTTGTGCTTTCATCCAATCAGTGAGGAGACGAGTGCTGCGGCAGTGTTCGGCTGGCACTCACATTTTCTTTCTTTGTCACTCGCATATTCTTTTTTTGTCACTAAAGTGAGGACCGGAAATGGTTAGGTGCCACTTATGTAACACATTCTGTATTATAACTTGAAGCACTAAAGTGGTTTATGATATTGCCCATTTATGGTGCACACTCGGTCTGTGCTCAAAGCGTCCTAGAAAACCCAAATTCACAATCGTGCGTGGCCTTTTTTCTTATTACAAAAGCGACGAGCCTCTTTCCTGAGCTGCATATCAAATAAAAGGGTGTGTCATAAAGTTTGGTCGCGTTTTTATTTAAAAAAATTGCACATTATGGTAATTTTTTATACTTTCTAGAACGCTTAGGCGTGAGTATCAAGTTATCCCCATAAAATGACAAGCTCAAAATGCACTTTACTGTCCCTTTAAAAGTGCACGAGTAGTATCTTGTCCAGTTGTGTCTTGAAACTATACTCTGTCTCACTAAAACCGCGTAGTATGTGGCACCATTTTGTGTGGAAGCATTACGTACCTTTACATCTGGGGACCGGTGCTCAAAGGGGAATCCGATGCCCGTCCCACCGCGTGGCCGACGGCTACTAGCGAAGGCGGTCGCCATGCCGCGTTTGCCAACGCCATACCAACAACAATGATCCCAATATCCAACAGTGTTTATCGTGAAACCAGGGTCCCCAACAAGACGCTGCGGTCAAGCGAGCCATGGACAGAGTGCCCACAGCGCCCACCGACCTGAGTTAAAGGAATATTGCGAGTGGAGTCATCACCGGTCGGACAAGCTCGTACGCCACGACTCGACTTGTTGCCCGGAGTCCAATCCAGGACTCCTCGACCACACAACCGTCCACGAAGAGGGCAGGCTCGACTTCCTCGCGCGTTCTCGCTGGTCTGCCAAAAACGCGAAACGCGCGGAGGAGTGCGAGAGAGTAGGCCAGCATGGTGGCGTACTCTCCCCGACACGATATGGAGCAACCATGCTCAAAGCCAGACGACTTTGCCCGGAACGTCCGCGGCTTACACCTTCTCGGGGGAGGGAAACCTGCGGCTTCCACAATCACGGCCAAAGCTACCGGAGAGAGTGTATCCCCCGACCTGTTCAATAGGAGGGAAAGGAGGAAGGGAGAATCTCGGCCCTTCTCACCTCCTCCTTCCTCCTTTCCCTCCTCTTGAACAAGTTGGCATACACTCTCTCCCCTGTAGCTTTGGCTGTACTGCACAGTTTTAGTGAGACAGAGTATAGCATAGCCATCAAGGAAATAGAAGTACTATGTTCTATATACACCTTGGAATTCCTCGCACGTACTGCAATTTTGCTACTGGTGATGAGACACATTTATTATTACGAAGGGGCACTCCCAATGACATAAGTGATGCTACAAAATTTCTTGTGTACAACACTGTTTGCTTCTGAATGGCGCGACTTTTGCAAAGAACCGGTTGACTACACTGAATGTCGACGGTTATCGTGCAGGTAATGTGACGTCAGCACGCAAAGTGTTCACAGCCACGCAGAGCAGCTTCGTGACGTCTGCCCCCGACTACGACGAAGACAAGTACAAGCGGCGTTCGGGGTTCGAGCTCTTGTCTCGCTGGATCAAGTGAGTTCACCGCTTCGTCGGTAACTCAAACAGTCTCCTCTTTTTCTGAATCTAAGAAATTAAAACTGTTTTAGTGGTGTGTGTGAACCAATATCTTTTCTCATCAAATCGGGTAATTCAGCCGCTTTACTGAATAGTATGCAGGCCGTTACAACTAACTTGTGCCAAAACTTCGTCATTCACAGTTGCATAGAGCAAGTCGAGATACATCTTGCGACGTTCCAAGCTGGCTAATTGACGCAAACTTCTTAAAAATTAATTTTTGCACAAACGCCGGATACAAAAGTCGTAAAGCGTGTCAAGAAACACTTCTTTGTATCGTTACCATCGAGGTACACTTTGTGCATCTAATTTTTCCAAGTTTTAAAGAAAGCGTGCAATATTTTAAGATATCCCTCGCGATTACCCACTGGCGAACTGCAACAATAATAATTTTATTCACGCGAAAATTTTTAAAATCTTGCGCGCTTTCTTGAGTTAGATATTTGCTGAACCCGGCCATCTAAAGACACAGCCACGAAAGTAGGCTTAAAAGTGTGCGACGAAAATCGCGGATTAGGCGGAATACGGTTTACCGGAAGTGAAAAAGGCACCTCGTGAAACCGCCCCGCACGCGGCTGTGCCTCGCTCTCGATGCAGGTCGCGGACGGTGCTGGGCGGCAGCAGGAGGCGCGACCCGCACGCCTTCCTCAAGCGCTGGGTCATCCTGTCGCTGCTGCTCGTCCTGGCGCTCTTTACCGTCGTCTACTTCCTCATGCACTGGGGAAGGGCGTCCGCGGACTCGGACCCACTGCTCGACCCCCGCTTCAACCCGGAGATTCACGTGCGCGATGAGCCACACCCGGACCAAAGTCTCGATGGCGGCAGGCATCCGGCCGGCATCGAGCCCCGCTAGACGATGCTCCCTCATCCCTGGGTCCTGATTTCGTTCAAGCCGCGCAGCACTTTGTCTTTGATATCATAATAATAAAGCGGTACGTCTGGTTAAACCTTGCTGAAACCTGTTCATTTGATTAAAGCAGGGGTCTCAAACACACGGCCCGCGATTCTCTAGGACTCTGCCCGCATGCCAACTGGCTACGAGTCCCGGTTTCCATGTCTCGAGCGCTAGAAATGGCATGCGCCATAGTGATCTGATATTTTCAATTCATTTTTGCTCAAAAGTAGCTCTGCTTTTTTAACAAACTCACATAGTTTATACTTATTTGTGTTCATTTGCCTTTTGTTTTGCTTTGTTTCTTGCTCCTCAGCTTTTTGTGATGTACAACAATTCCGCTACCAGATAGTAGCGAATTGCTTGCTACTATCTAATAGATAACAGCTCACGCTGCAAGTGCAAGCTCTTCGTTGAAGGATGCATTTCGGCTGCATGAGCTCACGTCTGGAAAGCAAGAACTGTCAAATTAACCGATTGCTTTTTTGAAGACGTGTTGAGCTTGGTTAATTCCCAAGTGAATTGAGCAACGGGAACGAAGCTGTACTTGCTTTCTTGTTCCATTAAAAATGACAGGACGTTGGCGGGGTGGTGTAATTTTAACATAAGGTCTGGGCCCAAAGTAGCCATATAAACAAAAATCTAAAATAGTCATTGGTAAAACTGTGAGTTTACGAAAAGCATAAAGCACAACGTCTCATTTCTTAAAAATCTTTCGGACAACCCCCCCTTCTTTATATTGGCCCTCGACCTTTTCGATGTGGGCTATCTGGCCCCCACACTCAAATGAGTTTGACACCACTGGATTAAAGCATGAAATGCCTGGTTCTTAAAGGGGCCCTGCAATCATATTTACTAAGCGTCTACCTTTTTTGCGGTTTCCACGTCTCTTGAGGTTTGGGCAAGCCAGCAGGCACGGAGAGGGTAACTAAATATCAGTGCGTCATATTTTAACCGGACGACGCGGAAACCTTTTCCGCCGACAAGGTCAACCCGCGGTACTGAAAGCGCCCAAAATGTGACGTCTTTGGTCCTGGGCTTACTACTGGTCAAGGCCGCTAAAAGCTTCTTTTTAGTCGAAATGCAAAATATAAGTGGCGCGAACCATTTCAATTATTTATAAAAGTAGCTTTTGTTCCGTATTTTAGATCAGAAAGGAGACAAATGCAGTTTATAAAGTACGGAAACAAGAAATGACCCGTCGACATACCCGCCACCTAGCGGTGGAAAAGGCGGTGCATACTGGAAAGGATTAGTTGGATGAGGCGCCGACACGGAAAGCTCCCAGATGTACGCGACGGCGCCGTGGTCGTATGGACAGGAGTATCTGACCGGCTCCAAGCGTTCCGAAGGCCTTCGGCGAGAAACTTTGTCTTGCGGTTTGGCCGTTTCGCAGTATGGCAGTGCGAAGTGGCTCCCATTCTGAACTGATCTTTACCCCGTGTTTGCTGTCGTTTGTGGCCAATGAAGTGTCATGCCGAATTAGTGTTTATTCACGCAGCAAATGCAACGAGAGCCGCTCTGGCTGCCCGCTGCATGTAGCCTATCCAGAACATGCTTTAGTGGTGCCCTCTCGCGCCGTCGACATGGGGTGCGGCAGCCGTGAGCACTCGCGAAGAGCCCACTACCCCTCCTCTAGTTCACGGCCACTCAAGCAACCAAGGACATCATGAGGGAGGCTATTTTTTGCTTGTTTTTGTAATTTTAATTTGCCTATAACTTTTAAAATAAATTGAATTTCAGGAAAAGAAAAGTTTCACTAAAAGCGAGTTTGTTTCACGGCATTCGTGCCCGCGCGTGCCCACTTGCAGCGTGGAGCGGGTTCGTTTCAGCCGGCACTCCACGAGTGGTTGCACTCTCCGAGTTCACTTCAGCACCGACACCCCACGCGTGCATGCACTCGCTGCAGCAAGGAAATCGGGAGTGCGCCAAAATGCAATCCCATCATGCCTCGCTCCGGCGAGGAGCGGGAGCATACGACGAGGGTTCGTCTGCTACGAACGCGAGCTTGAATTGTGAGCGTCTGCAATTTCATGAAAGAAGCAATTGACAAAACGCGCTTTATTTGCGGGTTTTAAGTCGCTCTGTTGCCGTACAGACGCTGAAATATACCAGTGTGTAAAGAAATGTCAGAACAAACGTATCAGCGATCCCCGAGATCTTTATCACCATCCGTGTGTAGGTGAAAAATTGAACATTTGTCGACAAAACTCCGCCAGCAGAAACCTGTAAGTGCCCGATAAGCATTGGAGAAAGCTAAACATATAGTGACTTTACCTGAGGCTTGGACAACATCATCATGTTTAACGTTTACTTACGTCAGCTAACTTGCCCCGTCGTTTTTTTTTTGTTTTTTTTCTTTGTTCGAGAATGTTCTTGTTCTCGACGCCCTAATCCACCTGTAATGACGATCGAAATCGAAAGTTCCACGAAAAGTTTTGCTGGATATTCCAACAGACTAGTTTTAAGCCATACCCTTTAAGTGGCTCAAGCACAATACCATGCTCAAATGGATCAAGCTTCTGCTTGGACAGCATCATCAGCTTTCTTCAGTTTAAGCGGTTATAAAAAGATTGCAACCAGCTGCTTTGTAGACAGCTGGTTGCGGAAATTTGCGCCGTCTGTAATTATCTCTATGGCAGCCGAGTTGCTTGAAGTCATCGCAAATATAAACTACAGGCTGCAGCAACCAACGTTTGTAGATAAACGTTGGTAGCGACTGTACTCTCACATTCCCACCCATCACTCCGAACAGAAAGGCGCTAGTTTCGGTTTTAGGGTGGTAGCTTTTCTACAACGTAGATGGCGGCAGTATCAGTCTTTTGCACTCGGTGCATTTGGCTTGTTCGTTTGAGTCTGGTTCTCCGTGCAACACTCTGCGAGTGCGATGCATTCTGGGAGAGAACTCAAACGGTGCCAGTGCGTGTGAAACGAACTCGCTATAAGTTACTACGTTCAGTGCACTCAAGTTCGGTGCTAATTAAAAACCAGTAAAAAAGTCCTTGCAGAGCCCCTTTAAAGGCAGATGAGCAGACAGGAAGGAGGAAACTCTTTCTCTCAATTCTTCCTTTCCATTCGAGAAAGGAAGACGAGGCATCTGCGGGGAGTAGCTCGGTGTGTGAGAGGGCATGGAGAGAAGGAAACTGAGAACCTGTTTTCTGCCCGGTAAAAGACAATTCTACAGGTCGGTCTTTAACGGAGCCCCTCCCCAACCCCGAAATTTTGTTTGTCTGTTCGTCCGTGCATTTCCTTCTAAATTTAGCGAGGGAAGTGATGTCACAGAACCTACACACTAATTCAGTTTCTCCGTGAGATACGACGGGGAAATTGCTGTCACATAACCTATGCGCCAAATCAATTTCCCCGCTAAATTTAGCGGGAAGATTGACATCGCCTGACCTGTTGTCCTGAGACCTGTATGCCGGTTCAGATCGCTAACTTTAGCGGGAAAATTGATGTCGCATGATCTATGCACAAGGTAAGTTTCCCCAGTAAATTTAGGAAGGAGTGATAAGAATATAGGTTCTTCTTCGCTCTCCCAAAACGACTGTTTAATGTGTTCTAAACAAATTTAAATTATCACTCCTTACATGCTGGATTTCATACACCATAGGTCTTTCAAAGAAAGGTTGCTGCCAATTTTTATTATTGAAGAGACCCTGAATTTGAGGCTGGTGGAAAAGAACCCCGTGAAGCCCATATGACGTGTTGTGTTCCAAAGTATCTATTGGCTGTGTGTATTTGAATGTGAAAGCATTAACTGTCCCATAGAGCGAAGACGGCGTTCTCTGTAGTAGCGAAAAACGGCACCTCAATTCCAATTGGCCGAGTGAAACGGCCCCTAAAGTTCCATTGGCCAAAAGCACGGCAGTGCAGATGCTTCATGACGGAAGCCAGTAGGGCTATAAGGTCAAAGTGGACGTGCCTTAGAGATAAAACACAAAGAAAAGCACAGCAATGCAGATGTATCACCACAGAAGCCGTGGAGCCAGCACGGGCGCCGCGGTTGCGCAGTGGGGGAGCGTGATGTCACTGCCGGAGCGCCACGTGAAAATGGAAGACGTGACATGCTGCTTGTAGGACAGATGCATAGTGTTTGCAGGAATCTTACCACTTTTGTGACCGCCAGGGATGTTGCCTCATCATTGTGTCACGCAATGACTGTCATCAGCGTGCAGTTTTCACGTGTAGCTGTGACATCAGGGTACACCCAGAGCCGTTTATACCGAGAGTCTGGCCTTCTTAAAGTGACTTTGATAGTCTGGCAACCACAGCAACGTAGTCCGACAACCGGGGGACAACTACTGCCGTCCGCCATTTGGGGGCTCCGACTGGGGAATTTTATGCAATTTCTCAGTAATAAAAAGAAAGTAGCGCCATTTTGTGCTATCGCGGAATCCGCTGGTTCTAGCGGGCAACTAGATCCGCTCATTGACCAAACTCTCAGTATAAACGGCTCTGCGTACACCATGACGTCATAGGGGACCTGTAGATGCTATGCATTAGCGAGCCTTTAAAATATACCAAACACTTGCATTATTATTTTTTTTTTTGCTGTCAAGGTGTACGTTATTTTGTTGTCTCCGAGGTTTATGATTTTTTTCCGCAAGTCTTAGGGGATTGTTGCCAGGAGGTAACCAATTTCCTGCTTTTATCAACGAGCAGGGCTGTCCGTTCTTAGGGCACGAAGAAAAAGAGTCGGTAACAACGAGCGTAATTAGTCCCGAAAATGGAAACGAGGTCGCCAAAATGTTTCGGGCCAAGCTGCCAATGGCATGACATAAGCCCTCCTTCAGCGTAAATAGTAACGCAGAATAGTCCACACACACCAGGAACGACAGCACCCACTTTGACTAACTTGTAAATGTACGGCAGAACCCCATTTGTATGTTTTTCCGGCTGCCATAAGAACATACATACAAATTTCTCATCTGTCGTTTGCCTCGCTGGATGTTAGAGCCGAAAAGTATTACCTGACGCAGATGACTTGTTGGGTCGTCGTCCTCTTGTACAAGTGCATAGCCTCGAAGAGTTGAGGCGAGCCTTGGTGAAAGGAAGGCGTCCCACGAAATCCAGCGGGAAAGTGTTCACGTGACATTAGCACGACAGTCGTCAGAAGACTTGCTTTCTTGATGGTCACACGACATTGCATGACACTGACATCACAAGGACCCATACACGGGGCGTTTTTAACCTACTGACGTGGTCTGTGCAGGCGAGTTATACGGCCAGGGGGACGTAATGTAGGGGGGATAATCGTCATGATAAGTCGGTCAATAAAGTAAAATTTGTTCAGTAAGTTTTAAATTATTGAAGATAAAGATGGGGTTCCAGCCAGACTTGCTAAGCGTCGTCGAAAACCACCAAAGTAAATTTGAGGAAGATTTGGGGTCCATGGGAAGCCTGACAGTGCGCCGACGTTAGCACTTGTGCACCAGCGCGAAACTACTAATGCAAAAATGTGCCCACGTGGCTTTTTTTCTTATCCGCATTTTTCAATTGTGAGCACTACACTTGTTGCATGACTTGGCGCACTGCTGCGCTTCCCACGTGCCCCAGACCTTTTTTCAAACTTACCGATGTAATGAGTTTCCACAACGCTGGGCATGCTCCCAATTGAAACCACACGTTTATTTTCACTACTGGAAAAGTAATTAACAAATTTTAGTTAATTATCGGACTAGCCCCTTATAATATGTCCCCCCTGGCTGTACAACTTGCCTGCACAGACTGCATTGGTGTAGCTTTTACGGTTTCTTTAAAACAAATCTGTAAAGCCTTCAGGACATACCAGATGGGCAGTTTGTTTTGCTCAGCTTCCCCATCTGCATCTTTCCTCGGTGGACCTAACGTTGGACTAGGCTTAAAAGGAGTTCCTTTTCAATTTCACATTCACCTCTCCCCAAGGCAGGCACAAGCAACTGTTCTGCTAGGTTTCCCTTTCCCTGGTTTCGCTAGCTTCATCTTGTGGGAAGACGAAATTCCTAATCGTGCACCACAAGTGCACACCAAGCTTTACGCTTTAGCACCAGTGCGCACATCAGTTAACCACTATGAACAAGCCTGCTTGCTAGGAGCAGCGGTTGACATTGGGGAACATCCAGGTTAGTTCGAGTCTGGAATTACGCTTACTTTTATATGTCGACATGCATGCTTTCGTTCGATTACAGATAAACTCCTCGGGCAGTTAGAAAAAAAGTTTACCAATATTTGGTTTTGAATACATATAGTAGTCCTTCACAGCCTTTGAAGTCCAGGAATAGAATGTTGTGCAGGAGTTTCTTCCCCTCTTTGAAAAGCACTAAAGGCTGATAGTTTGCCGGATCAGCTTTTCGTATGGCTCCCTAAAAAGTGCAATAGCAGGGTTCCACTGTAGTTTAATTGCAATGTTTGAACTTTGGTTTTTCTGAATTTTTTTTTTTCAATACATCAGATCTTGTTTTTGCTAATGACCGAGCTATAATGGTAAAGATGTGGGTACACTGGTAGCTCTGCAAGCAGTTTTTCAGGGACAAATCTTTACTACGTTAGCACCTCGGACGCCTGTACCCATTGTTGGCCTGTGGCAGTATTACCTATAAGCGTACCTCAAGCACAAATGCATGGGGAATGGCACGCATTGCCAAGGATGGGCCCCGTTTTTGCATTGAAAGTATCAGAAAATCCTTTATAACTGGGATTCTGTGTTTTTGAAGTTTATTTCTCGTAAACTTCAGAGGGCATTTTTCAGATTTCATTTTTCGCTAAAAATTTTGAGTTTATCGGAGATTATCTTTGTTAGATTCGCAATTCTCTCGAATTCAAATTTTATTTTACTGTGTTCATAATTTTCAAAGATTCAAAAACAAAAAAACAGATAGTTTGCATACCCTAATCTGTTGTCCTGAAGGAACTGATGAGCTAAAAGGCAAAACATCTTCTTCAGTAGTTCGAGATTATAAAGGAAACAAGTGGAATCTCCTCAGGACCACTGAACCTGTGCTCTTATCAAGATTAAAAAAAAAAAAAAAGTTTCTTTTGTGATTTTGAATTTTTGAGTTTTCTCAATAAACGTGATATAACAAAAAAAGTTACAAGTGTTTTTTTTTTCCCCCTGGATTTATTTGGAAACGCGGAACCCCACTTACCATATTTTCCGATGTATAAGATGCACTTTTTTTCCCAAAATGTTTGGTGAAGTGTCTTATACACAGGTGTGTCTTATATACTAATTTTTACTTAGAAACTTTTGAAAAGTAGGGGGGGGGAGGTGTCTTATACAACGATGCGCCGCATACAAAAGACACTTTTTTTCCACAATTTTCGGCGGTGCGTCTTATATACTAGTTTTTACTTAGAACCTTGTGAAAAGTAGGGGGTGCGTCTTATACACAGGTGCGTCGTATACACCGGAAAATACGATACCACGAGTAAGATGACAGTTAGTTCTGAAGCCTTGGCATCTGGTTCAGACCGCTAGTGCAACATTTAGGCAGAGAATGAGCATTCAGCAGTGCATAGTTTATTTCTATGATGAAACATTTCTGGAGGGGACCCGCCGTATGTCCGTATTTACTATGAAGATGTTCTACCGTATGCAGACCAGGGGTCTCAAACTCATTCTGGAGCGAGGGACAGAGGGTCCACCCACAAGGAGATCAAGGGGCGAGGAGGGGACGAGTGATTATGTTCTAGTGAAGAAAAAAAAACCGAGGTTTTCAAGTCGCAAAGTGGCTGAATCTCTCGGCAGCACATTTCGGACTTCCTAGAGAGAAGACCCCACATTCTTTGCTGTTCATAAACCAGCAGCTTCAGTGGCGACATTTCTAGCTTCTATTTATTCACTTTGGGCTTCTCCTTCATGTGATAACAAGGATTAAAATGACGCCATGCGGCTAACGTGCTTGCTTTTTTCGTAGGAACAAGAGATCAAGCACACTGTCGTCGCCGTGTAACTTCATTCTATGCGGAGCGCAAAGTTCGCCTGCTTCTTGCACAGGGGTTGCGATGATGTCAGAATGCCGAGCTTTTATTGGCCGATTGGAAAAACCATTGGGTAGTCCTCAAGGCTTCTAGCATTACCCACTATCCTTTTAATAAAAGCTAATCGAAGCTCGGCGTCGTTCTGACGTCATTGCCACTCCTATGCAAGAAGCAGACAACTTGCTGTCTGCATAGAGTTTAACAAGTCAAGAAAAAAATCTGTATACAACAGTTTTTGCTTGCATGACAATTTTTATGTTAGAAACACGAGCTCATGGTTTTATCATTAGAAGTCGTTCCTGCTGAGCAAGACTTCATGCAGCTGAGATGCGTGTTAAAAAGCTCAAGCTAGCAGCATTGTTGTGGAATTGTTGTACATGTAAGTAACACGAGAAGCAAAAAGTAAGACGAACCCCTCAGTGCAAAAGGAGAATGAAATAAAGAAAAATATGTGAGCAAGTTAAAGAGCAGAGCCCAATGAGATCACTATTTATGGAGCGTATAGGGCGAGCAAGTGTTCCAAGATGCATCTTTGGTGCATCGGAATTTAACGATGACCACGCCAACCAAAGGTCAACGTAGAAAATGCACAATGACGAGGCAGTCGAGCAAGCGCAGTCATTGGTTGTGGTTGGGGGGAAAACAAAAGCATGTGGGCACGTTTGGGAGGGGGGTAAACAAACCACAAGATATGCAAGGAGCAGATAAACTTGGACGCGCTGTACAGCGCTCCAGACATGAGAATGGGGGGTTTGCAGTTGCAGGCCATGTGTTCAAGACCCCTGGCATACACCATTAAAAATAAAATGCCTCCTAGGAGCTGTCGTCTTTACCTTCCGAGCTGTGAGACACGTTCCGAGGATGCACGGGCATTTGAAATACTGATATAATGAAGAGCTTTATTAAAGAAAAAGCCTACTATATTGTAAGAAGATCCTACTGCAACAAAAATGGGCCTTTTACCAGTAAGCTTCTGCGCATGTGTACACTCCCGCTGTCGCCATTTTCGCAGGGCACCAGGATGTTGCACTGCGAAAATGGCGACAGCAACTTTGTCAGCATCTACCTTTGGGCATAATTAGTCTACTTTGTTGCTTCGGTTTTAGTATCGGTAGTATGGGGTATAAAAAGCACTGAAAACCGACACAACAGGATGATGCCAATATGTTTTGACTGGCGGAGGCATGTAGGGCTACTCTTCATTTGTAGTTCGCAGACAACTCCCCAGACGGTGCCCGTTACTCGAAAAGGTCCATTGATGATGACCTTTAATGCGTTGCACAGGCAAGGAATCAACAACTGCCGGCACACAGCAGCATGTTTGTCTGTGTGCTTTCCTTAAGTTTCCAGCAGCTCGTTTAACCTCGAATGAACTCCGGAATATTTTTGTTGGCCAATCGCTCGGCAGTCAACGACAATCTACGCCGCACCATCTCCAGGAGTAACGGTGCACACACATGAAAAGTACCACTCGCTTTCACAATTGCATAACCAAATATATTTCGGGCCAAATTTTGTTTTGCATTGTCAAGGTACAAGCGCGACATACAAGTCAGTTTACCTCTGATCCAACTTGCTGAAGCGACACACTCGTTGCCGTTTTTAAAGAAGAATCGGATCGTTGTTTTCCAACAAAAAGAAAAAGCCCAGAGCAAGAAAAGAAAAGCACAAGCTCAACTGTACACTATATCAGGGTGGTGAGCCAGAGAACATGCCCTGAAAACGAACATAAAAACATGACCATGTGCGAAACGGCCACAAAAACATGCTGAGGCATCAGGTTCAGTCTGCACATAAAAAAAACGGCGGTACATTTTTATATTATGTACGGAGTTAAGATAAATAAAGAAATGCTTGCCATACTGTTTGAAAACAACTAGTAGCCCCCAAAACATGATGCTTGAGGCGTTGTCTATGCAAACACGTCATCAGATATCGCCGCTTGCACGACTGGCCATGGCTTTGAAAAAAACAACTTGCACGTTGGCGAGACATGTCTCGAGTAAAAATTTACAGTTTGAATTGCACGAGGGCAGTAACACTTGTCCAACTAAAACTGGGAAAACTTTCGATGCACCCACACAGGGAAACCCTATAAATATGTGCGTCATTTTGAACCATTCCCTCGGTTAAAACTGCGAGTGAACGAAACCCACAAAGTTAATGAGCTACGAAACTAGCAACCGGTGCACAAATACATAGCGCAGACTTCGCCGCAAGCCGCAGAATCCGAAGTTGTCGTCGATGCTTGCCTCTCGAATTTCGAAACGATAGCTGTGTCAATAGATAAGTTCTACTACTCTCCCGTATGTTAATTGCGCAATGACAATACACAACTGTCACTACTCTATCTAATAAGGCTGACTCGCACACTTGCGTCTCCCTGCGTCGCAACGCTTGCGACTGCTTCTGGCAAGAGAACACACTCGTGCCGACTTTCATATAGCCCTGGAACATTTCCAAAATGCGTATAACTCAACTCAAGGCATTGCAGTATTTGCGAAATGAATTCTACCATATCTATGAGAAACAATGACTTGTACCATTGTTTGACTTATTTCTAACTCGCGGCGAAAAAATGAAGCGTAAAAGATTGGGAAATATACGCAGATAGGAAGGGTTCTGGGGCCATCCGACAGACTGCGCCGGTGCATTATCTCATCGTAAGCGGTCGGAAACGGTTGCAACGTGGTCGATAACACTCAGACGTACACGTGAGAACCAGCCCCAAGACTCAAACCGGAAACAGTTTGAGAGTCACGAGAACATCACACAGGTCAACGGGCAGCGAACCGTCGACCCAAAATGAACCGAGAAAAACTACCAACGGGTACAAGTACAGTAGAAACTGACACTTCGAAATGGCCGGGTCACAAAACAAACTCGGAGAAAACTAACTAAGAAAGGCTTCTTCAGTGGCGGCGGGATCAAAGAGGGGAGGCCACGGCCGAGGCGACCATCTACGCGCGGTGGGGATCGCTCCACACAAAAGACATGCTACCGACAGAAATAGGGGACTGCTGACACTTTCTGCCGCTTCCTTGCCTGCATCTGGTCGAAGAACTCTCGCACGTCTTCCTCGCGTACCACCTGCAAGAGCAGACAGGAGAAGAGCTCAACCCCTCGACCCCCAACCACGTGCGTGGGTTTCCAAGCTTGTATGCGCTGTCTGGCGGAGAGCAGCGCTTTAGCTCGTGCTTCGCCCTTTTCGGGATATGTTGTTTAGTTAAATTTTTGCCGAAAAAAGATTATTATCCCAGGGGAAAAAAATAAAATAAAATAAAACAAAGATTGATGTCTGCAGGCGCGGAGAAAGGCGACATGTTCTCAACGAAGCAGTCGGCCGTAGCCGATGAATAAATACGGCAACTTTTATTTGAAAGCGACGAGCGCTCTACCGTTTCTGACGGGCCGTACCACACTTCAATGACTCGTAGACCCCCCCCCCCCCCCCCCCCCCCTTTTAAGGTTAACAATTAGCACAAAAAAATGGGAGCCTTTTGCTTGGCCTCAAGATGTTGTGATCCGCCTTCCTGGACGTTTCCAGCAGTACCACACGGTGAAGACCTACTGGACATGTAAGGTAGCCATGAAGTCATGGTCACAGCAACGAACATCATCTGGAGGCTAAGTAAGGTTTCCTTCAACTTTCGTCCACAATGCCCATTTGAATTAAAGGGCAACTCCGCTCAGTTCTAAAGATTTTGGGATAATGATTGAGTTTATATAAAAAGAGTACTAGTAAGACACTACGTCATTTGCTTCGCGAAAAATGGGATTAATATTGTTAGATCCAATTTTAAACACGAGCAGAAATTGAAACCAAAACTTTGACTCCATTTGGCAGCACTGGCCTCAGGCCACCAAGAGCGTGACTACTACTGGTACGAGATGTCGCAATCCTATATGCAACGACGGGCGGGACTGGGGCGGGCGTGCGCCAGGCACAAACGTCGTCTGCACCGCGCTCTTCACCACATTTTGGTGTTATGACATTCAACGACGTCTGCACAACCGCGGCATAAGCCTGAGCACGTAGTGTCCGTTGTCTGAACGAAACTCCCGAGAGACAATAATCATAAACTGTGAAACGACGACGACGGTCGTGACGCGGGAGACGGCGGTAACGGCCCAACAGCTTCCAAGAAGCGCACGGCGCAGGCGCGTTACACCACTGAGCACAGAGTTGAAACGTTGCTGACATCACCTGTCACGCTTGCCCGGAGAAGTAAGAACAAGCAAAAAGGGGCAATGGTGGCGACGTTTAGCTCAATGCTGGCTATGCCAACACCGTAGCCTTGACTACACCGTCAATTGCACCTCAAATCGCCCTCTCAGGTCGGCCGATTTTAGCAACTTAGAACACTTAGACGAAACTTAGAAACCCTTAGACGAAAGAAGGTCGTAATATTTGATGTGCGGTCTTCCTAGGTGACACTGACTGCATTGTTTCATAAAAAAAAAAAGGAAGCGGAGTTTCCCTTTAGCTTTTAGCGGTGTGCTTTATGGAAAAGAAATTAGTATGCAACAAGCTAACACGCAGCATTTTGGTGTTGCTCCAAATTAGTATAAACGATACAAAGTCCATTGAGGCTACGTCACAGTCGTCCATTGAAGAGGTAGACAAGAAACAATTATCAAGAGACACTGAATGCCCAAAACATTTTTAGGTGCCCAAATAAAACATCTAAATAAAAAAAAAGTTAATTAAAAAGGAGGGGGGGGGGGGGGGGTATCTGTGTTTTATTCAGGTGCCTCAGAAGATGTTATTTGGGGGAGTTAACTATCTTTCTTAACATCCTGCACCATAGTCATGGAAATAAACATGGGAATACTTTTTAAAAGGCTGCATCGCAGTCACACTTTGATATGGCTTACCGTCTTGGAGGTGGCAAATTTCTTCAGAAAGTCGGTGAGCTCCGTCTTAAGATTGTTGTAGCCTGCAAGACGGCAAAAGAGAAAAAGCATAGTGTGAAAACTGAGAATGCGGCGAATATGGTAGATCAATTACACGGAAAACACTAATGCTTTCACCAAAATCATTTGTTCTGAGGAGGTTAAATGACAGCCAAACCAAGGATAAGAGAAGGCAGAAGGGGCATACTGAAGTACAAGAAGCACCCATAGTAAATGGGCCAAACTTTTGCCGAATAAAAAAATCGGCGCCGAAGTTTTGGATTCGGCAAAGTCTAACTTTTGTTGAACTTCTCTCAAGATTCGGCAAACGGCAAAAATGCATTGTTACCAGACTTCACGTTAATATTTAACGTTAATGGCATTAACCTAAATGCAATCTGTATTGCATATTGACACAGTTTTTACTAAATAAGGTGATATTCTACGAGATATTTGTATCAGTGTTGTTTTTCTGTGTTTACTGGCAATTTTAGTGCCTTCTTGCAGAAGTAGCACGCAATGAGGTAGGGTAGTAGCGAGCGCAGTCACGAATCAGGCTACGAGAGTTTCAGTTTTAAGGTTTCATTAGTGCAACCCTGCAAGTGCGCGTGGTGTACATTGTTAATACAAAGGCAGTAACACTGCATTCTTTCTTTCTCTGGGAGTCACCATTTCGTGTGCAAAAACAAATGAAACGGTTACGGAGCCTTCACCAGAAAAGATGGCAATATTATCGTAAATATGCATGTTTTTTTATTTGAGTCATCTAACGTCAACTTTGCACAAAAGTGTGCGTCCCATATTCGCAACGTCTCATTTTTTAACTTTTAAAATGCCGTCTTTTGGTGGTAGGACACACGAGTAAATTTAGGAAAAAGGGAAGAGTGAGGAATGTCAGATGTGCAACGTTGAACATGATAGTTCCGTTTTTAATTTTATGCAGACACATAAAAACCACGAAATAATGCTGATTAAAAAGCAATATTAATTTGTTTTGGCACAAACTTCTTGTGAGGCAAAAATAGGATTGTTATAATAGCGAGGAGTGCTTTAAAGTAACTGTCAGTCAATGTTTCAACTACCTCGTTGCATCACTGGAAAGGTCAAATGAAAATCACGTTATCCAGAATGTACCGCATCATCTGTCACTTGTGCAGTGGACTGCGTAAATTACTGGTCATCTTCTGTTCTTGAGGCAAAAAATATTGAAGAGAACCACAAAATGCACAGTCGCCATGTTGCCTACTCCACACCCCGATAGAACCACCAGATATGCTACACTGTACAATGGTAATTGCACGACCGCATGGCGTCCATGGCCCTGTCGGGCTATTGCGCGTGTGCAGATTATTCACCGAATTTTTGCTTACCAAACTTTCCTTCCAAAGTTTGGCATGTGCCGAAATTGGCTGAATCTGAAGTTCGGCAGATTCGGTCCATCACTAGCATCCGCCCAGCGAGCTCGGTCTGTTCTGTTATTCTTGTTTGAAAACTTAGGCTGACCGAAGCATCGACTAACCGCTCACAAAACCATGTTGGCTAAATGCTCAATCATTTATGCGAAATTTACCCTACTTTTTCTTCATTATTGAGATTTCTTGTCTACTTTGGAGAAAGAGAACATCTAAAATGTTGAATGACGCCAGTTATTCTGGAAGCTACGAAAGGAACAACAGGGTTTGTGTTTCGGAGTTCTGCAGATACTTAAAGGGGCACTCAAGTGGATTCTGAGATTGTCCATTTATTGTCATAACTCAATCTGCGGGCTCTAAGCATCCTAGAGATCCCAAAATTACATTCAAGAGCGGCCGATTTCCCTATTAAAAATCCAATCAAAGATCGCTGTTCTGCGCCTAGGCGCACGCCGTCAGGGGCGCTGTCGGACGGGAAGGCAGCAGGGAAGGGCGTGCGCCATCCAATCACGAGTGACGGCTTCCCGGCGGATTGATCCTTCGAACCGGCGGAGTGATCTTTCGAATGTGCGCGTATTTGATGGAGTCTCGTTGGGACTCATTTTGTTTACTTCGGGTCTTGCGTCGTGCGGAGATGGACCTGCCAAATCTAACACCGTTGGAGGTGGAAATTCTTCGGCGGACGGCAGATATCAGCTCAATCTCCTACGACGCCACTCCTACGCGCGACGCCGATGCCTCGAACGCGACGGACTCGGACGACAGTTCGCGATGCTCAATGTCGACACCGGAGGAAGACGACGAAACCGACGACGCAACCCAGCGGCTTGGGAACACCAACTGGTAGGTGATGAGCTGTTTATTATACCTCTCATATGTATAGCTGATGCTGGTTTTCTGTTTTAAGGTGCCAATGCAGTTGCTGCGTGCCGATGGAAACCGTCGCAGAGTGTGTCTGCTGCCGTGACTACCCGGCCGCCGTTCGCAAGCAGCAGGGCCGGCAGAGCTGCGTGACAAGCCACCCGGATTTCGAGGGGCTGTGCCTCGATCCAAGTGTGCTACAGCTGGCCTTGTTGAACATGCGCCACTATGGTGAAAGAAACATGGGGGCAACCTCGAACGAGGGAGTACAACTTCGTGTTACCGGTCGCGAAACTTGCTGTTCTGGCTCGGCCCCCGTTTTTCTTGCGTATACGCATTGAAGCGGCGTGATAGCTTTGAATAGAAATCATCACTAGCGTTCAACTGCTTTTGAATGTTTTTCGCTTTGCGTGTCTGCTTTTTTCTTGTTTGCCGTGCGTTTTTGGTTCCATGCCCATGCCTCCCAAGCCGCGGGCCAAGGATAAGGACGGGTAGCTTTATGACAGCGTCTATTCTCCCGGCAGCTGGGAGAATAATTTCTCGAAATTCTACCGACGATCGCCTCCCATTGGTTGTCTGAAATCATACAAGTGCCGGTAGAATGCTGATTTTCTTGTTCTTCCAACATCTCATGGAAACACGTTTCATGGACAACTTTTCCTGGACACGTATTGTCGACGCTGACGTTTCATCGACACTCGTTACGCGAATTGCACGCTGTAGGGACACTTTATCGCGCGTGTATCCCTCGGGCCAGTGTTAACCCCCCGCTCTTCGCCTCCGCTTTCCCTTGGCGACAGTCAATGGTCCAATGGGAGTCAACTGCCGGTTGAATTTCGGGGAAATTATTCTTCTGGCTGCCGGGAGAATAGATGTTACGTGGCTTTATAGACTGACATGGAGTCAGAGTTGGACTACTGTCTCTCGTCGGTTCTTGAGGCTGCTCAAGAAGTCAGACATTGCAAGGAAAACGTAGTCAACTATTCAAACGCAAAAAAAATACAAGGGGAGTCACACAGACGCCGGCAACATCGCATTTCAATGGTTTGTTTATGGGCAAAGGCGAGCTTCTTGCCCACACTCCATTGCGCATGCGCGGCGCCGGTGGCGTCTGCTAGGGGCGCTCCAGTTTGTTTATAAACATGAGTTGGTGTGTAGTTAGTTGTGCCGATCATTTGTTTGTTTGCAAATACATCACATGCACAGCGAAAGGAAACATAAAAGAGAACCATAATATATGATGGTTTTTCCGGGGAAACAATCACAAGGGAGGTGTAGATTTCAGAGTAGCGAATATTGCTTATTACATCTGATTAGTCTGGTCATTGCCTCAGGTGTATGGCTGGTGGGTGTTCCTTACATTCAATAAATGTGGACATTGTTTCAGGCGCTTCCGGTTCGCTGCCTATAGGCAGTGTGTGCTTTGGCTGTGGTGGAGACTTGGACAGAAGAACAGGCGACCACTGCCCTCCTGCATGGTCAAGGCAATTAGAGGTCACTTTGCCAGCGACACCTACTCCGGGTTTCGGTACCCCTCCCTTTAAAAAAATAAAAGCGCTAAACAATGCATTGCCCAGCAGTCGTTCTTCACCCAAATGTAATGTTAGGCGTTAGAACCAGATGACAACTTATTTTTGTCCAGTTCAATGTCATTATCGATTTTCATGTTTCAGCGAGAACATTGGGAGTTTTCATTGGCTGCCATCTTCTTGGCGCCTTTGAGCACTTACTGCTATACTCCGTGTCACCTAACAAACGACTGCTGTGGATGCTACGAGCCATTGAGGCGAATCCAAGGCACTTTGAGAGTTTCCCATAACCTTTGAGAAAAAGCACGTTTTTTCAAGATCCTCTTCCTTATCGTTCTCGCGGCGAGATAAGCTGCGAGCCACGCGCTTTCCACGACGGAGCCGCGTCACCGCGTGGGCACATCACTCCCGCGTAACAAGGCGAGGAGAAAACGTAGTTCGCTCTTTTTCAAACAATAATAGCTGTATTACGTCACCTACCGCCAAAGATTTGACGTTGTTGTCAAAATATAATGTGCATGTCTCTAAAAAGAGCAATAATAATAACTTTAGCAATCTTTTCGCAGTTCGCTATTTCTATTGGTCGAATTCTATGGAGGTGGTGGAGACACGGGATGGACCCCGCAAGAGGATATAGTGCCTGTGTATTTCTATTGCTGTGAGTTTACTAGGGCGCCTTGCCATTTAGAACTGGTCATTTTTATTGACTGAAGCCCAACAAACAATATGCTTCCAAAAACAAGCTTCTCCAAAAAGCACTTGAGTGCCCCTTTAAATGGTTACTGATCAGCCCTTTTGGCTGAAATGCGATTTAGGTTGAATACTATTGCTGCATTTTTACAATTGTACCCTGTTACTGATAAAGCTGCCCTGCAGTGATTAAAGGTTACCCAATAGTGCCGCTAGGCACTACTGGGTAACCTTCACTGACTCCAAGCCACCCTTCAGTGACCTTAAGTCAGGGGTCTTAAACACGTAGCCCACGGGCCCAAGGCCCCAAGCATCAAGTCTCGAGCATTATGTGCAGAGAAGCTGAGGGAGAGGAGGAGACGAGAGTGTGTGGGGACGTCAAAACGCTGAGCTCCGGTTTGAACGATTACTGGGGTAGACCTAAAGCTAGCTGCCTTTTCTCCACCGCACTCGTTGAACACGTTTGAATGCGAGAGCCAAACACCGGACATCGGTGTTCCACGTACTAATGCGTTCAACGTTTTTTGTTTTTTTTATGAGTTTTGTTTTATAGGCATGTATGAATAGTGGATTTTGAGTTCGAAGTGAATTTGAAGCAAAGAGTGGTTTTGGCCGAATATTTTCAAATCAAATATCGAATAGCTTTCCCAGCTTTTCACTACTGCACCGTGAATAAACAAAAACCCATCTGAACTCGTAAAGATTGTTCCCAAGCTTCAACTTGTCCATATCTAAGCAAAGGCTAATTTTAATCTTGCTATATTTATTAGCTGTGACCTCAGAAAGTCTACTGCCTACATGGGAATGGCAAGTAAAAGATGCATTGGACATAAAACTAAACCTACAGAGATGCCCAGTTATACGTAATCGAGGGGATTTGTAAATCTTCTTGCTATGTGCAAAGATTCTTTATTTTATCTAAAATCTAAGAAAATAAAAAATGACAATTATGAACAAACCGTAAAATAATGCAGAAGTGCCCACCTCTTTCCCAAGCGCCCACTATTAACATTTCCCAAACTTGGCAATTCCGCAAATTATACGTTAACCGCTAGATTCGACGGGACAAGCGCCCATGTCTAGGTCAACCCAGTTTTCGGTGAAAACGGGGCGGGCGCACCTCGGATATTTCGTGGTAGGTTTTTAAAACACCTTTGCCTAACATATGCTCTTCCATAATAGCCAAAGTTTAATTTTGAAAATTTTACTATAATGTAGATATCAACATTCACAAAGTTTTTGTTTCTTTTTACACACACCACGTGCGTGCATGTACCATGCTGCTTTGAAAGTGGGCCTTCCTATTAAGAATATGACGGCAATATTTGTACTTTTCAAAGAGTTGATCGCGGCATGTTAGCCCCTCTGAGCACGCTTCTTACGACACACCGGTGCACTGCGGAGAAGCGACACTTGTGGAAGCGAGCTTTGCGGGTGTTGCTCCTCTGCATTGCACCGGTGCTCTGTAATGCTGGAGTCCCGCTAGAGCGACAAACAGAAACAAACGACAGCGACAAGCCTCAGACCAGATTCTTTCAAGATTTGACAGGCTTTGTAGAATAAAGGAGGCTATGCTCAAACACGAGCGTCATGCACGCGAGGGTATTTTTGGCAGGCTTGCTATCACCCGTGCTTACTTCACGAGCACCGAACGACTAAACGCCTGCCAAAGGTACCATCGCTAGCATGCTGCATGTCTTTCAGGCTGGTCTGCGTCGATTGTTTTTGTTTGTCGTTCCTGTGGAACTCGGGCATAAGAAGCACGCTCATTGTGGCTAATCTGCCGCAGTTAGCACTTAAGCTATCAGGTCTGGCTTGTAGCTGTCAAAAAGTACCATTAAAACGCAAGAAATATAAAGCTACTATGAAAATTGCCAGGCAAGCAAAATTTTCCAGAGATTTGAGTGACACGGCAACAACGGTGCGTTTGTTCCGGTAAATCGAAAAATGCAAGCACGTTAGCGGAACTGCGTTATTTGAATCTTGTTATCACACCAGAGATGGGCTTAAGTAGTCACATAAAGAAACCAAAGCTAAAGTAGGGAGCACGAGGTCCCTTCTCTAAAAAATCCCAAATGTGTCACCACGAGACTTGGCTACATGAAGGCGTGCAAAAACCCACTGCCATTGTCTTCTATCGGGGAGGGGGGGGGAGACAATGGCAGTGCCCTGCATCGGCCCCCAACCCTGCATCGGCCCTCAACAATTCAGGGGCGGGCTACGAGGCCCCCGCACCCAAACATGTTTGAGACCCCTGCCCTAGGTGATCCTGCAGGCTGCCCCGCGGTGATTGCACTACCCCGTGGCAAGCATGGCTACTTTTTCCTAAGCTACCCGTCGGTGTCTCCAAGCTACCCTGCGTTGAGTCTAGCTTACTTTGCAGCAACTCCAAGCTACCCACGGCGACCCTGGGTTACCCCTCAGTGACTCCCAGCCGCTCCCTGTCCCTCTCACCGTGGATTGCCTCGATCTGCTGCACCCTCCCCAGGGTGCCCAGCGCCGACATGAGCGGGTCGCCAGTCTCCGGCCCGGGCTGCGCCGCCTTGCCCCGCTCCTCGTACGACTGCACAGTGTCGTCTTCGTCCAGGAGGAACTGGCAGTGCTGCGCCTCGTACATGGCCTGTTGCACCGGATACAAAGGCGGGCACCAAGGTCACACCGCTGCCCGTAAAGTTCTTGGGGTCCAGTTTCGTTACGGCTTTGGAGAGGTGCAGCGAAGCAATTTTTTACTTGGTCTTTTCGTGGCTTGAGCACGAGCTACCTACTGGATTCGTCTCGAGGTCTACAAATTATTTAGCATATTTTTCGAAGCGCACTCTGTGTCTGTCAAAACAAATTTCGGCCAAAGAAATAGTTTTTGCCTCACGGAACCCACACCCGGTGCATAGTATTGTCCAAGTGTAAAAAAGCTTCTCACAGACCGTACACCTTAAAAAAGCTTTCCTTATTAGTGCAAAAAAAAAGCTCGGAGCACACGGAAATCTTTGTTAACCTACTCAGTCGTTCGCAAAACACGTCTCACCGTAATGAATGGTCCAGAAAAAAAAAAAAAATCCTCCTATAATCCGTGCCATGTAAAATTTCAACTTTTAAGCTAGTGAAATCTGCGAAGGAAAATACGGTTCACATACTTGTCCCCGTTCTGAGCAAAACGCACTATCAAAATCTTGCCCCTTTCTCCTTTTTTGCACGGAGGAAAGGGAAAGCAATTAACTTTTCCCTTTCTTAGTTCAAGCAGGACGCTTGTGCGAGTAATTTGTGGACTTTTTAGTGATGGAAGTGGCATTCAACCTTTTGTTGCAGGTTCTGTAGCAGGCAAAATATTGGTTTGGAACAGTCACTGACGTTTTTGGAGCAGATGCCAACATCAAACACATCACTTGAAAATAAAAAAGTGGTTGCATCGCTAAATGATTTTATCTTTGACAACGAGTGAGGGTTTCTCTTTGTTACTGGGGCATATTACTTATCAACTTCTGTAGGACGCATAAAAAAAAAAAGAGGCTTTTTTCTTTTTAAATGAGCCCTTGGTTAGCGTAGGTTCCATTTACAATGGATACCGAAAAAAATGGACTAAAAATGAATTGTAGTGCAACACTTCCAGTTGTGATAAAGCTTCTCTGCCCTCCCACTTTGACACCTGGGCCCGTTTTCTCGAACACGAACCGTGGTTTAAAGTTAGCTATTGTCCCTAGAAGGGGGAATTTTAAGTCACGTGACTGGGAGAGCAGGGGCGCCGAGGGAGAAGCAGTACCTACAAGCAAAATGGCCACGACGTCGCTTAATGAGGGCTAATAGTTCTGCTTGGCTCTGCTGAACATTCATTTCGATCCGGCTGTTATATTAATGACGCACCATCAACCTATTAGCACGTCAAGCAAAGCGATAGTTCAGAGGGACTACTAAACTAACCGACGGCAGCATTCCGCGAACGCATCACTCATCAGGAGTCCGGGATCCAAGACATATGACGGTACATAGGCCTTGCAAGTGTTTTTATGGCGAGTAAAAAAATGTTTTGCGAACGAATGTTGGTATATATTTATACCAACACGTTTAATTTGTTACACTATGCACGCCAACTCGTGAGCAGCGATTACTTTGCGAAGAAAGGGGGTTATCCTCGATAAAGTATTCGTTCGAGGTGAACAGCTGGAACATTGTGCTGTTTTTTGGTTCGCAGTGCGCCGACAGTATGTCGACATTATCGAGGTTTCTACATATCCCCGGTGGCCAGCAATTCAACGGTGACGAGAAGCTTACCTCCTCGTCACCGGTGGATCGGTTGGGCAAAAGGAAAAGGGGGCAAACAGTTGAGATCAGCAGGAATCGCAAAAACGTACATCACAAGGAACAAAAACGAGACTACAGCACCGGCGTTGCCAGACTGGAAGGCACACGGGAAAGTTATGCGTTGTTTATGGCGAAACATATTGAAGGAAATGTTTCTTACATTTTCGAATATTCGTCGGCAAACTCTAGCATAGTAGCTAAGATTTCTTCGTACCATCTAAAGCAAATAAATTGGTCTTCAAGTACAACATTACCATATTTTGACTTAAAATACCATACTAGATCGATAACAACCAGAGGAAAAAGAGGATAAACAAAATGACTGGCTTGTTTCACCGATAGATGGCGCATCTTACTGCCCAATAAAAAATAATTATTGTTGTTATACATCTAGCCGTTTATTACAGTACCTAGGTACTTTTTCCTTCCTAGGCACCGTGGGTTTACTAAAATGGGTTTACCATCGCTTTGAGAAAACCGGCCCAGATAGTTTATTTAGCCTGTTAAAATAATTTCTGCAAAATGCCAGCATATCCATTAACCCCTTAACTGGGGAGCGCGTCTCTAGATGCGCGTCAATTTTGACCACAGCTTGGGGGGCACGTCTATAGCACATACTTTCATTGCTGTTGGGAAGCACGTCTTTAAACGCTCGCTCGTTTTACCTAGGAGGGAGGATGCGCCATCTATCCTCAAGCATCGGAAACATTTTTAGTTTTAAAAACGATGCATACATGGCAACACAAAAAAAGGTTGAAGACTCCAGTAGGACACCTTTGACTGTTTGGAAAATGGCGTCCAGCAAGCGCCGGCGTCCCTTGACCGACGAAGAAATCTATGAGCTGCTGCAAAATACTCAAAAGGACTTCTTGTAACTCAAAGTTTGCTGCTCTTTCGATCGACAGCTGCACGGGAACTACTTTGCCTACTATATTTATTCAATTATAGACCCACATTTTTTTTTCTCTCTTTCTCGGCACAGTTCTTTATTTAATGAGAGATCAACCTACCATCAACAGGGTAGGCCTCGAATAAATACTGAGTATAATTCCCGAGGCTATCGCGCTAACCCGGGCGCTCACCCATGTCAGCCGCAGCTCCAAGCACTCCGGTGTAAAGCGGTGAAGTTCGACGCACCCGCGCTGGTGAGAGGCGGCATGGAGGCGTGCGGCAGACATGATAATCAAGTGATCTCACCAGGAGTACAAGACGCTGGTTCTGTCTCGTTACAACAGCCGCCATCCTACTATTTTGCAACAATCTTTCGCGACTTCTAGCTCCTGACGTCACCAATAATGTCTGAAAATTTTGACAATGTTGCCGATCAACCCGCCAGCACATCAACTGGCCGGCGCGGCTGACGAGCAATCTCAACACTTCGTTTCACTTTAATTTATGGCGCAACTGACGCTTTGAACCAATGGGACCAACCAAATGGCAACAACGTGCGACATCATGGCATTCGTCCACCGTCCTGTACGTGCTCTCTCATCGACTCAACCAATCAAGTTCAGCGAAATTTCCGTGACTTGCACTTGCAGTAGAACTGTGTTTGCGGTCGCACGTGTTCGAGCCTTCAACTGTGCTATGACCCAAGATGAAACAAACCATAGAAAAAGCAGAGACACTGTGAAATACATGTAGCAAGGAAGAAGGAAGACTAAGTGCACGGGCGCACTGCGTGAGGACAGGATCAAAACACACGACTGGTTGTAAAACTGTATCATCGACTTTTGCCATATCATTACATACACATTTGTAGCATTTTCCTTTCTCCTACTTCTATCAGCACAGGTGAGCACAATCCTTAGCAAAAATGGCACTTTGGCACGAGATGTAGAAGTGGACTTTCATTCAACACCAAACTTGCTGCTGAGACCCTGGTGTAACTCGCTGGTTGAGACCTGGCTCGTGCTCAAGCCCCGAATAGACAGAGTAAGAAACTGCCATAGCACACCTGTAACTACAGACAACGCAACCTTGATTTGACAATTCTGTGAGGCACAACGTTCCCCACTTCCCCCTCTCCCCAACTTCAAGCACTTTAAAAAAATTCTACAGGCTTAGGTTATGCTGACAAGGACCAGGGAGCAGGGAATATACAAACTACACTCTGTGTGTGGTTTTGCTAGGTTTTTCAATATTTTTGTTACCTACTCTTACTTATTTTTATCACCTGCTTTTTATTTATTTTATTACTCTCAAATATTATCTGTATTTATTTATTTTATTATTTTCATCCAAAACTTCCCGCTCTCGCCGGTACGTTTGCATTAAAATGAAATTTACCCTACCAGACCAGCTGTGCTAGTAGCTCAGTGGCTACAGCATCAGACGGATCCGGACTGTTCTACCGTAACTACAACTCGCAGAACGACATGCTTACCATACAGTCGTGGCACCGGCACAGCTGAGAGCGCCACCCTGGGGGCCAGAAGGCACAACGCTGCCCTGTAGGCCCCTCTCTTGCACCGGCTCCGCTGAGACGCCGGAGGACGCACCCCGACGACGACTGATGCGTTTCAACCTAACGAGACAAAGCAGCCGCGGTATATAAAACACTTTGGTTCTCCGCATGAAGCCAGAAATATGAGGAATGCTACCAGCTGTCGTATGACACTGTGGCATCACGTGACGGCGCGACATGTGACGTGACATGACAGCGCGACAGTGACGTCAGACGACACCTTGAGGTAAGTAATGAGATCATGTAGCTCCGGTGGACAATGCAATGCCCACAGTGGTCGTCCGACCATTTAGATATGCGGGGCGCAAGTTCATCCGCTCCTTGCGCGGGCGTTGCGGTGACGTCAATGCGCCTCGCTACGATTCGCTCCGATCGAAAAAATGGCAGGTGGACCTCGATGCAGCTATGAACAAGGTCTACCAACAATAATCTTTCCAATTGGAGCCAATCGCAGCTCGGCGTTCCGACGACACCGCGGCCCCTTTGCAAGAAGCAGACGAACTTAAGCTTACACGGCTTACATCGGGTGTCCTCAACCTTTTTAGATCTATCTATGGCCCTTACGTAACGAGTGGTCCACCATGATTATGCAATCTATGGCGATTACGTGATCATGCTATTCCTCCCCACAGTGAGGCAACACTTTCCTTGCCGCAACGCGCGAGTATGTGGTGGCTGTCGCGACCTTAGTCCAAGTCGCTCCACCGGCACAAGGGTAGGGCATCCGACTGTAGACACTGAGAAGGTAAGAATGGAGCTTTGGGTGTAGGGCACCTTGAGCGCACACACACAGAGCCAAAACGTCGCGGAAGGCGCTGGTGAGGCCGGGCATTTGAAAAACACGCCCCGCCGTTTTCTCTCTGTTACGTCGGCCCAACTCTGTTACGTTGAGGCGCAGTGGTGGTGCGTCAAGCGCACTTCCTGTCGGTCTGAAGCTGTGGGCGGATGTCCCCATGCGAGACGTGTATTCCTGCATTGTTTTGACAGAAACCAGACAAAAACCTGCCTTCTCGTCAAAACGCCACAACTAGGGCGGTACTTAGTGGGTCAAGAAAGGTTTGAAGATCAGTTTTCATGTGCTCAGTTCGTCCAAGAATGTAGATATGTGCCGCGAAAAGGGAAAACAAAGACCCAGTCAGATCACTATTGTTTGAGCAGAAAGCACTTTGGGTTGAATTCACGGATACTTGTGGTCGTCAATTTATTTGTTCTGTTCCAACATGAACGCGTGAAAACTGTCAAGTTAAACGGACCACCTGCGGACTACGTTCAGTGCGTCTTCAAGTTCAAACGGCCACCTGATCGTTTGAACTGTCGTCTGCTCTTTCAAACATTTCTGCCTGTCGTCTGCTCTTTCAGACGACACCGGCCTATACACCAAATGTTGGCTCGGTAATTGCGATGAGAAATAAGTGCAGGCCTCAAAAGACTTTCAAGTTTGAAGGTGGGTTAGGGTAAGCAGGCTCGGTGTAAACAGTTGGTACAAGAAGATGATGATCATTGTCATTGACTTGTTATGCCCGATTCATTTGGTCCGATTCTGCTTGCGATTTTCACTATCGACGTCAACTATCTCAGCTACGGTTCACGCTTTTGCAGCCTGAGCGATGTCGCAACTCAAAATTGCAAGCGGAATCTCATATCAGGCCTTAGCATGCATTCTCTGCAGCGTCCACGCAGAATGAATCGCTGCATGTCACATTTTTCACGCGACGTTTTGTGGCGTTACGAGCCTCGGTAATTTCACTGAGGCCGCTCAGTAGTCAGACATTGCCCGGAAGACATAGAATTAACAATTCCAATGCAAAAAAGAGCACGGTTACTCACACCGACGCCGACAACGTCGCATTTCAATGGTTTCTTTATGGGCGACGGCAAGCTTCTTGCCCACACTCCATCGCGCATGCGCGGCGCCGACCAGCTCATGTTTGTAAACATGAGCTGGTCTATAGAGAGCGAGTTTAAATCTTAAAAAAAAACAAACAAGGGTTCTTCTTTTTTTTTTTTTTTTGCAAAAACATTAGGTTGCAATATAACGTTTTTGTAACTCTTCACGAAGCTCCAGGGTCTATAAAAGCATTCCGCTTTAAAAATTGGCAACAACTGGCAGAATGCGGCCGGAAAAGTATTCGCCGCTGCACCATACCTTTGGCATTCCCGATGTTAGAGGAACATTTCCAGAGGCCCCGGTATTGAAGCCGCCGCAAGTACCATTGGTTGCCGCTGCACCAAGAAAGCCTTTGGAGCAGGGCATTACACTCCCTTCTTGATTGCCGATCCCTGCGAGAAGGGATGGATCCAATGGTTTATTCACTACCCAGTTTATGAAGAGATGCTACTCTTTGAGACGTCACTAAAAACAACATCTTTGAAATTATGTTTCTTGAAGAGTCATAGGCACTTATTGTCTTGTCCTGATGTAGTTTCGAGAAGTAAGCCTCTTTTATCTCGAAGTATTGTTTTGGAGACATAGTACTAAAATGGGTCTGTGCATGTTTCCTTGTCGTTATTGCAGAATGAACTATTCACACACTGCTATTTTATGGAAGCCACAACTTCACTCGTACATAGCCTATCTTCGCCCTTTTTTTTCTTTCTCTGTTAGGTGTATGTCTGAGGCATGGCACAAGGCTTTTTAAAATGCCTCTTATGTTTTCTACAATAAATATGTTTGAACCTGGAAAAGTAGAGTGTAATAAAATCCCTGTGAATCATCCTAGAGCTTGAATTTACACCTTACTGGATTCCACAAACATTTTAAGTTACTAAGTTTTTTTTTTTTTTTTTTTTTCTTCAAATTTAAGTATTTTAATTTAGAGCAATCCTTCTCATGTTCTTTGCAAATGAAACTTGATATTAACTCTTTCCTGACCGTGTCAATAGGTCATCGATCACCGGTGATCAATGGTTTCCAAGCACCGTCAAGAAATTAAGTTTAGTGCAGAAAATTATGTTCCACAATCCTGTGGATAGCCAAAAAATTGTAGTTTCGGGTTCAACGTAGCTTTGAGCTTTATCACCAGCTGGTGAGCTGTTAAATATAGTCGTGGTTACGGTGGTTGCACTTGTCTAACATGGCTAGCTGCTTGCATCAGTCTTCGTAACAAAGGTGGCATTATTTGCATAATTTAACTATAATATTGTGGTATATTCTTTAGACTTCAAGAGCTAGAAGGACACTTTAAATGCTGTTATAGGCGTCCCTTAACAGATGGTTGTCGGTAAGCATCCCTATAATTTCCAAGGCAGTCCTGAGCCGGCGTGCACGCTTTATGTTCTCAAAAAGGCACACAAAAATTCTAAATATGAGAGAACTGCGATCGAGGCTACGACAAAACCAAGGTAGAACAGAAGGAAAGCATTCTGCTCGGGACGCGAGGAGTACTATCTGTGCTTCATGAATATAAGCACTCCTTAAGCGCAGACCGCATAGCGCGTTTTTGCTCGCGATTCAGGCACGTCGGCGTCAAACTGACGTCATTTCCTGCGTGCGGGCGCGTGTTTTCGCGGGAGCGTTGGTTTCTAGCCGACCCAGAACAAGACGCGCGTGCCGAGGCGTCGAAGCAGCCCTCGCCCAATGAGGGTCGGTCGAAGTATCACGTGATCCTGCACAGTACGCTGTTTCGTATTCAGCACATTTCAAAGTGTTCAAAAGCATTTTTATTTTCCATATAAAAATTGAAAAGGTGCTTCTTTTGACACACAAACCCGTATTATTTACTTTTTTTTTCATTTAATTCTCATTTTGTAGTATTTGCGTCAACATTTACATCGCGTGTTTAGAATTCTGTTATCTGGCAACGCTGATAACGCGCAACCGGCGGTGCTCCGCTTTGTCTGCATGCGGGTGCCCACGCGTCAGCTTCCGCGCGAGCAATCATAGCACGTCGCAATTTCGCGTGTAGAAAAACACGCCATGCGGTCTGCGCTTTAGTTGAAAAGCATGCGCGCTACAAAGGCTAACTCCCCTATGAACCAAAAATAGACAATGTTAGAGTACACTAACTTTCAGAAGTAATAGCCATGGGTGTGGAACACATTTTGTATACTGTGAATTTCTTTTTGTCGTTTAATTTGACATAGCTGTAGAAGTTTCGGCGCTTATATGCATATACATTGAATATTCAAGAAATAAAACTTTAAAATCTTTTTCCACATAGGCTATCTAGTTTTTATAACTCAAATGTAAACATGTAAACAAATGTAAACACAAGGGTGATTACCTCAAAATGAGATGCATATCTGTCCTAAGTCAATTTTTGAAAACCGTTTTTTCGCAATGAGGACTTTAACTTAAAACAAAACAAAGTAGATAGCCCGATTCCCCAGTAAATTTCAGTTCAAAAACATGTTGATTGTGGTATCAGAATAATTTTACTTTTGAACAAAAGATTCCTCAGTGTGAAATTTGCAGCAAAAAGCGGAACTGAGAAAATGCATTCAAACACTGAACTCCTTTACTTTGTTACTGCCTCACAATGTGCTGAAAATATTTTATATCAAGATAACTATTTGGCGCGTGGTTATGGAATTTAGTGTAAGGGTGTATAATTAGTTTCTCAAACCGAAAACAACAAAATCGAAAATTTAATTTTTTAAAAAAAGGTTGAAACTTAGGCTTATTTCCCCCCTTAATAACAGTGTTTGCATGAATCATTTGAAAATTGCTATTTTCCCCGTGGTCAGGAAAAAGATAATAAAACTAATTCGGCTACAGGAAAACCAAGTACATACTTGTTGTCAGATTGTGAAGGCAGAAAAGCTATGTTAGATTTCATTTGAATTGAATCACAAGTTATATTAAAAAAAAAGCTATTGAAGCAGAATTGCCCCTTAAAGGGATACTTCAACAAAATTTGAAATATACCCGTCGTGTTCACAAAAAAAAATTACTGCATCTTCACATGGTGGTGAATGATGCTGATTGGGCCAAAGCTCTGGTGGTGCTGATGATACTGATTTTACTGTTCATAGGTAGTGCTGATTTTTTTTTATTGCTCATAGGTAGTGCCGAGTTCCAGGTTGCATTTCAACTTCATTATTACTGCTTTATGGTCGGTGAAATGCAGAGCCAATGGTTCTTCTAGCGGATCAGCTTGGATCTGCTAGAAGCTGTGGGAACGCATCACCGCTTAAGTCATTGGTCCATGAATGTGCGGCATGGAATGTGGTTATATACGCATTTGAGCATTTGACCGCAGCGTTCTCTGGTCTATAAATGTTGAGCCAATGCATGCGAAGTTTAACGCGATTATATACGCATTTGTATAGACAATTAGCAGCTACATGCAACGTTTCATCCATGACATCCCCAGCTCTTGAGTTACTACCACATCTCGGAGCCCCCTACTCGTCCCGCAGTCGTGGCCGAGTGGTTAAGGTGATGGACTAGAAATCCATTCGGGTCTCCCCGCACAGGTTAGAATCCTGTTGACTGAGCAAACATTTTTTTCTTTTTATGTGAGCACGGACGCCGGCCGGCCAGACGGATGGACAAGGCCAGACCCTAAGGAGTTTCGCCCCTAATAGGCTGAATATGATCCACAATATCCGTAAATGACAATCGCACGTTTGTGTTGTGAGCCTGATGGCTGTATTTTTCGTTATAAACGGCCCACTATGGCAAATGCTCGGAGAGCAGCCAGCGAAGAGCACGTCACATCCGCCGCTATCATGACGCAGTTTGTCTCGGGACCTTACGTCCAGACACGGCGGACGCTGCAGGCTATCCCAGCCAATCCCGCTCTGTGGACGTAGCTTCTGATATGCTCTCCGCGCGTCGTTGTGCCCCTTCTCCAAGGTCACATGACATTCACACGGCCCTGGATAGGCCCCGATGGCTCGTAGCATCTGCCTAAAGCAGCCGAAGCACAAAAGCGATCGGGCCACCGCAAGTAACCACAAAACTGCCTTTGTATGAATTCTGAGTGACGGGTTAATCTTCTATAATCTTGTAGAGAGACAATAGTGAGAGTCTCAGGGAGAGGGGAGTTCCTCCTTCAGCTCTTCTCTTGTCGTGGCCGGAGGCGAAACAGTTACCTGCACTAGTTGTCAAGGTTCCTAGACGGGCATTACAAACTAACGTTAGCGACATACACCAGGTGCTCTTTGCTAATCGTTTAATTCATTTTAAAATTCCTTTCCGCATCCTTTTGAACACGAAATTGGTGTGCTTGACGTGATAATGCTCCACTGAACACAAATAGACCAAGAAATGAGCCCCAAAATTTCGTAGTAGTATCTCTTTAAGGGTAACAGTTTAAATAAAAGTTGATCCACTTCCCAATTTAAAAGTAAAACGTTTCAACAGAATACAATTTGCCAAAAACAAATATTGCCGCGCGCGCAGCTGCCCAAGTAGGCAGCGCGCGCGTGGCCTAACAGTTATCGCGCTTGCTTTCAACGCTGAAAGCCAGGGTTCGATTCCTGGCCGTGGAGGCACATTTTTGTTGACTCTGTAAAGTAATGTTCTGGTAAATTCGAGAAGCATGCTCCAGCTCAGAATGTTCTACATGCCGAACCTTCTACGCCGATTATTCCAGAAGCCCACACGTGCACATAAGGGGCTCCGCGTGACAATCTGCATTCAGTTTCACCCCAGCGTTCGACTGTGCTGCTACGCCGACTTCGACGCCCGCGACGCTCTGTTATTATCTTTGTACCCTTTTATTTTTGGCACAAGTTCGCCACATTAAACGTTTATTTCTTTCTGTTTATTTATTGTTTTTGGTCACCACCCGTGACAATATTAAACAAATCGATTGTAGAAGCATAAAACACAGACAAGTCGAGATGGCATAGTAAGTGAAAGTTGTAATTAAAGAGGAAGTAAGTGCAACCTGCCCCCAACAAAACTACCAAGTCGTGCAAACTCAATTTGTTATAGAAGTATAGTAGCACTAATTTGGCTAAAATAGGGCACACCCACCTCAAAATTTTAGTTTTGGCTTCTGTCCAGAGACACATCCCACAACCTGCGTCGCAGATACCGGAATGTATATATTGCAGATACGTATGTTGTAGTACCTGTGACATGTCATATTTTGATGTCTGCTACGCGGATACTAGAATATGATGCCATAATATAAGCAAACATGTTTCCACAAAACTTGGCGGCAACAGCAGCAGCAACAGTGTTTTTAGCCATTTTAAGTTTAAAGTCAATCCAACCGAAAAATTCAAGCCAACACATTCGGTTTCTCGGGCTGTTCAGGAGGAAACCGTTTTGAACCACTGATTCCAGAGAACTAAGGAAGGGGAAGGGAGTCATCTCCACCTTTGGTGCCGACACTTGGCTTCAGATCAACAGGTGTCATGCCTGAGAGACCATTTGCTGAACTTCCGTTGCAGGCACCATCGTCGACACTGAAGCTCTCATCATTTTCTGCTTTGCACAATGCGACAGCTGCAAAAAGAAACATCGAAAACGGCAGAAAAAGTGTCAACGTCCTGCAAGATTGTAACAATACTCCTAGCAACACATGGACACTGAAATAATTCCAAGATTCTTTCGTTAAAATACTACCTCACTTCCTATGCGGTACTTTTGGAGTAATATTTTATTGCAAAATAAACCCCATGAAAAGTAGCAACAGCTGTCGTAGACGAAACTGATGTTGAGAACTGGAGACAGACGACGAGACCTTTCGGTTAAACTTTGCATATGTAGGAAACCGTAGAATTATGAGAGCTGCCACGGTGTTACTTTAATGGCTCAGGCAGCATCACTGCACTCTTTTTCACGCTCCGCTCACCATGAGCAAGGTAGTGACACAGGAAAGGGTGCCGACTCATGCAGCCAAGGCAGATGACCTCACTGTAGTCGCGGTTGCCAGGAACTTCTCCGCCCAGGTGCTGCACATCCAACCGAAAGAGCGAATAAGACAGCCACTTGGCGGGGCATTGCACCACAGATAACGGCATTTAAAAGAGAACTTCATAAAAAAAACACTGGAGACAATCACCGGCAAAATGGCGAACTTTCAACGCACAAGAGTCCAAGACAGTGCAGGGAGTGCAGAGAAACTGTGAAGTTTTTTTGTTTTTTTATCAAAAAGCTACGCCCATGTTGTTCGACTCTGTCGCTCCGCTATCTTTAAATTTTCTCAATGTGGAACATCTCGGGTCGTCCTTAAAGTGATTCCAGCATTGGCCACGTTCGGCCTCGATCTGTGTTCACAGATGTCTCGCAAGGAGTTCTTCGACAATGCTACAATAAACAATGCTACATGCCCAGCACATAGTGTAAACACATTTTCTGCCTGGCTGAAATGACCCAGGATTAATTCTTTGCTTTCTTTCATGCACTCTCCCCTGCTCTTCGCATGAATCTAGCGCTAACCAAGATCCGCAGATAAGGGTCATCGGGTTTCCCATCGTTAGCCGTTTACTTTTTCAGCAAAAAAAAAGTTGTCTCCCAAAACTCGTGTCCTTCATACTGCCGTTAGCTTACAGGAGCCTCAAAGTTTCGTCTCCTCTTTGCATCACAATGCCATGGTAAGAAAAAGAAATGCTCACCCGCCCGTGATACCAATCCTCGCACATGACGCACTGCAACATCTCGTCGTCAACCTACGAAAAAAACATTCCAAAGTCATCGAGGAACAACATGAAAATCGGTCGCTAAAACAGAATTCAATGGACGAACAACAAAGATGGCTTCAAGTTTCAATGCTGGCCTAAGGGACCTTATTTGATAACTTGCACGTGCACTCGTCAATTTATGACTTGTGCTTTTCCTAATGCTCCAACCACTCTTCCTTCTCTGTTCACTCCAAACTTTAAGCTCACCATATTTTCCAATGTTTAAGTTGCGGTTTTAGAGTGCAGCTCTTAGGCGCCCGTTTCTGGCTTGAGTGGCGTCGGCGTAACCGTAAGGTCATATGACCCCGGTGACATCATGTGACCCCCGTGAGGTCACGAGGGTTTCACGACCTCACGGATACACCCATGGCAACACCGCTCGGAGGGAGGAGTAGCAGCCAGGATGAGGAAGTGAGGAGGGAGGAAGGATATAAGTTCCCCTCAGTACCCTACCCCTCCTCCTCCTCAAGAGCTGCGCTCTAATCCGGCGTTACAGGGAGTTGTAAGCGGCCTTCTTTTTTTCTTTTTTTTACTATTTTCTTAGTGTGCTTTATTAAACAATGCAACTTATACACTTTTTAAATCTTTTTATTTCACTATGCAGCATTATTTTTAGTTGAGCCGCATGCCATCTTTCGTAGAGCACCGTAGATATGTAGCCGTAGGTGTTGTTATCCCTTCCAGTAGGTGCCGCCGTCTTCCTTAACTTCTGGCATCCCCCTTCTAGTCTTTTCTGTTGCCACAACATCGGATTTGCCTTTGTGTTCCCCGTGTTACCACTTTGTATCGGCATCGTACGAACGTGCCGCCAATGAAAGCACGGAAAAGCTATAAGGCAAAATTGAAGTGCTGTCGCGTATGCAATTGAAAACGCCAACCGTGCCGCAGGAAGGCATTTCGACATCAGCGAAAAATTCGTCCGGGACTGGCGCAAAGCTGCGAGCACGAAAAAAGCTGACCGCGGGAAAAAGAATCGCTGGTCTCAGCTAGAGGATTGCCTGCGGAGATAAATTTTTGAACAGCGAGCAGAAGTCGGTCCACAACGCAGGTACGTCTGAAGGCCCAAACACTGGCAAAAGACATAAACTTGGTGGACTTTGTTGGTGGGGCATCTTGGTGCTTCAGTTTTACGAGACACAACTGGTTAGTTATCAGAGCTCGCACAATACTGTCAGAAGCTTCCAGACGAGTTCCGGCAAAATATGGGAAGTTTCCAGGCATTCGTGAGGGAACAAATTCAGAACCATGATGTTAGTCCTAGTCACATCGTAAATTACTCCGACATTCGACATTCCAATGGGAAGGAGTGTCGTCAAGGACTGCCGGCCATGAGAAATCTCATTTCACCGTTGTTCTCGCCTGCTGCACTGAAGGCACCAAAATACCACCCATGATCATATTCAAAAGAGAAAAACGATGCCCAAGGATGCCTTTCCGCCCGGAGTCGTCATCCAATGCAATGTAAAAGGCTGGATGGACGCAGAAATTATGGGGATGCGGCTGGACAAATGCTTCAAGCAGCGACCAGATGGATTTTCCGAGACAAGGAAATGCCTTCCGGTGATGGACAGTATGAGGGCGCACATCGCCGATTTCGTAGAGACAAAAGTCAAAGCAAAGAACCGCCTCCCAGAGATCATTCCTGGCAGCATGACAAAGATGGTGCAGCCTCTGGACATAGCCATGAGCTGCAGCTTTAAAGCTATCCTGCAGTTTCACGAAAACCGGGCGTATGAGGCACGCGTCGTTTGGCGAAGTGGCCAAATGGGTCAGTGAAGCCTGGAACTCTGTCTCCGTAGCCACTGTAGCCGCAGGTTTCGAGAAAGCTGGCCTGATCGAATCTGTGCCCGAGAGCGGTGCAGCTGAAACGGACTACAGCAGCAGGTCCGAGGACGATGAAGAGGAGTCGATCGCACTAGATCAAGGGATCGCCGCACTCTTGCAGACTGACTCAGAAAGCGGGGAATTGCACGGTTTCACCGAAAAGGATTAATGTGAAATAGAGCTTCAGCAATCGACGTTGCACAATTCAAACACGGTTCTGTATTCTTTGGCTTCAGACTAGTAACACTGAAAGGTAAGTGCGCTGGTATACACGCATTGCAGAAAATTGTCTCGTGTCTTAGTTTCCGCTTGACGAACTGTGTTTTTCTGCCATGCTCCAGTCGCGTTGCTACATGTAAAGGGAAAGATTGCGACTGGCATATCTTTTAGTGGTACCGAAATATCATAACTATGTCAAAAAGATTTATCTATCTGCCTGTGCGTTGATGCTAGTGTCGTCTCTGTGGTTTGGTTTCCGCTAGGTGAGAGTTGGACAAAGCTTTATTGACGAGTTCCTGGCACGTTAAAGGGATGGTGAACCGTAATTTGGATAAAAAAAAAAAACAATGCTGGAGATGTATGCGGGACGCTACAATCCCTACAACACTACTAGTAAGGCGATATCTCAAATGGACGGCAGTATTTTTGGAAAAAGAAGTCGAGATTGAACCAGGCCGACGAGGCGCGTGGCGTCGAGATACCTAGTTTCCTCGTCTCTTCGGTTCGCTCCCTCAAGGCCGCCAGGCGGAAAAGACACGAGGCCGTTCCCTCTTCTTCTCGGAAAAACATGACGTCAACATTCCTGCCAAATGCGCCTCTTTTCTTTAAAAATACGGCCATCCGGTCGAGATATCGCTGTACGAGTGATGTTTTGGTGTTTGTAGCATCCCGTTGCACGCTTTTGCCGCGTGTCTTAGGGAATCCAGATTTCGGTTCAGCATCCCTTTAGACTTTCGTTCGCTCAGGATGTATGCTTGAATAAAGCAGACTACCTTCTTATTTTTCACGTTTTACGTCCTTTAGCTGTGCGACACTTGATTGCCCTTGCCAAACAGGGCCGTGCTATGAGCATTTCTTGCAACTCGAGACGCCATTGTTGTTGCGCGTCAGACGGTACATGTCCAAAACTCCAATTTTGCGATACTGATGTGCATAAAAAGATTGCCTCGCACAAACCATGCAAAGAGGTGCGTCTTATAGAAAGGTGCGACTCATATACCAACTTTTCTGCAAAAACGGCTCAATATACAGAACTGCAACCTGTAGACCAGAAAATACGATACTCAAGAAATGAACATCAGCAACCACTGCCTGCAACTTCACTTGATATACTTCATACATTCTTCTTTGTGATCCCTCACTACAGCCAGTCAGCACCCTCTAAGCTGACTTGGGAGTCACCAGAGGAAACAGACACCACACAGACAAATGCAGACAGTCAAATTTGTTTTACAAATGTTTACATAGCACAACGTCAATTTGCCCTCAAATGATGTTGCACATATCCACCGAACAAAGATATTATGGCAACTTCAATTTAAAAACAAGTTTGGAGTCTATACACTTCACATAAACTTCCAAAACTAAATGCTAATTAATGGTACAGGCAAAAAGGTATAGGGGGATGCTGAACCGAAATTTTAAGCTCAGAAAACAAGGCTGGAGCGATAGGCGGGACACTGCAAAAACCAAAAACATCACTCATGCATCGATATCTCTAAAGGATGACCGTATTTTCAGAAAAGAAGTATGCGACTAAACACTGCCGACGAGGGCGACAAGACATGCGACGTCGCAACTCTCATTCCCTCTCTTCTTCGCTTCGTCACCTCGAGCAGGTGAACCAAATTGAGGAAAGAAGCGAGGCCGCTTCCCCTCATTCTCAATTGTTTAAAGAGAATCATGATGTCACATTCCTCACTTGATCGCGCACTTCTTTTCCAAAAATACCGCCATCCGTTTGAGATATCGATGTATGACTGATGTTTTGGAGTTCTTAAAGTCCCGTTCAACGCTTTTACAGCCTTATTTTGCAGTTCGGCATCTCTTTAAGAGAGATTTGGGTCTTATTCGCAACTCCAGCGCGCCGCTCCCCGCTCCTGCGGAGAACCACAGGAGCGGGGACGGCAGCGGCGCGGAAACGGTGGCAGAAACTGTGGGCCTGATGCCTGAAGCCGTTTTAATGAAAAAAGTGAGCGCGTTAAAAAAGGAATTATTGTGCTCCGCCTCGCAACAGCCTTGCACGAAGGACCGGGAGGTCTAATTTCATTAGGGACTTTTCGTGTGTCGCATACGCTGCGGATTTCTGGTCTTGTGCATGGCCGCCAGCTCAATCTGTGCTCAACGTGACGGAAAACGCTCCCGCTAATAATGAAGAACTCTATAGTACGGTCTACGGAAAGTCTATTCTTTACCATAAGTAATAGAAAACTCGTCACGCAACGGTATGTCGAGAAATACAAATCGGGAATGGGTACTTGCTTTCAAGTAATTGCAAAGCAAATAAAAAAAAAATGCTCGAAACATTTTAAGCGCGTCTGTGTTAGCCAGCCGTTCGTAGAACGCGCAGTTTTGGCCAGAGGGACCGCAATGTTGCAAATAACACGGTACAAAAAATGTACGGTATATTAAAATATTTATTTTTGATAGAGCGATACATAAAACCACTAAACGCGCCAATTTTGTTAATAGGCAGTTCTTTGCATAGCGCACGACACCCCTAAACTTTAGTTGAACGTATACAGCGCACTGACATTCAATCGGCATTACCAACTTTCACGATCGGCTTGATTGCGTAACTTATTAAAATAGCTTAAATAAGTGTAAATGACTGTAAAAAAAAGTAATCGGGGTTTTCTGGGCTTTACTGTAAAACCTCGGCGTTTTTGTTTTTTTTTGTGTGCTCTTTAATGCGTACTTTAGCTGTTTAATATGTTATATTGCGCCGTCATCAAGCCTCTCGTAAAAGTTGGGGCCGCCAGTTTGACGTCAGTGGGCTGCACGGTGAACTGAAGGTTTGGAGTGTCGTATATGTGACAAGGGGTGTAAGGACTACAACATTTTTTTTTTTTTAGAGTGATGAGCACGGCAATGCTCCAGGAGCGCACTGAAAATTGTGTTTCAGAGGTAATAATTGTTTTATCAGTAACCGTAGAGCAGTTTGATTACGTGTTGCAATATGCTAAAACCGAGACGGTGAGCAGCGAGTTGTGAGGCTGGGACGCGAAGACACCAATACTGCAACGCTGCTCTTCCGAAGCTTGACGGTCAGCGTTCTCGGCTCTTTTTTTAGAGAACTAATGGCCAGGCAAAGCAGCAAACATATCTTCATTACCCTAAAAAAATATCCTGCTACAAACAGTGACGTGGCCAGTGCCTAAAATGCGCTCGCCCACCACAAAGCTTCCCAATTTGAGGTTTCTGCCACTTTTAAATAACAGCATGCTCGTTTTCCTAACGTGCATCCTCCGTCACCTGTAATATGATCCCTCCCTAACCGCTTCGCATTTGTAGACAAATAAATCATTTTGTAGCGCGCTGAACAGCGTCAGCGAGCAGGCGCACGGGCTATCCTGGAGAATCTATTCCCGTCTCTTCCGCCGTCTTGGAACTACCGCCCCGCCACCTATAGGGCGTTGGAGTTGCGAATAGTGCTGCGTCATCCATCACTTGCGCAATAAGTATGAAAGAAAAACAAGCTGGTGCGACTTGCCCCTGCACTGCCGAGGCCATAAACGATACAATATCCGATTCTAAAGACCACTATTTGCACGCTCTCCACCTGGAAGCAGTCAGAATTCTTACGTCATCTTCGGGGTCTGGGTATGGTCGTCCGCACGTGCAGTAGCGGCCATGGAAGTTCTGGTTGTAGTCGTTGCCTGCGTTGGTCGCATCCTTTGCCTGTGCAAAAAGTGGGTCTAAGCATCAAATGTGGAACCTGGCCAAGGTGGTGAACTGGGCCAGTTGGTTGACGTTATACATGATGGAGACAGCACTGCCCTGTCGTGTTTTCTGAGCTGTTTTCCCTATCATGTCTAACCTGGCCAAGCCGACGCAAATGCGAACCACACGAAATTAAGACAAGGCATGATGAAATTGCAGAGATTGAAGCAGGATGTCTTACACACACTAAGTGGCAAGTCTGCAAGCAGAGAGCTCTGGGGCAAAATTTTAAGGGGTGGTGCAATTACGTTTTAGGCTAGCTGTTGCAAGCTACCACTGAATATAAAGAACACAACCATTAGCACAGACAAAATTTACTGTCAGAGATACAATTGGCTCATCAATTGTAAATATCTGGGGCAAGGAAAAAAAAGCTGGCACATTTAGGACTTGGTCTTGGAATCCTTTGCTGTTTCAGTTACAAAGTAAGGCTTTGGAAATGGACACTTACCGGACACAGACGGCAGGGATTGGTCGACGGAAACCGGCTGTTCCCACAGTCGCACCTAAAGTTCCTAGAAGAATCGAGACACATTCCAACATGTAACACGCGGTAAGTTTCCGATAAAATTCTTGAAAGATATCGATATTGGGAAGGAGATAAGACCATGGTGCCCCAAGCTATTAACTTTAGAACTACACAGATGGGGACGACGAATAACAATGAATCGGCGCTTGGCTGACTTAACCAAACACCGCGTCAGAGTGCAGCTGGAGTTCATGTTCTCCGGTCGCCTAAGCGGGAGGAGGGGCTATTTTGTTACCACTCCGGCCTGCGTGAGCAATATAGCATGCACAGTGCATATGCCCAGCTCAGCACAAAAGCCGAAGTGGGTCAAGCTCGCATTTTCTGACGCCTGCTTTCGGGAGAGATCCGGAACTTAGCGTCATTTCGTTTATTGTTAGTATTTTTAGGTTAAGATGTGAACAGGCCCACAAGACTTGTGGGCATGTCCACAGGCCTTATGATTGGCAAACACTGAGGTATGAGGACAACAAACAGGCCAGAGCGCCCCCTATAGTTCTATCTCCTCGCCAACTGTTGCAGACATAGGACCAAGAAAGCGTTCCATCACATGTCACATGCACCGAGCCTTTAGTGAAAATTTGGGAGAATTTTGACATCATTGAAAGGTTAAGAACGGCAGGGAATTTTTGTTTCTTACTTTCATGTTGGCAGACTCCTCAAATGGTTCACGAAACAATTTTCAATACAAATACCGACGCTCAGTCACGTCACACACAGGACATAATAAAAGCTATTTTTAAACAGTACCTTTTGGTGTAGAGCTCGTAGAGCTGGTGCCCCTCATGGCAGGCGTAACTGCAGGCCAAGCATATGCCGGCGGGACGGGAATCTGGGGAAACGCAGGTGCTGCAGGCGTACAGTGCCTGCCGCCGCACATAGCCCTGGAAACAGCCGAGCAAATGCATGAACGGACGGGTGATGGCCCAAACCTACTGACCAGGCGGCAGCGCGCAACACCTGGCAGTCGTGTTTGGAAACTAGGCCCTTAAAAGCTTACAAGCACAATATAGACTACTACAGATCTGCCAGACCTCAAGTGGATGATTACATCAACTTTAGCTGCTGGAATAATGCTACGTCTTTCCCTCTACCATCTCGTAGGGCCGGTTAGAAAGAGTATGAAGACATATAACTTACTGTCTGCACACTCAAATGGCATTCGGGCGCCTGCTGTAGCAGCAGACGCCCCAATGATACCGCGACGACCGGCTGAACCAATTGCGCACACTGAATATGCCGCATCGAATATCTCTGTGCGCAGATGGTTAAGCCGGCGATTGCGAACAAACGACGAGCGCCATGACAATGCGCTTTTGGCGCTGCTTGATTGGCTCCATCAGGTCATAGCGTCGGTTGCGCTCGGGCTTAGTGTAAAACAAAGTATGGATTGAGGAAGCTAGGACATCTAGCAACATGGCCGTTTGCCCTCTAGGCTTTCCACAGCTTTCCTCACTGCCCCTCAGCCATGCCTTGGCATGGCAATATTGCCTTTAAGTGGCTATTACATCTTACTTCTTGAAAATAGCGCAGTAAATGTTTCCGTGTTTTCATGCTCACATCTCCAGGGGTTTATTGCACAAGCAAGAAATGCTTGCCAACGACGACGGTGTCAGAACTTGTCCTACTGTGTGTTCATTAAAACCCAAATCCTTAGGGTTTTCTTGGTTTTGTCTCTTAAATTTACTGATTTTTTGGGGGTTACCAATAGTTACAGCAGAATTCTCCAACTAATTTGGATGAGAAATGGCCGAAGTGCAGCCACGACAATGAAGATGTGCCACTGTCGGTTCTGATGTCCGAACAATACAAACGGTGAATTCCGCTCGCAAACTGAGAGCACTCCAAAAGCGCCAATTTTGGAGCAAGCAGCATCTGCTGTCAGATCCGGTTCAAGTTGGTCATCTTCCACTCTTAGACTTGCTAGAGTGCCGCCAACCCTACCTTCCCCCCCCCCCCCCCCTCCCCCTTGATCTGTGAGATTTTCTTGGAACTTGGCGGAAGCCGGCAGAAGTGCGCTACATCATCGCCTTTCACTCAGCGCTGCGCATCTGGGGCGCGGCCACCAGCGACAAACCGGCCAGTTTGTCGAGTTGAATCTGTTCAGATATGTTGGCTGTTTAAAGGGGATTGCGATGGCTCGAACGCTCCTACCTCGGCACAATCAGGAGAGCGGAGCAGAGGCTGGAGTTTGGCGAATCATGAGTGCCGACATCTGTGTCCTAGTAATAGTAGTGTTGGGATCAATGATGGCCTCAGCGTAAATGCGGAGAGTTAGCTATGGCGGGATATAAGCAAAACTTGCTGACTGGGAAGTACAGTCATCTTTGCTTTGTTGCCCATAGCCATCATAACAAGCTTGGAAAGAAAAAAACCTAATGGTTTTTTTTTCTTTTTTTTTTATTGTACACTGGGAAGTTAGTTCACTCCATAATTTTACCAGATTTGTTCTTTTTTATTTTTTTATTTATTTAAATTACCTCAAAGCGCCCTTTCGGGCATTGTATGAGGGGGGGAGTACAAGGTTTTCGACAAAAATATTGAAACGATACATATCGTACATATTTGCTTAATAAACAAGAAACAATGCAATACACCCACTCGAAAGGAATACACTCTTACACAAACAGGAAACAACGTGCCAACCAGGCTACAAAAAGAGAGAGAAAAGACCATCTTTGCACATAAAAAACAAGAAAGACACCATCCCACGATTCATTCCATGGAAAAGTGAAACAAACGTTCACATGATGATTTGAATTCATTTTTATCTATGACATCTACAACGTGGTGGGGCAAAGAGTTCCATTCTGCAATGGCAAGCTGTAATGGCGAGTTGCGAAACTGGTTAGTGCGACAATTTGATAAACGAACCTTGATGTTAGGTGGGCTATCTCTCGGGATTTTACTGTAGGCAACGACTGTGAAAGTGACGGTGTGTTACCTCTTCGCGTTCATTAAAGCCTTACCAGCAATCTGAGCTCCACCGATTGCGATCTTTCTCGTTATTTATGACATGCTCCACGGTACAGATATTGAGCCCGGCTTGTGTCGCGTGTTATTTCCACAGCTAAGCAGTGACTGGTCGTCAGGAAGCTCCATTGACTGAGGCATTGGCCAGTATGTCAAGCTCAAGCAGCAACCTTTTTGAACAGCAGACCATCTCGGGCACATCACTCTAAAAATGCTAGTCCATCTTTCCCTCGTTGATTTGGAAAGAGTCCCACAGAGTGGATTTTTGCCTCCCTTGCGGAGTTTGGAAAGCTCTCCGGATCTACCGCCGGAATTCACCATAAAACCTTGATGATTCCTCCAAAGTTAACAAGACTTGTAAATTATACAACTGCCGACACACTGAAACCTTGCGTTCGTATAAATCCAGAGAGAAATCAACGACTGCACAAAATAAAGTGAAGACTCTTCAGAAAATTTACCCCTCTAATTGTTCTGTTAATTCCTCTAGAATTTTATTATTTTTTTTACAAGAGAACTTTGCACTGGTACTGGGTTTTCTTTATTGGATTTCGGCGCGCCGTAGTACCAGCGGGCAGGTGTCTGACGTGACCAAATATCACCCGACACAAAATATACTACTCTCGTTCGCGAATTTAGGCTGCTTTACAACCGACGATGCGCAGCATCATTTGGTTAACATACCGACGATTCGTCTTAGAAACAGTATACTCGACGTTAAATGCAAGCCAATTACTTGAGATAGATGGTTTTGAATGAATATGAAGTGACAACGATGAAAAGAAGTAAATTAACAACAGCTCGATATATGCAAAGAACGGCCTTCACGGCCTTCGCTCACAGCCCAAAGACGGGCACCGTTTCGCTTCGTAAGAAGAATAATTCCACAAGAAAGGTCCAAGCTTTAAAACTGTCACGAATAAAGGAATAAAACCAAGAAAACGCCAAAAATCTCCCCCCAAAAAACAAGGCACCAATGCCCCAAAGGCTGTTGTCATGGTGGTGACCAAGCCTAAGCCTATACTAGTGTCGTTCCTACCTGTTCGTAGGTGCAGTTTTTGTCGTCACTGCCTCCTAGGACGGCATTGGCGTCGTCCTGCAACTCCTGCTCTTGATCGAGAATATCTTGCAGCGTGAGGCTGTTTTCATCTTGAATTTCTGGAGAGGTCAGCTGAGTGCCCGAGCCTTCGCCGTCCGCCATGACTTTTTTCCCGCCACTGCTTTCAGCGCACCCTGGCCGTTAAAAACCTGTGTTAAAAACCTTCGAGCTACGCCGCTACGCTACGCTTGACCAGAGAACACTGTCTACGCTTGACCACGCTTGACCACGGTGGCCTTGACTGTGGGCAGAAATTCGGCAGTCTACCAAGAAAAGCAGAGAAAACTTAGAATCAATTGGAGAATAATTAACTATTATTGTCTGTCTGCTTGTTTTGCGTATTTTATATTTGAGGCAACAACAGATCAGCCAACGTTGAGATCAGCTGACCGTTTGGTTTGCGAACAAAACCGATAGCCTTCCTCGATTTTCCCGATTACGGCAGCAAGCATGCCAGCAAGCATACTTTTTATACATTATTTACTTAACACCAAACTTCAAAATCGGTATTAAAATGTGGGAGAATTGAGAATACGATATGCCTAGACAGCCCGATTATGAGTTCAGTTCAGTCTACCAGGGTATAATAATAATAATAATAATAATAATCTTTATTAGCACAAAGAGCAGACTGTGTCCTGGGGGGCGTGCGAGGCGAGAGCAGATAGGCGAAAGCCCGTACGCGAGAGCGTCTGCTGGCCAACCCCCCAGGAAGCAAACAATAAAAACAGAAAACAAGCCAGAGAAACAACAATCAAGCAACTGAAAAAAAAAATAATAATAATAATTTAAGCAGTCTTAGTGCCGGATTTGCAGAACACTCATCCAAGGACAATAATAACCCCCCCCCCCCCCCCCCCCCCCACACACACACACACACACAGCAACACGAGGTGCAACATTAGGGCTCCCCACCCTGTGGTAGGAAGCTTGTCCCTTCACAAAAAGACGCTGTGAAGAAAGGGCGGGTGCGCCCCGTCTCCCAGCTCACCAGGGGTGCCATGTTGCGCCCCCCGGGCCCCGGACCCCCAGGAGACCCGGAAGAAGGAAGTGACGTCAACAACGCAGCAAACGCAGATGGGATGTTGATTTTGTTTTCTTCTGTCAACATCCAATCTGCGTTCGCCCTAGTCGACGACGCCAGCCCCACCCCCCCAAGCCTCCCAGGAGCCCCAAAAAGCGCAACATAGCACCCCAGGAAACGAGGCACACACGACCGCCCCCCACCGCAACACACACCATGTGATGAGTTGACAGACATGATGACAGACAAAAAATTGAGAATTAACCCTTCCACCCCGTGAGGGAAGTCCAGCGAAGCTGGCCAACACCACCTGAGCTGGCGCTCTGAAGAGCGCTCGGCCTGCGCTCGGCATTACGCCAAGGGGTCCATATCACAAGAGCGAATGACATTTTAGCGAACGGCGACATTTGAGCGAATGGTCGTTTTAGCGAATAACGGGGGCGCGCGTTAACCCATCCGTCGCGCTGCGCTTTACGCCGCTTCGCGGCGACAGTCTGCGGCAACTCATTACAAAAATATGAACTCACTTGGCCCACCCGAAAACGCCGCTTCGCGGCGTCCGACTATTCGCTAAAGTGTCATTCGATGAAACGTGGGCGTTCGCTAAAACGTCATTCGATCAAGTGAGTGCCTCCCTACGCCAAGCACGGCGCACGCTCTAGTGCGCCGCAGAGGTGGCCGCCGAAGAGCGCGCGGCCTTGCGCAATTTCAGGGCGGGAGAGTCGCCGCGCGTCGCGAGTAGTAGGGTGGAGAGAAACGTTTTATTATAGCGCGGCTACGCCAATCCCGGCGCAGGCTCTAGTACGCCGCGCTGAAGAACACGCGGCAATGCCCAATGTCGGAGGGGGGGGGGGAGAGAAACGCCGCGCGTGGCGAGGAGTATTCGCGATTCTCATTCACTATAGGTGGCACCACTCGTTTTCCAAAATGGCGGCTTTAGTGAGGGTCGGAGATGCTCCAGTAACGTTGGGGTCGGAGATGCGTGCCGCTGCTGGGCAATATTTCTTGTAATATGAGGAAGCTAAGGTGTTATGAGCGCAGGTCACCTCTTTATCCTGAAAACAAAAACAGTGTGTAGCGTTAATATTTACGCCAAGAGGCAAGAGGCATTCTGGAGCGAAACCGAGACTAACCTCTATTTTGAATTTAGTTTCTCAGTATCGGTCTTAATTTCAGATTCTTTCATACAACTTAAGATGCATGTGTCTCACACCGTGATTGTTTAATTGAAGTAGTTGTTCGCGGAAACTTTTAAAGACAGGTTCTTCCATTTACCTTAGAGGCAACATAGAATATTGGTATATTCTGTGTTATCTGTTATTTCACATGTTATTTCACATGACAATTATCTGAGCATATTCTATGCTCAGATAATTGTCATGTGAAATAATGAACTGCGGGCTTTTCAATGGGTTTTTCGCTACTCAGACGAATAATTGCTTTAACATTTTAGCCAGCAGAAGAATAACAGAATAAATCCAATTTTTACAATATGTTCACAAAATGTACAAATTAAGAAACAATGTTCTTCCTAAAAAAATTCAAAGACAAAATCCGAGTCAGACAGGTGAAGTGTGCATGTTTTTTAAAGCAACGCGTGACGCATAGGAGTTTATATTGCATCCAGTGTTTAACTGTTTTTCTATCTTGATAACCATGTCAGAGCTTTTCATTTGCTAAAAAGAAAACAAAATACCTTTCTGGAAAGACTATTATAGTTAAATGGCGTATTTTTGAGATTGGTGGCGTGAATTGGGGGAATACTTTGCCGCGATTTGTATTAATAATAATATTAAAATTAAGATATTTTAATATGCAATTTTCAAGCTCTAAAATAATAAGTTGCTTGTGATCTAATTACAAATGTCCAAACAAGTGTGGCAATCAAGTGTGCTAATTATCAATGGTGCCAATTGCAGCATTTTTAATTAGTTATAAAATAAAAAGTTTAAAATCAATGAAAACATTCTAGCTAATGTAAGAAATTCATGTAAAACTAGATTAATTGAAGGTGCTATCAAAGTCGTTTCTTTTGACAATCGGCGAAACTTCTAAAGTCACCGCCAAAATCCTTACAAACCAAATGCCCCCTCCCCCTCTCCCCCCAGTTTTTTTTTATTAATTCTTTGATAACATTTTACTTTCACTTTTAAAGGGGCCCTGCAAGGACTTTTTGCTGTTTTTTAATTTGCACCAAACCTGAGCGCACTGAACGTAGTAACTTAGTGAAACTTTTTTTTGCGAAATTCGCTTTATTTTAAAAGTTATAGGCAATTTAGAATTACAAAAACAAGCAAAAAAATAACCTCCTTCATGACGTCGTAGGTCCTGGCTTGAGTGGCCGTGAACTAGAGGAGGAATAGTGAGCTCATCGAGCGCTCACGGCCGCCGCACTCCGTGTCGACGGCGCCAGAGGGCGCCATTAAAGCATGTTCTGGATAGGCTGTGTGCAGCGGGCAGCCAAAGCGGCTTTCATTGTGTTTGCTGCGCGATTAAACACTAATTCGGCATGACACTTCATTGGCCACAAACGACAGCAAACACGGGGTAAAGATCAGTTCAGAATGGGAGCCACTTCGCGCTGCCATACCGCGAAACGGTCAAACAGCAAGACAAAGCCTCTCGCCGAAGGCCTTCGGAACGCTCGGAGCCGGTCGGATCCTCCTGCCCATATGACTGCAGTGCCACCGCGTACATCCGGGACTTTTCCGTGTCGGCGCCTTATCCCACTACTCCTTTCTAGTATGCGCCGCCTTTTCCACCGCTTGGCGGCGGGTATGTTGACGGGTCATTTCTTCTTCCCGTACTTTATAAACTGCATTTTTCTTTTTTTCATCTATAATGGTGAACAAAAACTACTTTTATAAATAATTGGAACGGTTCGCGCCACTTATATTTTGTATTTCGACCAAAAAGAAGTTTTTAGTGGCTCTGACCAGTAGTAAGCCCAGGACCAAAGACGTCACAATTTGCGCGCTTTCGGTACCGCGGGTTGCCCTCGTCGGTGGAGGAGGTTTCCGTGTCGTCCGGTTAAAATATGGTGCACTGATATTTAGCTACTCTTTCCGTGCCCGCTGGCTCGCCCGAACCCCAAGAGACGTGGAAACCGCATAAAAGGTAAACGCTTAAATATGATTGCAGGGCCCCTTTAAGCCTCGTCGTTTTGCCAGTGCAAACGCTTTCCTTCGAACTGCCTTTGCAGTTCGAAGGAACGCTTACCTGCTTGCACGTCTGCTCACTCCAGCACGTTTCGTTGGTGTTGGAAGCCAGTGAAACAGGAGCGAGTTTTAGTATTGAGTATACCAGCAAACGCAAGCGCTGTGTGTTTGCATTAGCTTTTGTGTGTTCCACACTGCATAACCTGAAATAGCAGTCTTGGATTGGCGCATGGCGATGATGTGCATGCGCAACGTGGAGCACGCCACTCTAACGCAAACATACAGTGCTTGCGTTTGCTTCTATATGCAATACTAAAACTCTCTAATAAAGTACAATCCCATACCGGCTGCAGCACCACATTGGGACAGTGAAGAGTGTTGTTTGCATTTGAAAATGACATTTCATGAGCCATGATCGCAAAAAGTTCCGCCGTGCCCGCCGAGGCGGAGAAACTGCGACCCTCACTAGTGTGCTTCCCGTTTCCGCCGCTGGAGGGCGAGCAACGAACTGGAGACGCCAATACACGACTGGGGAAAGACGCAATGGCAGTGGAGAGGAGAACTGTTTGCTTGTCGCCGGAGACGATCTGCCAGAACCTAGCCAAAGACAGCTTCGCTGCAAGAACTTTGCCAGTGCAGTACTACTACAAACCTGGGATCTTTCACGTGCGTCACACCGTAGTAATATACAAGAGCATGCCAGTATGATGCTCATTTAGAGTGAAATGGGGAGGGTGGAGATTGAGCCCAGGATGTTCGTGCATACCCTGGAAACGGTGTAATCTTGCACTGTGACCCTGGGTTTTGCAGCTTTCACTCCTTGTGCGCCAAGATGTGATGCGTTAACAAACTCGGCCACCGATCCCCCCGATAATTCACAACAGACAACGGAAACATTGAGACAAAACTTGTTTACTAAACAAAAAATGAAGATAACTGTACAGCAGTCAGACTTCACATGGCTTGTGATTGACAAGATATTTCAGTTGATGCCCCCTTCATGCCATCCAACGAACGAACCACCTGCCACCTGAAAAATAACACAATCCGTAGCAAGATATCACAACATTGGCTTTCCCAATCAGTGTCTACAGGCAACGTAACAAATAAACGTCTAGCATTGTTGGATGCATTGGACAGTCTACGATGTGATGTGAATACTGCAACACTCCAAAGCACCAATGTTACACTAAAATAATCACCACTGCTTCTCATAATACAGTAAACAACAAACATGTTTATCCACTGCAGTTCAGTGACATTGAAAAGTATGAATTGATGACAAACAATGTCTTTGGTACGTCTTCAATCAGAGTTTGTTGAATGCAAACCTGGTGCAGCTCAGTTTTCACAAGAACACTGCCTTATTCCCAATGGTAAGGTAACCAATACCTATTATATCTCCTAAACCTCAGCTCCAGCATGTTGTCTCAACACAGAGATGAAGCTACGAGGCATCCACCTTATTGCCACCAGGGTACAGTGAACCTCTTAAATCAGGTGGCAGCTTGCTCCACTTAGTGGAAACAGAGCAAAGCACCGTCAAGGGAGGAGTCTGAGACTGGTACTATGGCAGCAGGGCAGCTTCATTCTGCACTGCTAACAACAATAAATGAAGGTCAGAGAAGAAGGCACGCCCATCACCAAACGATGCTTGCCACACTTTCTGCAAAGGCAACCAAGAAAAACACACCTGATGTTCCGGTTCCCCCCAAGAGCACAGCGCTTGCCCCACAGCCCTCCTAGACGTATATCCCGACCCAGAGCAGCAGGAACAGGATGCCGAAGCCCAAGAACACAGCAGCCACCAGTGAGATGACCAGCTCCTTGAAGAGGTCTCGCGTGAACTTGGTTGATGTCACTTCATAGCTACAACCTCGAGTTAAGGGAGTCAACCTTGCATTGTGGGTGAAGTGGTCAGTGACAAAAGGCAAAACGAAAGCCATTATAAGGAAATAAAAACATTCTGAAGCGGTCTCAGTTAGAGAAGGTTCTACTTGTGCATGTTGTCTTCTGTTTTTGTTCGGTAGCAGCTCTTGTGCCAGAGCCTACTACAGCGAAAGGTGCCGAGAAAGCTTGCATTGTTTCGCTTACGAAATAGGTGAGGCACAGCAGAATGACATAATTGGGCTCTTATGCCACAATCCGAAGTGTTGATGCGTGTAATTTCTTTACCAGCAAGAATGCTACATTTCATTGCACGGTGTTACAAGGTTTCCTTAGGCACTGCGATGAAAGCAAATTTAAGAAAATGTGACGACCAAATAAGACAATTAAACGGATGAAGCACTCTGCCCGTTTCATTTAGTTCTTCTTGAGAGGTCACATTGTCTAGAGGTAGAGTCCGAGGCAGTGCGAGCTGGCCCACTTTAGTGCTAGCCAACAGGGGCAAGATGCCACACAGGATGCCTCCAGCATGCTCCAACTACGAAACCGACTGCCACACTTCAACAGGAAATGTGCCGGTCCTCTCCAATCTTTTCTCTTGACAGCTTAAAGTATGTAACACCGTGACATCGCGTTACATTTTGATGTTGCTCGACGGTTCACTCCTCCTGGCAGGGACCATGGCGTGAAACCAACAGCTGCGCTCTTCCGTTGCCGACACTCCCTCCCGTGGCCTTGCTGCTGTGCGACCAAGCGTGGCTTGGTACTGTGCGAACAAGACCAAGCAAGTTCCATGCAGGGTTTCCGGGTAAAGCCGTTGCTTTGAAAAGGATACACAAAGAACCAGGCCATGAAGAAAAGACCGATGCCCATGAGCACCAGCGTGAGGTGTGGGTACACCGCCGGGTTGACTGGGCTGACATACTTCTGCATGTGCTCGATGGCCAACTGCAAAAACAATTCCCCTCCGGCGTCGGAGCATGGCACAAGACCACATGCCACACATAGAAGGTTTGCAGAATACCTACTGCCTTCCAATGAAGCACACTCGATGGTTTCCCCAAGTAATGACATTCGGTCCATGTTGTTCGATACCTATCCAACTCTAACTGCCAACACATTTTTTTTTGTTCCTGACGTTAAATGGCTTTATTGACCAATCATTTTTTACACCCCTATAGAATCTCCAATAGAAGATATGCTATCAATAAGTCAATAAATAAATGATACTGTAAATAAATAAATTTTTCCAAGAATCTAGCCTCTAAAAATCTTGCGACTCGATAAATATTGTGAAACATTTATCAGACAAATATGTCGCCCGAATGTAACAAATATATAGCATATGACCTTTAATCGAAAAAATTTGTGCCCGCTAAATATTCTCAAATTCTAAACTTCAGATAATTTGTAGCCTATCAATCTCACGAAAATGAAGTCGCTTACAGTACGTAATTAAATAAATAAGGACATTAAAGAGATGAACAGAAAGCAACCGAAGCCGAGGGTTGTTTGCAGTGTTATGGGAGGTGCGAGCAAAAGTTTAGAAGGTATACCTTCCTTGGCCGGGTTTTTAAGCACACAAAGCTCTTGAGCCTCTGCTTTGATAGCATTGCACGTGACGAGACGTGGCGAGGGAGAGCACTATAGTTTATTCGTCCTTAAGCTTGTAGAGCAGAAAAGGTCACAGGTACAAGGTCACGGCTTTGGAAGGGTATGTTTCAAAGCAAGAAACGCAGACTAGCACGGATGCAGGAATTTCCTGAGCGGGGGGGGTCAGGTGTTGGTCAGCGTACCATTTGTTTAGGAACCCCCTCCCCATCTCCCTTGTTTCACGCCCTAAATTTTACACATGCAGAAATCAAGATGGGGGGTCAGGACATCTGGACCCCCCTCTAAATCCACCCCTGCTTGTAGCCTTGGTTGCCCTGTCAGCTTGAAGGTGAATGGAGTAGATGCAAGCATGGTGCCTAGACTAGTGTCCCACACGTGTTAGCACATGCAGCATGGTTCCTTTTGACAAAAGTGCCACAAGACATATATAAAGTAAGAGACACAGCACAAGCACTTGTGGTGCTTCTGCTGTGTGTCTTGTGGAGCTTTTGTCAAAAGGAAGGATGTTCCAACCAGCCCATCTCTCACTATTAAACATGCAGCCTGTTTATGAAGGTAACTCTGGTAGTGTTGCAATTACATGTGCTTACTCGCATGAGCATGCTCACATGAGCAGAGAAATAATGACAGTCAGGTGCCAGCTTGCAATCACGTCTAAAGGCAACTCGTGCGCTATTACTGCGTCCTTACATGATACGCATGTACAAAACAAGACATGGAAATATAAAGCTAAGAAACGCCAGCATATCTGGAATTTGGCAATTTGCTCTAACCGCCCGAAAGGTGACTGAGCTCGGCGGCGTCCCTCACTAATGCATTCGTTAAATGAAAAAGAAATAAATTTTTAATCATGAGTTTAGCTAGAATGGCAACTTATCGTAGCACACCGAATGTGAAGTCCTAAACTGAGGAGTGCTGTATTGCAAAAAAAAAAAAAAGTATTTGTTGAGGAAGGCACACAGACAATCTCCTAGCACTTTTGTGTGGTACGAAGTGCTACGAAGCATCAGTGACCCTTTATGGAACGAGTTTATACCGTCCTTGTTTCTGTTGCGCTATTTCATAAGCATTATTTTACTAAGGAGCAGAATGAGACTACCGTGCAAGCTACAGTAACCAGCAAACAGATAATCACACGGAATACTAGGCAACACAGAAGCAACGTAACTCGCACAGAACCGCACGAAAATGGATCTGTGATATGATAGCTTCGAACGCTATCCAACGCGGCGGCGTAGGTCATCACGCCACGTGTACATCGACGTTATTAAATAAGTAAAGCAAAATGACCGCGGATTTCGACCTAAACGAAACGTTTACTATTATAAGGAACAACTCTGCTAAGTTTCAAGGGCGGTATCAGTGTAGATTATTCACATTTACCGTCGACCTCTTCACAACAACACAACTCACCAAGCCGGCAGACGCCATGTTTGTAGGATTGAGTGAGTGACGTTGACAAACAACGTTGCCGACAGCGTCGCACCGTATCAAGCAAGCAAAAGTGGGCAAAACTTGGTGAAACGCTATCGAACCTTCTTTAATATTTTAGATAATTCGTCTAACAAACTCTAATATTTTATTCTATGATTTTTTTTATTTACAATGAATATAAATGGTTTATTGTGCTAAGTTTATAAAATCGATGTACGCAAGCTAGACACCTTAGATTTTGTGAAGTTCATTGAAGTTAAATAAATTATATAAAATGAGTTTAAAACTTTTTTATTTTTATGTGTAGCGTTCGGGGTCTTTCCATTTTGGTGAAATCAATGAACCGGTAAATCATGTAAAACGCGTGAGATTGCCAGAGCCGCCAGAGCCGCCAGAGCACGGCTGCTCGAATTTTGGGCACCATGTTTGAACGTAAAAGCGAGTCGCGCGAGTGGCGCGAGTAGCGCTGGTAGCGCTCCCGAGCTGCCGAGTCACACAAGGCATTATATGTTTGTCGACGTTCATCAGCACCACAGTCCTTCAATCGCTTCCCCGAAGGAGGTCGAACCTCTGGAAGCTCGCTAACGCCAACTAATCACCGACTGCAGGGTTGAAACATACACTGAATAAGCTCAATGCGTTGCGCATTGAGCTTTTCGTAGATGGTTTTCGCCGTCCCGCAACGCTCTCCGCAACCCGCTTCGATACCCGGAACTCTACGGTCCGCGCTGCCCCCTCCGCTAAGCGTTCCGCAACGAAAAAGTTGCTACTGCGCCTGCGCGCCGATAGCCTTGACTGTGGAGTTCCCGCTATCCTAGCGGGTTGCGGAGGGCCTTGCGGGACGGCGAAAACGATCTACGAAAACTCCCTATTATAATTAGGGGTGTCGCGAACTTTTGTCGAACCGGATTTTTAGGTCGAACTTTCGGGGTTCGACTATGTCGAACCGGTTCGACGAACCTTCGACTTTTGACCAGATTCGACCGGTTCGACCACTGATCTCTATGTCATTGAGATCAGTGGGTTCGACCACTGATCTCAATGACAATTGCTGGATCGCGCTTGCCGCTCCCGCAAGTGAAGCCACCGGGCGTCACTCGCTTGGGATACGATTTGCCGTTTTTGCTAGCCTTTGCTGCGGTTTTCCAGCGTGCTGACGACACGTTTTCTACTCGTTCGTCGTCATTCGCCGAAGAAGTTTTTTGAAGACTCTGTGTATTGTTGAGACTTTCCGTTGTGAACACGTGGAAAATTTTACGAAAGTGCAGTGTCGCAGGAAAAAGGCACAACGCGTCGAAAGGAAGGGCTGGCGGCGTGTTCAAAGCATCCTTGGCACGCCGAAGTGCCGTGTCTCTGTGCCTTCGCGCGCTTGGATACCGACCAAGAACCGACGCCGTGTGAATGTAATGAGTACTATCCCGAATTTCTTGGCTATAGCAGCCGCATTTACTGTCCATAGCGTATTTGAGGTGAAACAGCTTGCGAAAATGTAGAAACGGTCATATGGGGGTGGTAACTACTAGAGCACTATATAGCTCCTTCGGAGCAGAGTAGCGCAATCTAGAACGCCGCCTCTCGGCGACTAGCAGCGAACGCCCGGAGGTTCCAACTGCGGTCAGAAATGCATGGAGAACGTGAGAAAATCGTTGTTTCTCCACTATTGTAGGAATGTACGGAATCGCAATCATTTTTGACATAATAATGGAACACTTCAGAATAATTTGCGCTAAGTTTTGTGCCCCGCAAGGACCTGACTTTTTTAAAAAAATTGCTTGAGCGGCATCATGCAGCAGACGACATGGCGACGTCACACCATTCACGTGACCCGCTCCGGCCAACCCGAAAAGCCCATCTCCGCTGCGAGCAAAAATCGTCTGCTTCAAACGCCATTGCCTTGGAAATTGCCTTCTCAAAATTTGCACACGCATCCGATATTGTTAAAACTTTGATAAAGTGTTTAGTGCTTTGCTAACTTCACGACAGACTAGTTTTGAAAAATGTGAACTCGCCGTTCATTTTTTAATCAGCCGTGTTGTGTCGATCTCCATGTATTCTCCCATAGGGCGGGCCGCCTCCTGGAACCCTGAGTACCACGTGACTCGCGCCGAGCCGCTCTGTCGGCCATGTTGTCGGAAAAACACGGGGTTCAAAGGATTGCGTTACTCTGCTCCGTAGGAGCTATATAGTGCTCTATATGCCACAAGGCCACTGGTCTCTATGACCACAAGGCCTAGCACAAAGCCCACAAGCCGTCTTGCAACTTGGTGCAAGCCACTGATCTCAATGTGCAAGCCACGTGCAAGCCGTTGACAAGACTTGCTCTCTGTTCTCAGGTTCAACTCAGGTTGTCCTCACTCTTCCCTCTCAAAGCCTGCCAAGCCAAAGCCAGCCAAAGCCCCAAAGCCAAGCCAAGCTGGCCAAGACCGCCTCCTGCTGCCCTCTCTCCGCCTCAGCCTCTCTCCACATCCACAACCAAGCCGACCAAGCGGGAAGAAGAAGAAAGAAGATTCTTGATCTCGCTTGCACCCATCTCGCCGGTTTCGCCCGGCGGAAAACCCTAGAGGAAAACGATAAACACTCTGGAGACGAAGCAGTCGCGTCTCGTTCAAGTCAAGGCGGCGGCAAGGGGCCACATCTTCGCCACATCGAACAAGCATCATGGCCAAAGGAGGAGGACCACACAACGCCGAGAGCTGTCCCTTCAGCTCGGGAGGCACACCGACGTCGGTGATGATCTGTTCCATCATCGGACTCGTGTTCGTGGTCTACGTGCTCGTCAAGCTGCTCATTTCGCTGTGGCGAGGTTTCTACACTTGCTTCCTCGCACGCTGGCTCGGTTTCACCGCCGACTTCAGAAAGATGGGCGAATGGGCGGGTGAGTTGACCACACTTGGTTGCATTTGACGATGGACCGCGGCGGACCATACGAGCCATATCGGCCAATCAGCGCTGTGAACCTATCACGCGATTACACCGATTACGCTCGGCTCTGCGTCTATTCCGAAGGCCACATTACGCTCGCGCTATGCAGCTACGTCTGCTATGCGTTCGAATGTGTGTGCGCCAGCGCTGTTCCCAGAACTCTGCGGTCATTCCGATTTTGGTTTTGTCCCCCGAGGAGGAAAACCGCGAAACACCTTCAGGCAGTTTCTGAGTTCTCACGCTTATTTCCTCTTCGGTGCCCTTGTAAGGGAGATCCAGAGACATGTGAAGCTCTACTTCCTTTTAAGAGAAAAAGGAAAGAGCGGAAAGCGTTTTCCGTGTATTGTTCCGTGTCTACTGCAGGTAGCAGCAGTCCCTGTGTAAGTAAAATTGAAACTATGTAAAGCGGCGGACAAAACCGGTCCTTGGCCGTTGGGCCGTGAAATCCGTGCACCTTTTTTCGGGGGTCGCGGCCTCTTCCGAAAAAGCTACGCGCGCCGGTCCCACAGGTTAACACGTAATAAAACGGTCGCAAAAAAAAAAAAAAAAAAAGGAAAAAAAAAACATTTTACGTTACACTTGACTCTGCGTTATCGGCAAGGCGCTCTTGGTTGGAATGATCGCACGTTATCAACCCTGCTCTTCTTTTTTCTCTTTTTCAGCAGAACGGGGTACATTATGATGTCTGCTCCAAAAGGGGAAAGCAGAAAAATGTTTAGAAAAGAAACTCTTGGCGGCAGGGTTTGGCCTTGACTCGTGCGTAGCTTTTGACGTCAACGTGTGCGGAGAGTCCGAAAAACGAGGAAATCACTTTCAAATCGCACGCAGAAACATCGCGCCGGCAATTCCCAGGGTCGTCTAGTGGAGAGAGAACATCGATGAAATGTCGTTTACCCTCTTTAAAAATAGCTTGGCACGAACTCTACTTAATACAAGGTTACATTCTGGCTTTTACCGATCCCCATTGCACGATTGGAATCCTAGAGCTAGGGCTTCCCTCCACGAGTTGTATTGCTGTGTCACAGCGGCATCCCAGGATGTCAAAAATTAATTTCGGGACCAGAAAATTTAAGCTTAGTCTTTTGTATGGCAAGACATAAGCTGAGCCATCGCCGCAGGTACCCAGCACAGATGCCGGCGAATGCATCATCGAGAGATGGCCAATGTGCAGAAATTTCTTTATGGTTGCGTTCCTTGTGGAAGTGTTGAAACCTTGGCACACCTACCAGAATTTCTGACGGATGGCTGCATACGGCTGAGCCCTTCTAATCGTATAGTGGCTTGCATCATCTAGCCACTGTTTTTTTACACTTCAATAGTTAATCTCTACTTAATGTACAAAACACTTAAGTGTATTCTCTTAATAGTAATACTTAAAATTTTGACTAGCAGCTCACCTATTTTCTTCTGCTTCTGGGCATTAAGAATGCTGTAGTTTGTGTTGTGCTACAGCCTATGCCAGACAAGAAAACAGGCGCTGTAAAAGAAGCTGGGAGCTTGACATAACCACACGCTTTCCTCGAGATTTTGCTTAGGGGGTTATAAAATGTAAAGACCCAATTTCATTTTTTTTTCTTGATTTGTTAAAGGTTACATGCAAATGCGGTTAATTAAGTATCGTAAAATATGGGGAGCACTCGCTCCACTTTCACTGAAAACTGTGTTAATCTAGACATGGGTGCTTGTCGAGTCAAATTGGGCGCTTAACGTATAGTTTCAGAATTCCCAAGTTTGGGGAATGTCAATACTGGGCGCTTGAACGAAGAGGACGCTTCCGCTGTATTTTACGGTATATATTCTGTGCATGACTGTGTGGTACGGCGAACGACGACAGATATATTAAAATAAATTGCACATTGTCATTGTTGTTTTCTGGGTCATTTTCAAGTGTAGTTTTTTTACCAGACGTGTTATAGCAACCACATTTTTTTTTTTTTAATTATTATTATTTATAACTTGGGGGGGGGGGGGGGGAATACAGGCTATTAGGAAACTAAATTAGTCTTAGGGCTAGCCTTATGATAGTACCACACTACTATCAAACTGTTAATACATAGGTACCATCCAAGATCCACACAGTTGGGTCTTTGCTACATGTTGCCGAGGTATTCTGCCGGCGACTCGTCGTGACCTGCAGTTTTCCCAGTCGCAAGCAGATGGTGCTTTTCATTGTGGTTAATCACTGGAATAGTCTTGCCGTCCTCACTAAATGACTTCTTCATTCCTTTCAGTGATCACCGGAGCGTCGGATGGCATCGGTAGAGCGTACGCAGAAGAGGTAATGTTTTTGTCTATAAATTGCGTGTCGATAGTCATCGTCATTCCTGAATTAACACCGTTTGCACCCGCACAGTTGGCGGCGCGGGGACTTAATGTGGTGCTCATCAGCAGGACGTTGGAGAAACTCCAGGAAGTTGCCAGCGAAATCGGTTTGTCAATGCCACTTTCACAAGGTCTAGGGACTTTTGAATAACTCGTGTATGCTTTTGCTTGCAGAGAAAGCATACAAGGTCAAGACCAAGGTCATTTCTGCAGACTTCACCGGGGGCAACGAGATCTATGAGGTCATAAGACGGGAACTCGAAGGCCTGGAAGTTGGAGTCCTGGGCAAGTGCCTTCAAATCACTTCATCATAATCTGAACTGTGGAACTCTGCTGGGTTGAATGCTTTCTTGGTGCGAGAGCCAGCCTCTGCTAAAATGATTATACTTTGTCTCACACCCTATCATGGACTACGGCCCAAGCTAGGGCCAATTACGAATATGTATTTTTGTTTCGTTATTATGAACGACTGGCATTGAGGCAGCACTGTAGTGCGAGCCAAGACAGTAAAGTTTAACATCCGGCACTAAGAAAACGGTGGTCCCTCGCTTGGGCTAACTGTGTTCTGGAGTGTACGTAACTCGTCACATTGAGTTGTTAATGAACTGACTTAACATTCCGTGCACACCAATCTACAGTAAACAACGTGGGCACAAGCTACTCCTACCCCGAGTTCTTCAGCGCCGTTCCAGAAGGTGACAAGGTAGGACACTGCCAGTTCACGTGACTCAGCATAGTTTTGGTGGTCGTTTGTTTGAGTCTTGTTTTCTGTTCATTCCCGGACAGGTCATGGACGGCATCATCAGGGCCAACTGCCTCGCGGGAACCATGGTACGAGCTGTTCCTTCAAATGTGCTTTTATCAACGGCATTGGTGCGGAGTTTTTTTGTTTTCATCAATGGTGTCCTCTTAATTGCAGATGACTCGAATTTGCCTGCCCCAAATGGACGAGCGCCGCCGTGGCGCCATCATCAATGTCTCTTCAATCTCTGCCATGCATCCACTTCCACTGCTCAGCACTTACGCTGCATCGAAGGTCAGCATTTCTATGCATCTTGGTGGCACTGTTTTTTGTTTTTTTTCACCTTTGGAAGCACTTTAGATTAGGGGTCTCAAACACTCGGCCAGCAAACAACCGGCTGCGAGCCTTTGTTCCCCTGCCTCGGGCGCTAGAAATAGCATGTGCCATAATAATCTCATGTCACCAATTTATTTCTGTTCGAAACATAGCTCTGCTCTTATAATGTTTAGTATGCCATTCTATTTTAGTTTGTCTTGGCTTTCATTTTAATTTTTGCTTCGCAGATTTTTGTCCTTCCCGGCTGCACAAACTCGCTTAGCAGGAGCAACTGCCAATGATAAAGCTTGGAATTCTTGCCTTCAGAAAATACAGTAGAATCTCGTTAATTCGAACTTGAGCGGTACAGAAAATTTGTTAGAATAAAGCAAAGTTTGAATTACCGGGAGTTTCCTCCCACAGAGACAGATAGGATGGGACCTGTACGTTAGTTTGAATGATCCGCAAGTTTGAATTGAGAGAGTTTGAATTAACGAGATTCAACTGTATCAACATATAAAAATCGTCAAAAAACAAAAAACTGTCAAATAGCTTTTTTTTTTTTTTTTTTTTATGAATTGAGCAACAGGAACTACAGTGTGCCTGCTCTCTTATTCAATTAAAAAAAAAAAAAAAAAAATACAGCATGGTGGCAAGGCGGTGTCATTTTAATTCTTATTATCACATCAGGCAAGTGCCTAAAGTAGTCCCAGAAACAAATGAAACCTAAAGATGGCACAAGCAGAAAGCACGAGGTCGGTCTCCATAAAATCACCCACCCCCCCCCCTATCCCAGGCGTGACATTGGCCCTCGACCTTTTGGGGGTGGGCTACCTACCCTCCGCACTCAAATGAGTTTGAAGCCCCTGCTTTATGCTTCGTCTCACTAAAACCGTGCAGTACAGCCATAGCTACAGGGAAGAGTGTATCCCTCCTCTTGAACAGGTTGGCATACGCTCTCTCCCCCGTAGCTTTGGCTGTACTGCATGGTATTGGTGAGACGGAGTATAGACAATCTGTTCAACTCTGCTGCAGGCCTACATGGACTACCTCTCTCAAGGTCTGCAAGCCGAATACAGGGAACGCGGCGTCTACATCCAGGTAAGGTGATTTACCGAGTCGCAACATACAATTCCCTTGTTTTTGTCTTGACTCTTAGATCCAACTACAGAAAGTGGCAGAGTTTTAGAGCTACTGACTTGAGTTAGCTAACCTAACAATTTAGTCAGATTAGCGCGTGCCAAGGTTGCAGGAATGAGAATGAATGACAACTGACTGGTGCATTTACTACAAGGGGCATCCATAAAGTTTGTGTTCTTGTCATAAAGGAACAGAGATGCAGCAATGAAACTCGGGTAGGAGTTCAGTCTTTCTCTACATGTTCACCACCGAAAGTTGCACACTTTTGCCAGCGATGGACAACCCGCCAGAGGTGGTTGTTGTAGAATTCCTACAACAACCACCTCTGGTTTTGAGTGTTAGGGAATTGCTCCACTTCAGCAATCGCTTGGTCGTCATCCTTGAAATGCTTTCAGGCTTGTTTGGCCACGCTGGAAGCGTCTGCGCCGTTTAACTGGAGTGTCATAAACTGGGGTGTTGTCCCCGAACTCCACCACCAGATTCAAACGAATCTCCCTGGCACTGCTTCCCTTCGAATGAGAAAACGGGTCACTGCACACTTTGACTTTCTGGACGGGCGGTGCCAAAGCTGGCAGCAAACTCCGACGACTTGAAAGTCGTCATAGTTTGTTCCCAGCTTTTACAACATTTTTGAACCCACAGTTCATGCCCAGGTTACTGATCAGGGCAAATTGCTTTCTATGTCGTAGTCAATACATCTGTCTGCGGCATTTTGAAATCATTGTTATGACCGAATCCAACCATATATCACAATATGTGCAGACAAGAACCAGAAAATAGTTGCATCTGCCACATCGTTGTCACATGGTGCGTCCTAGCCCAATGTTATGCGCACAGTATTTTCGTGCGGACATGTTATTGCCACCTCGTTATCCACCACACACTCCTCGTACATTAAACCAGATCCGTTGTTAAATCACCCAAGCACCAAGGGGCATGCTAAGAGTTTGGTTACATGCACTGCACCTCTGGCTTCTGCAGCAGTTACTGTTCTAAATCAAAAACATGAAACTAAACGGCACTTTGCACGTGCATTTGGAACAGGTTTTGGTTATTTACTTTGAAATCTTCAACACCGACAAAGTGAGCTTGCGCAGTTTTTGGGGCTTACATTCCCAAATTCTCCTTTGTGCTTGAGCAGTTTGGCAGAAGGCCTGTTAGTGCTTCTCGTTGTGCTCTGCAGAAAAACCAAGTGCAGGTCCTGTAAAGTCGAACAGTCTAGCACAATAGAGCCCGTTCGCATTTGTTTACGACAGAGTTCTTGCAATCTCTTACGACGAGAGAATGCGCCGACGCCACCTATGAAATGACCCTGGAACCCAATTTCACTAGATCGAAGGTTTTGCGGTATTTGCGAGATCAAATGCATGCACGATCTATGAGAAGCTATTTTCTCTTCAAGAGGTTTAAGGGGTTTAAAGGCACGCAGTTGTAAGGAGTCGCCGGTGTTTGAGCCAGCCTTTAGTTCTTGTCACTGTACTCTAAATTCTACGGATGGCTTGGCTTTGTTTGACTGCAACCGTCGTCTACGTACCCCCGATTCGACCCCGGACCATGGTCTGCATGTTGCGCAATCTCTTTGCAGTCGGTGATGCCAGCCTACGTGTCGACCAAGATGTCCAAGATCCGCAAAGCGAGCTACATGGTGCCCACGGCCAAGACCTACGTCAGGGAGGCCCTGAACACGGTCGGCGTGGAGCACGCTACCTATGGCTACCTGCCCCACAAGTTCAGGGTATGGCTTCTTTTTTGCACGCGCATCCATATTGCAAGGTGCACATGGTGAAAAGGGTTAAAAAGAAATTTGTGGAGCGGGTTGGTTAAAAAAGTGTGCCTCAGGCACCCGGTGTCTACGAGCAAGGCACAACGGCACAAAAAGAGACTCTGACACAAGGAGGAGGGATACACGGGCATAGGACCGCCTTGTTTTTGTCGTACTGTGTGTTGACTAGTGCAGCCAGAAACGTTGCCAACTTATTTATACCGTTTGCCATCCGGTTCATAACACGGTAGTGCGAGTCACGTGTCAAAAGAAGCTAGCGGACTTGCCGTTTGCCATCGTCGTCGATTTTGATAAATGAGGTGTTCGGGACGCCTAAGTGTTGTCAAAGGTAGGAAGCCTGCGCTGGAGGCGGGACAACTGAAGCCCCTCCCTGTCATTCTCCCCTTATCAGCGACTGTAGTGGTCATTGCAATGCAAAGGAACCTGCACTACGTTCTCCGCACGCACTTACTCTATGCTCCTTCTGGGAGTAGTGAGGAGGCACCGTTTATCGGGATCTCACACTTGTCCAACGTTGCACTCGAATGTATCGAGCCAGTGATTATCGTTCAGCGTTCTTTGGCAACGTTTTTCACTCTTGACGCAGGCGTACGTCCAGGAGACTCTGAAGAACTGGCTGCCGCACGACATGTTCATGAACATCTCCCGCTCGTCGCTGCTCTCCATCCGCCAGCTCTACTACAAGAAGAAGGGAGTGGAGGACGTGTTCCTGGGCAAGGGAAAGAAAACCCACTAGTGCAACTCTGCACTTTGTTGGGAACCGCCGGATGCATCGAGGGGGGGCCGAGTTCACGAGGACTGGTCACGTGGGGTAACTTGCCGTTTGTTCAGACAGTGCCGAGTTCTGTGTTCATGTTGCGTGTTGCTTTGTTTCGTTGCGCATTCCATTTTGGGAAGGGGGATGCGTGTCTTTGTTTCAGGAGCTCAATAAAATTTTTCTCACTTCGTCCTTCCGCTGCCAACGCCTTCGCTTCCGAGGCTAGTAGTTTGCCAGCCTCCATGCCAGATCATTTCAGACGGCTAATCGCTGGTACAGTGATGTCTAATTAATAGACACATTCGTTCCCCAAAAAAATTGTCCACGAGACAAAAATGTGCGTATTTATTCAGACAATCCCCAAAACGTTTGTCTACCGTAATGTCCCGAGAGATGGCCCACCTAAAATTGAAAGTGAATAGTGTGAAAATAAGGAGTGGGCTAACTTTCGGAGTGCAAAGCCTACGAAACTTGCGATCACAGAGGGCAACTTGCGATCACATAGGGCCGGCAATGAGCCAAAGCCACGACGGGAGATAAGCAAACGTTCCCAGTCAGCAACGTTCGCTTATCTCCCGTCGTTGCTAACTAACACCATTTCTGCCAAGGTCACCATTGGACAAGGCCCTTCAATTGCTACAAGTGGGTGCTGTCTTTAGTGTTTCTGGAAAAATAGCAAATTGTGCCAAAAAATAGGGGGCGGGTTATCTTTCGGGGGTGAGGCATCCCTGGGGATATTACGGTATTTACTAGCAGGGTATTTATATTAAAGGACCCATGAAACGATTTTCGGACTTCCGGCCAAAAGATGGCGTTTGGGGACGCCCCCCCATACAATGTTTCCCGGGTCACATGCGCATGACGCGCCGCGGGGTATGCAGCTTCCGGTCTTGTCCTCTCCTTAGCACTGTGGAAGTTGCTACAGCGAGAGCAGACTCTCCCCTCTCTCCCCATTAATAAACTGCTAAGACCGGCCATTTTGACGGTGTGGAATGCACATTGCAAAAGAACCCTGGAAGCTAGCCATCAGCACGCGCTCAGCAGTCGCGCGCACAGCTATGGCCGCCAGTGAATACTTCCTATACTCTGTTTTACCTTGTGTTGTACCGCAGGAAAGGCTACAAGCGCGAGCTCCTTGCTCTATGGCACACCTCGGCGGCACGAGCTCTCGTGCAGTAAGGGCAGCTGCCAACGCTATGAGCTCACGCTTCTAGCCTTTGCTGCAGTACAACATAAGGTGAAACGGAGTATAGTTGCAGGCAGGCGAACCAGGTGCACGAGAAAGAAAAGAAACCATGCAGCTGCCGAAACACGGTTTTTATATCGCGTTGATCACACTGCTCGTCCAGTAGCAGCGGGGAGGGGATGCTTCGACTTACTCCGGATAGATGGCGCTGCAAAAACTTTGTGTACTGAACAAGAATATAAAACTTTCGATTCGTTTGTTTATGCTGGAACGAAATAATTTCTAAACGTTACCATTAAACTGAGAATATACTTGTTCAAAAGCGATCTCAATAACCGCACCCACCGTGACGTCACAAAGTTAGTTCCTATGGCTGCCGTACGCGAAGTCAAGTCAAGAAATAGCTCCTTTTTGTTTTTGCGGTTATGCAGCGCATTCGCGACATTTCGAGAGAAGTGGTTGTGTTTTATGGTCCTTGCGCTAAAATGAACAAAAAAAGGGTAATAAGGGGCACATTCTCTCGAGGTTAAAATCGTTTCATGGGCCCTTTAACAGGATCTGTATTAACGAAATGACTGTACTGGTTGAAGCACCATTTTGAGTGTGTGCTGTCAGATAGCGAGGCTACAGGTAGCTCAGCTTCTGTACATTGCTCCAAAGTTCACATTCATTTTCAGCACACGAAAGCGTTGCAGCACAACAACGACTACAGAGATTCTTGGAACTGATTTTCAGGAGCGATACAACAAATGCGTCCTACACCAAGTATTAGGGGCTGGAAGTTTGCCGATCCAGAGATCGATGTGAGCGATTCGGAAGCAATGGGCGGTTCCTTTGCACCTATAACATTGAGAAACAGCTTCCTACACGTTGAGGTCATGGAGAATTTTCTGAGGCACCTCGAATGCAGTACGAGAGGGGTCGATTCCACTACATGTACAGCGTGTCCCCAAAAAATATCTAGTGTCTTTTTCTCACCGCAAGTGTAAACTATGCATCGTCGAACGGTCGTTTTCCGCCCAAATGTAGCGCTAGCAGTTTGAACCAGGTGCCAAAGTTTAGCACTAAATGTTATCTTGTTCAAAAGTTAAGTGATTTTCTGAAAACTTTAATGGGAAAATGGCACCCATTTTCACCTGTTTTCGGCAAGTGGTGCCACAGGGCATGTATTCGAGAGTGCCATCAGGTGCCATTTTCCCATTGAAAATGTAAAAAAAATTGCTGTGCTTACAGCTTTTCAATAAAACAACGGTTAGTGCTGGAACTTTGGCATCTGGTTTGGACCGCTAGCACCACCTTTGGGCAGAGAATGAGCGTTCAGCGATGCATAGTTTATTTTTGTGGTGAGAAAAACACTAAATATGTTGCAAGGGCACCCTGCACGTCAATAGCTTGCGAGGGCGACCCACCTTGGCCAGGTTTATTCTGTGTTACTATAAATTGACTAGAAAGATTCAACTCCCTCGGCTACTGTTCTAGCTCGAGCTTGTCAAAACAAAACTTGAGAAAAAGATGAGTCCCCATAATCGGACGTCAAGCCAAATTTCCAATTGTTATTCGAACAAAACAAAACTTGGAACGGATTTGTTGTGTTATAGAGTTAAGCCACAGCCTCCCGAGATTTTTCGTGCACTCTGCTCTGGCCTGTCTAAATGCTCGGCTGCCCTGCAGGAAAAGGAAGCCGAGTCAGTTCACTAGATCTCTGCATGTGGCGCTTACAACTAACCAGAAACAGAATCTCCTCAAAGCACGGTGTCAAGTGTGACCCCGTGGCATGAAGCTTGCATTTCCATTCTTATTGTCATCGAAATAGAGACGGGTAAATCTATCTCTGTTGCTTCACAATTTTTATTCGCTTCCCCGGTGTTTGCACTCTTTCGCTGAATGATGCCTCGGAATGTAAAAGCTCACAGATTTTTTTCTTTTTTTTTTATATGGAGGCTCTTGGATCATGCGTACCATATTTAATTTTATTATCATTAAAATTCCTCAGCTTTGTAAAAAAAATGTCCTTTGTATTATTTGTCAAGCTTATTCGGTATATTGCTCCCAAATTAATAATTGCAGCCGAGTGTTTTCTGTGGCTTACTCTCTAGGCAACGAAAGCCTAACTGAAAACTTCATGAACTTGAAGAACAGGAAAAAGTTAGAAAACTTAATAATGTCTGCCTAAAACCTAAAAATCCAAACTGTAAATGCCGAAAATCTGAAAGGGATGCGCAACAATGCGGTGCCTGAAATTCTCCTTGAAGTTTTGTTAACCTTTGAAAACAGGATAAAACAGTCGGCAAGATATCGAGGCTCCTTTCTTTTTCGGACATGCACATTTTCTAGCCGTTCGTGCTTGTGTTTCCACACGTTGCCTTTATGGGACAGTGCCCTTCTACGGAGAGCCATCCATGACCTTTAGGCTGCAAACTGGCACTGTTGTTACTCGTGACCTATACAAGAACTAGTCTTCTGTAAGGTAGCGAATAGGGCGAGTTGGGAAACATTATACATGATGAAAACCGCTCACACGACGACGACGGAGTGAAACAACAAACACTACAGGACGAAGCTGTTTTCGCAACTGAAGTTTTATTAGTGAAATTAACAGAAATAAAACAGCGTAGCCGACAGTGATTACATCAACACCTACTTATCTATTAGGCACTACGCAATATTTGGAGCTGAAACGGTTCACACACCGCTATTTTTATTAGCTCGCAAAGAACAAACCTCTTTATTTGACAGAGTTACCGACGGCGTACAGTCAGTGGTCAATAAATTGTTAACAGTCTTTTTTTACTGGCGAACAATGTTCCGATTTTATACCCTTGCGGCTTCATTAATATACAAAATGGGTGATTACTAATTTCTGAGGATTTAGTAAATATGCCCAATGAACCTCAAGAATATCACAAGAAAAGAGGACATATTTTTAATGAAGTGACGAATGCGAATTGCGTTAAATTACCACGTTTGACGCAGAATCCGCTAAGTTAAAGAAAAAATCGGTGAGCTTTTCTCCGCATCCGCTCCAAAGGCCGGTGAGCTTTTCTCTGCATCTGCCGGTTTTGCGGTAAGCTTTTCTCCGGTGAGCTTATCTCCGGTGAGCTTTTCTCCACCGCCCAGCAAGTCTCTACCGGCGAATGGAGCGGCCCAAGCAGCCTGCGCGCAAAAAATCTTGGAGGCCATGGTTATGCGACTGGAATCTCCACCCCGGCAAGAGCCCTAGCTGTCTCCTGTATGACAAGGCAATGCCTTCCTACTGAATTCCATTCACCGCCAAGCCAACAAAGCAGGGAAGTTACGTGCTTGTACGTAAGTCTTGCGCCAAACGGTAGGGACCGGGTGATGAAAGTGAGGTGGTCGATTGGTCCGGCAAGCTAGTCGCCTCTTTCACTTTGTCGGCGTAGGGGTGAACAGAGTACAGCAACACGCCATTCAGGGCAATGAAAACAACTCGAAACTGCAAGAATCAAAAGCGTAGCCCCCGAAATGACAACACAATAACCAGCAGAGACAATGGAATGACTTTTACTGTATATATATTACATCTCGAAGTGTGCGGACAGGCCGATTTTCAGCATCGTCGATCATCGGAACACCTTTTCACTAGGAACAATAGACAGTGTACCGCTACTAAAAATTGAGGGTGCAGTTACACGGCCGCAACTGCAAGAGTAACCGCATTTGAAAAATCGTCAAGTACAGGCTTGAGCGAGAGAGGGAGCTAGCTACACACCAGCTTCAAAGACTCGAGGGGCCGAGAAACGTTGTCTGGGTCTCGCACTTGCACAGCATAAATAACTGATGCTGCTCCCAAAACCAACCCGACTAGGACAGAAACACAGAATACATTCTGTACTTGAAATACGTACCTGAGCTTAACACTCGGAATAGTTCCACGTTTGATCAAATGCGGATGATGTCCTCCGGAATGTGCGTGTCTTCCACCATGAATGCGAAAATGAAGTGTGTGGAAACAAGCAAGATTGCATGGGTGCCATGAACTCGTGAAGATGACAATGACCACAATATTGGCCAGGGTAAAATTAGGCGTAACTTAAAGCTTTGGAATTTTAAATTCTCAGCTTCGTGTTTATTACTCCTGGGCTTTAGAATTCTCCATGTAAAAAAAGTATCTAAAAAAAATGTTTCAATTGTATGTGTATGTTGTACTGTAAAACGTTGCTACACCATCGTGGAACCAGCACATGGTCATTCGAAGAAGATAGTGAAATAAAAAACAACAAGCACCATGGACCCAAAAACAAACAAAAAAACTTCGAGACAGACAGAAAGGATAGCCGATGTCATGCCTAAAGATTAAAGGCTCATTTACTATCTAGCTTTTCATACCCTCTTACAAAAATATAGTACTTCAATAAAAGCACCAAACAATTTTTACATTTATTTAGACTCCCAAGCAGTGCCAATGGTTTTCTATATGGTTCAAAATAACTAAACAAGTATCTATTAACATAACGAATAAAATCTAAATGCTACAAAACATAAAGACAAGTTGGTCGTCCCACACAATATGCATGATCTGCCTTGTGAAATGAACTCTCTATCGTGAGCACGCTTTATGGCCAAACCGATGTGTTTCGTAGCAACTTTGAGGTGCTCCCTGCAATCTCATAAGCACCAGCCCTCTCCGAAGTGCTTCAATGTATCATGCTGATTCTCACCAAGTTGCATACTGGTCCCATTTTTAGGCATCTGATTAAAGTGATGCAACTATCCCATGTCAGCACATCACATCCTCCCCAGCCTTACAATCGAAGGAGCAACAAGATGTCGTACACAGGATTGCAACCAAGTTGTTCTGAGGCAGTTGCACCACGACACAATTAAATGTCAGGTCGTGCTGCTGTGCAATCCTAGAGCAACTACTGCTGTGTTCTAGTGGCAGGTCTGAACCAACCTTGCCACCACTCTCATGCAACGCCAGTCGCACTGTCACGAAATTTGGGAGGCGCGGTGTGCGAGCACAGCCGTATAGAATATGTGAGTTGCACATCAGCAGAATCCTTGAAACACCGCAATTGTAATAGGATGTAACAGAGAGAGAGTAATGGAGCCACACACTAACGGAAGTCTGGAGAAAGGGCTCCTGGTGTAGCGGAGGAAGCTGCACCAGGAGCAATTCCATACAGTGCAACCTCAAGCATGCTGCAGCCCAAGCCATTGCACAGCTCCAGTCACATTCTGCAGCTGCAACCACCACACAACTCTAGTTACATTACGTTAGAACAATGGAGGCAACTGGAGCTGAAACCATTGCACAGTTCCAGTCATGCCACGGTAGAACAGTCAAGTCAACTCCAGCTGCAATTCAACTATTGCACAACTCCAGCCACACTATGGCAGAACGGTGGAGGTAACTCCCGTCCCGCTATAATACAACAGCAGCTGGAGGCAACTCCAGCCACGCTATGGTACAATGGCAGCTGGAGGCAACTCCAGTCATGCTAGGGTACGATAGCAGCTGGAGCAACTCTAGCCACACTATAATACAATGGCAGACGCACAGACGCAGCTCCAGTCATGCTACGCTACACCCCTAGACCCTTTGGTCCCCTTGGGGCACCAGGAGCGCCTCGCCGATCATCTCCGGCGAGTAGTCCCCCGCAAAGCACTGGCCAGCCATGTTGATGTAGGCCCTGCAGAGGAGGCGCATCGACTTATGGGCCTCGAGTAGGGAGCTCTTCTCCATGGCGTTCCAGAAGAAGCCCATGACGAGGCAGAAGCCAAGGAGGAGGGTGGCCACAGTGCGACAGACAACCAGGACCCAGTCGAAGCCCTCGGGCAGCTCCATGGGCAGGGTGGCTGCCAGCACGCACACCATGAAGCAGCAGGACACGATGTAGAAGACGCGATCCATGTACAGCCTGTCCAGGGAGCGCATCAGCTGCTCCTGGCCACGGGTCAGAGCGTTCAAGTGGGCGGGCGTGGACACGTCACTCTTGTTGGGGGACAGGGCGCCCCCGTTGAGCCCAGCGGACGCCACTGCGAGGCAGACGATGCACAGGCTCTGAGGGGTCGCAACGTTCCGACAAAACTTCGCCTCAAGCGCGTTTTTGTGCCGAAGGTGGCATTCACTGGCGGCCATGGTTTAGTCCATTCCTGCTCAGTGCGAGCTTACGATTAGCTTCCACAACGATTCTGCAATGTGCATTGCACACCACCAAGATTGTAGTTATCCTCAGAAGATAAGTGGGGGCTCGGTACTGAGCCTGCGTTCCATCATGGCAAACTTGCTTCTTTTACCGGAAACTTTATGAGTGTATATTAACATACGCTACAGATGTTTGATATCAACAAAGCAAAGCAGTAAAACAGCCGTAGCATCTTACCTGACTGGTCGGAACTGCTCTTGCGACTAAGCCAGTCATACGCTTTGCGGTACCCCAAAACAAACTTTGCGTCACCCGATGGCCATGCAGCTCATCACAAGGGTTGCCATCATGCTCTAGCCGGTAGTTCTGGTTTTGCCATAGACCCCCAAGACAAAACTTCGATATAGAATATATCTACAAAACTACACGAGGCATCAGAAAAACTGAAACCTCATAATTCATGGACACTGCTTTCACTAAAAAAAAACGTTGTAACCCTAAAATCAAGAAAATATACCAGAGTTACCCTTTAACAAAACAAACAAGAAACGGATATCTCTCGGCCACCAATACCTTGCTAAGTTGGGCTTGCCGCAGTTCAAGCACAAAGAGACCGTAAGCCCCGTAAATAGCCAGACAGAAATTCTTGTTAATTTGCAGTGCTATTTTGATTTACTGATCACATCATTATATGTAGAATTGCATTTTATGAGGAACACAGCAGACTCCAGTGTCAGCCTTCTAGGCACACGACACAGCGTCAGTGTCGCCACAACCTCCTTTTTTAGCATTTTGTTTTCTTTTTTTCATTGTTTTTGGAACTTTCACAGCTGGTGAAGCCTTCTTGAAGCATCTCAGAGCACTCACTCCGGGTGGTTCTCGTTTGAACCCGTTCGCATTTCTACCTTCTCGTTTTTACCTTCTCATTTCAACCCAGCGCAAAACAACTTTCGCGTTTCTCCCTTTCTCATTTAAACCATTCTCAAAACAAACTTTCTGGTTTGGACCCTTCTCAAAACGACCTTTCTCATTTTAACCTTTCTCATTTCAAATTTTCTCAAAACATACTTTCTGGTTTTGACCATTGTCAGAAAGACTTTTCTCATTTTAATCTCTCTCATTTCGAACCCAAATTAATCCAACATCATAATCTCGCAATCTTTCTGCAGTATTTATGGCAAATTCGGGTAATTAATTGCCTTCGAGCCCTTGCCTGTGGCACCGGCGACCAAAAACGCGCCAGCGGCGCATCATGTGACCCTCTCCATCCGAGTGCAAAGCACAAAGAACTGGCGTTTTTTTTTGACTGGGTCGCGAGTGAGCTCTGTTAACTTCTTCTTCGATCATTCTATGGTACTATGAGCACGCTGCATATGCCAACAACATAAATTACGACTCTTTGAGATGTGTGTAAACAGAAGCGGCTTCACAAACTTTTCAAAATATTTGCATTACCGCAGTCCGTACAGCTGACAGAATATTAAAATATAAAATCAATGAAAGGGCAGATGTAAACTTCGTTTGGATTTTCGATTAACTGTTGCCACGGAGGCTTGCCAGCGTCGCTTTCCATATTCTGTTTACTGTTAGTAGAGAGATTTAGCAGATCGTTCTCATGACTCCGATAACGATACCCAATACTCCGCCACTGCCTCCCTTGCGCACGCATAGTATCGTTATCGGGGCTATCGGAACGATCTATTAAAACTCTCTAGTACCTTTCTTGGAATCCTCAGTCTTCTCATTGCACCCACCCTCCTTAAAATTGTAATGCGTGTTCAAGTTTCAAACTGCATCACTATGCACACTTTTTTTTTTCAGCGGTGTAATAACTTGTTATTACAGAGTTGTAAAATAAAGTGATGTATGATGCAGCCCGTGTCTCAGAGCAAACATACCTTGCTCAGGCTGGATAAATTCTTCCAAAAATGTTGACTTTCTTTGAAACATGAATTATCTTTCTCTTCGTTGTTTTTGCTATCTTGTCTCAGAGCACAAAAGGGTGCCTGTCTCGATGGCTTCGTTTGCCACTCAAACCCGCTATTTGCCGCCTCAGCGAGCATTGTTTCGTTTGATTCCCTATCCAGATTCGGATGTGACGATACCGGATACAGTCTGGCAGACAAGCTGCCCGACCTCTTGGAGCTCAGGAAAACTTCTGCTGGTAAATTGCGGGTACACGCCTGAGAAGCGCAACCCGAAAAGCTTGCACCCGCCAGCCTTTGACCACGGGAACGCCCTTGCCGAAGATATGGGAAAACTTTTTTTCAGGGAAAATAACCACCCGAATTGGCCATTACAAGCAATAACACACGACTAGCACAATGATCCATCCGCTCCATACGACGACATCTTAATGACATACAGCGACAGAAGAGAAATGAAGTACCGAATCTGCGCTAGCACTTTTGAAACCACGTCACCATGTGACCACGTAGCTACGTCAACAGACTCGGAGTGGCATGCAGGCATAAGGAAAATTGTTTCATGTGCTATGCAAGAGATGGTGCCGCTTCGCTTCATCTTCAACCTTCATCCTCAACTGTTTTTCCTTCTTTCAATACCTCACTACAGTGTTCAAATGACAACGGGTTCAAATGAGAAAGGTTTGAAACGCGAAAGGTTAAAACGCGGAGGGCGTTTTGCGAATGGGTTCGGACGAGAAGGGTTCAAACGAGAATGGGTTCAAATGAGACGGGTATAAATAAGAAAGGGTCGAAACACGAAAGGTTAAAACGAGAAGGGCGTTTTGGGAATGGGTCCAAACGAGAAGGGTTCAAATAAGAATGGGCTGTTTCGAGATACACCCCTCCCTCCTGCCTGTTCCGCTTACTTTTTAAATTCCTTCATCGCTGCTTTTTTCGCAATTGCATTGCGTGGCCTGCGGAGTTTGCGGCGCAAGTGTTTGGCAGCTAGCCAACTAGACCAACCCTTTTCAAACTGGCACGCTTCATTTCTCAAGGCCAAATCAAAATTAGCTTCAGCAAAAATGCACTTCTGCATTAAAACAACACAGCAACCGACAGCCACTCCTGGGATGTCACGTGGGAGATCCAGGGCTCTAATTTGGACACTTGTCGAAAAAGTCTGCGAGGAATTCGGCAGCCATGACCGGCCACAGTGCCGCCCTCGACCTTCGCATCGGCCAATCGCGGCGATCAAGTTTCTCGCCAACTTTTTTGCCAAGTGACCAGGCCCCCGGCGTAATCTGGCTCCCCACCGCCAACCTCCGTCCCAGAGTCCCTTCACAATTGTGGGGTCGAGAAGAGACCCCCCCTAAAACGGCCCTTCGCGGGTGCAATATCGACCGCCGACGGGAAACTTGGTATTCAGACTCACGCTGCGACGACTTGGTCACCCGCATGACAACTTCCACCGGCTCGTGATCCGACAGGGGAAGTCCCGACGTAGTCTTTAGCCGCGGGTTCTTGCACACCTTGCAGTTGGCCACAACGCCTGCCGTGAAGCGGCAAAGAGTGTGAAAATCGCCCGTTGCGACGGCTTACGACTGTGCGCCTTAAAACCTCTCATGACGCGAGAACACAACGCACCGGCACCATCTATGGGGGTAACCACAACTAACTTGGCATTTGCGCATTTTCCTTTTTCTTTGCACATTATTTTTTTTGGGGGGAGAGGGGCTTGAAAGTCTTTTGACATTTTTATAAACAACCATTTCTCACACAGATAGTATGTACATTTGATCTTGCAAAGACTGCAAAAGTAGCGACTATTTCGATGTCCACATTCAAAGTAATTTTAAGTATTATTTTGACGTCGGTAAAGCCGTTCTCCCGAAGACGTGAAAATATATTTTTTAAATAATTATGACGTCCCCCGTCAATACATTCTGTTTCATTATTTCTATACATACATATATATATATATACTGTAAATGACTTATTTCTCGCGGGCTCAATATTTTGCGATTTAGGTCAAAGCTGAAGTTTTGGAATAATTCGCGGGTGGTGGGATCTCAATATAAATTCCAATGTGTTTACATTTTACCGGAATTGTTCAAGGGACCTATTTTCCGCGAATTGTAGGCAATTCACGAGAATTAGGTGTTTGCAAAAATTAACTCATGTAAAGTATATAATGTTTCATTACGGCACAGTTGCTTTTCACGAATTATTTTGCGTTTTACGTATATGGACAAAGGAGCTGAATCTAGTGTCACAAAACTGGCAGCTGATTGGACAACAATTGCCGTTGGAAAATGTGTGTATCTCGTACAACTGCGGCGCAGACAGCGATATGAGAATCTTTTGCTTGGTGCATCAGAACTTTTGTTGTTCATTCGCACCGGTCAAAAAACATCAAGGAGGCAATGTTTGCATTAACAACATTTTATTTAATATTCCGATCGTTTTGTAGCCAACCCTTAAACAATGAACCCACGAAACCCAGTTTGAGAGCCAGATGCAAAGCGAGACTTTGCAACCATACGAAGACTCGCTTGCATGGCAGTGGAGGCACAGAGGCCCGAGAAGCGTGCCAAACTCCTAGTGTTATGTCGTGTACGCACTTACATTTGTTAAGTGTGGGCACGATAGAGGGATATCCAGCTCGCCTTTGTCGTGAATTCAATATTTCAAGAGAGGCATGTGCCGAAATGACACGCGAGAGCTCAGAACAATGCTGTTGGGCGTGTCACGTCCGAAAGGATCAACTGTCAAGCCAGTCGAGCGCGCACACACCGAATAAGACATTTCCAGTTCAGAGTAGGACCAAAACTTCTCAGGCACATGGCACAGCAACATGTGAACATGGCCCCGTCAACACAACACTGACAACATCATCACAAACTAAACTGAAAAAAACATGAAACTACGAAACGGCTACCGCTACCACGCAACGGAAGCTGATGGGGGCGTCAAAATAATAAAGCCACTATTTTAATGTTCTACGAAAGTGACGTCGCAGATGTCAAAATAATTTTTTTTATATAATTTGACAGTGGACGTTGAAATAGTCACTGCCTACTGCAAAATCTTCGTTCTGGCGAAATCCAGCTCCAGAGTCAACTCATAGGCGGTGCCAGCGTGCTCCCTCGTCGTAAGAGATCACAAGAATGCGCTCAGAAGCAAACGCAAGTGTGTGAATGGGCCTTTAGACATTCCGCCAAACGAATGAAGGTGCAACAACACTTTGCGTTTTTTAACGAGCAGCACATAATTCTCATGGAATGATGTGTGATGTGACATGTGGTGAAGGAATTGAGAATGTACAAAAAGCTTCCTCATCCACGCACCCCTTCTTCAGGGGCATTGCATCATTTTCCTCTGAAATGCTGCCGTGCATGCAATCCAACCATGAGATGCCTCCATGCCTACTAAATTATTTTATTAATACACACTTCACCCTGCTATGCAGTGGATATTGTACCCACCAATGGTTTCATGCAACCATGCAAATGGTTGCAAGCAATTATATGCCACAACGGTTGTAAAACACCCTTTGCAACAAGACACAAGAAACGCTGGTTCACACTTTTGCATTTCACTAGATCGACTTGGGCTGTCTGGAACCCCATGCCTGGCAGGTAAGGACCTTTTTTTACCTTGCTGGCATGGGGTGCATTTTGGATAGGAGCATAGTATAGTTCTTTTCGGAGTGTGTTTTAATAAATGCTCTAGGACTTTGTCCTTACTCTGGTATGTGTTTCTCCCCCCGCTATATTTGAGAGAGTGAGACGAAGTAGCGATCGTTGGCACCGAAGGAGGTGTTTTATACAACTGACTCCCGGTAACATAGCCCTAAACGTCATCCACATTGCCGCGGATATGTGGAACCGCGCTACTAGGTTCAATGTCTCCTTTGAGATCGCCACCGCTGCTCCGATCAAAATCAAATGCAAATCTGCAAACGAGCCTTACAAGAGTGCAACTTTGCTGTACTATCAGGCCCGCTTCAAACGGGGTCAATTTTTCCCAGCGTCTCGACTTCGCAACACCAGCAACACGGGCCTCCCGCGTTCACTTGCAGCAGCTCCTAAAGCTCTAATTGCTTCGTTTTGTTATTGCCATTTTTAAAATTGTAAATGTATGGCACCATTTAGCCACAAACATTATCTTTTGATGGCATTGGGATTACTATTTCATCCCCCTGAAACCATTTACCTATTTGCAAAAACAATCTCTGTCAAACCAAAACCAAGCTCTACCCCTTGTCCGGTTACCACCACCATTACCGCATGAAGGGTCACTCGAAAATATTGCGTGTCTGATTGGCTGCTGCTGCCGCTTGAAAAGTCTCAGAGTTGCTGAAGTTGCTTGCCTGTTTTGAGCTGGATTCGATCCCAGCAATTCGTGCCGCAGCGCGAGAATATAGGAAAGGCTGGGGAGCAACTCACCGGCAACCCCCGATATTGCTGAGAAAATCACCCCGTCTGAGCGGGCCTGAGGAACCGAGTGAGAGTGGACCCACCTCTGCCCACTTTGAACATGACGTAGTCTATCCGCTTCCCGGTGGGGCACGTGTGCTTATCGTACGCCGAAGTGTAGTGGTTGTCAGGATGGCCGCAGGTGGCACCAACACACAGGCTGTCCTGCAACGGACAGCCACAAGTGCATTCGTTGAACTTAAAACGCTCACAACTGAGCGGACTAGCGCCTGCTTGCCAAAAAAGCACTTTTCTCGACATGTCAATGAAGTATGCGCTGCCAAAAACACAACCCAGAGTCGTGTAAGGGGAAGGTTCGGCCATTGAAAAGACACTGAACTCCAAAAATATATTTTTGAAAGTGCCTACCGTAATATAACCCACCTAAAATTGAGAGCAAGACGGGTGAAAACAGGGAATGGGCTAATGTTCAATGTAAACCCCCCCCCCCCCCACCCCTAGAAAAAAACAAAAAAACTTGCAGCAAAGGAATGCCAAGGTGTGTTTACACTTCATTCAGTCACCCATGACCTTTAAATGAGCAGTCGCTATCAACAAAAATGTCTATCACTTCGTCATATAGGTCCTGTGACCTTTCAAACTTGTCACTGCAGCGGGGGGCTCTGTTAACCAAAGACAACTGTCCAGCCCAGTTATACATTTATCGCCTGCCTAACTGTCCTTGTTTCCGCCGAAGCCCCCAGTGGCCCGTACGGTGCAATTACTAGAAGTGGGCTATCTTTTAATGCTTTGGAAAAAAATACTGAATACTGCAAAAAGTAGGGGTGGGCTATCTTTTGATGGTGAGGCACCTCTCGTGATATTACGATGGATTGCAGGTTCTTGAGGTGAAAAAATGACCGCATCTCCACGTGGTGAATGGTGTTATTGGGGCGAAGCTCTGGTGGTGCTGATGGTATTGATTTTGTTCATAGGTAGTGCTGATGGTGCTAATTATTTTTTACTGCTCATAGGTAGTGCTGAAGTAAAGTGGAGATTTGGGCCAGTTGGTTCATTGCAAGCAAAAAGCGCCGAAAAAATACAGGGACACAGACGAAGGGAAACAGGACAATGCGCCTTGTCCTGTTTCCCTTCGTCTGTGTCCCTCAGGGACGGCGCCAGGGGGAGGCGAGGGGTGGTGGGCGCCTCCCCTAAAATTTTGTCCGCCACCCCAAGGTGAAGCAGCTTTGTTCACAAATAATTGCCTGCGACGTCGGCTTCAAGACCCAGTGTAACGAGTGCCCAGCCTTTAGAGCCGTTCATGCCTTTTATTTTTTATTTTTTCTACTAACTTCCATTCACGGGAAGGCGTACCGCGGGCGAGTAAGCTATCAAGCGCTTTGGATAAAGCAGCTCCCCTTTGTGGCGCCTACTGGCTATTCTCTCCATATTTCGCTCTGTGGTGCTTATCTTCAGCGGAGACCGGAGACGTGAACGAAGGCGAGCTTAGTTACAGTCAAGGTCATGGGGCATTCCGAAAAGGGAAGCAAAACCTTGTTGTGAGTCTGAGCACAGATGGCAGAGGTCCCTGCTGGCTGTAATACCCCCCCCTCCCCCCTCCCCCCCCCCCCTCCCCCCTCCCCCCTCCCCCCCCCCCCTCCCCCCTCCCCCCCCCCCCCCCCCCCCCAATCTTCCTCCTTGTGTCTCCACATTTCCCTTTTCAATGAGCACACCGCATAAGCTATCTTTGATAAGCCCGTGGGTGATAGCACCTCAAAGCAACCCCCTCCCCCCCCGGCCCCATTTGTTTTGCCTCCCCGCTGCCCCCCCATTATAAAAATCCTGGCGCCGTCCCTGGTGTCCCTGTATTTTTTCGGCGCTTTTTGCTTGGTAGTGCTGAGTTCCGGGTTGCGTTTTGACTCCATTATTACAGCTTTATGGTCGGTGAAATGCAGAGCCAGTGGTTCTTCTCATCCTTTTCATCCATGTCAGAAAGAAAATGTGTGGTATGGAACGTGGTTATATACGCATTTCAGCATTTGACCGCAGCGCCCTCTCTTCTATAAACGTTGAGCCAATGCATGCAAAGATTAACGCGATTATATACGCATTTGACCGCAGCGCCCTCTCCTGTATAGACAATGAGCGGCTACATGCAACGTTTCATCCATGACATCCCCAGCTCTTGAGTTACTACCACATCTCAGAGCCCACTACTCGTCCTGCAGTCGTGGCAGAGTGGTTAAGGCGATGGACTAGAAATCCATTGGGGTCTCCCCACACAGGGTGGAATCCTGTCGATTGCGCAAACATTTTTTCTTTTTTAAGAAGACAGATGGGATGGCAGTCGATGTGAGCACGAACACCGGACGGACAAGGCTAAACCCTAAGGAGCTTCGTTCCTAATATATAAATCTGTAAATCCCTGGAACCCTAGCTTCCTCCTGTCTGCGGGACCTGGAGACTACAGATCCCTAGACACTTTCAATACCCATGTCTGGAAATCCCTACTTCCCCAAGACCTTAAACGGAGGACCTAGGATTTACAGATCCCTAGACACCTTAAATACCTCTGTCTAGGAATTCCTGTACCCAGAATCAACTATTTTGTGCTACACTGTCAAGGCTAGCATAGCAGCTTCCACAGTGCTGCGGCCTCGTACGGGTGCAAAAGCACATGGCTTTGTCTAGCGTCTCATTCGCACACGCCCGCGCTACGCTAGCCTTGACAACGTTGCACTAAATAGTTGACGAAGAGTTTATAGTTCCCTAGCGTCTCTCTGTATGTAGGGAAGCACCTAGGGACATGCCACGGTGCCCAATGGCGATGAGGTGTGTGAAAATGAGCGCACCCCTGTGCCACTGCTGCCACCGACCGTGTTGGACTCCTGGCAGACGAAGGCGTCCTCCAGGCAGGTGTTGTGCAGGATGATGTTGTACGGGGGGTCGAGGGGCTCCGTGTTGAAGTCCCCCGCCACGATGGCCAGGTCGCACGTCTCGCTCGTCAGCTTTACGTACTGGCTCATCTCAAATGCCTGGCAGATGCGGTGCGACAGGTAGATGTCCCGCTGACGGTTGTACTCGGCATGCAGCTGTGTTAGCGACAGACACGATGGTCAGTGTTAAGAGGGAGAAGCCCCCTTCCTTACCTGCTTTCGCACCTGAGAACCCCCCATAGAGGCTTTTATTTAAAGTGACGGAAGGAGGCACTGTCGGTAATTGGCGTCCTTGCGAATTTCCGGTCAAATGAGAGGACAAACAATCCCCACCACAGCATTGCTTCTTGTAATGTTCATGAAATATTTTAGGACCAGTTCTCCAGGAGGTTAGCTAAAGGACCACTTAGCGAGGTACTTGTTGGAGATTTTTTTGATACTCGCGTAGGACGACTGATTCCTTTTTTTTTTTTATGTTGAATAGCACAACATAAAAGCCTCACTAAATCCCCAACTTCGCGATTTCAGTAGAACTTCATCATTCCAAGAATTTTGACACCAACATGGCTCAGAATCCAGCCGAAACAAAGCGACCAGAAGTCTCTTGGAACAGAAGAGACGGCTTGTGTTTGTAAACAGAAAAAGGAATGACACGGCTTGCATGCAGATCAAGAAACAATAGTAGAAAGAAGAGAACCCAGGCAACCGAAAGTTAATTTAAACAAGAGTAGCCGATTTTCCGGCCCATTCTCTTGGCTGGGTTTCACAAGGATTCTTTTCTTAACAAATATCTTTTCTATAAATGCTTTGCACACGCACCAGATTACAGCCACCATTGCCGACCTTCTCTTGTCTTACCAAGAAGCTAAACCACCGAAGCGGGCAATGACGATCCTCCACAAAAGTCAATGCTGGGGAGAAGGACACAGTATAATCTAAAATTGCAATAACCTGCCCTGCTGTGGTAATGATGAAGTAAAGTAAATGTAATAAGAGGAAACAAAAACTGAAGGTCGGTTATGGCAACGCCCATGCACAGATGCTGCAAAGTGTCTATAGCAAATATTCTAATGGCTTTTACCCTGTTCATTCGTTTTCTATCGTCCATAATGCTAATGCGGGAGCAGACTGAGGTACTTTGTTTTTCGTTAATTCACTCGCCTCATCCCATTTATATGCATGGCTTGCACATGATGTCATCATGCCGGTGGTCGATCCTACTCATTCTTGCCGAGAAAAACGAGTTCGGTAGTGTGAAACTTATGTCGCAGAAGTTATGCGCTCAGCAACAAAGCCACCACGATGACCACTGATGTCACACCAGTGCAAGCCTTGTACTGGTACTGTTTCAACATAGAGCGAGTTGAGGGAAGGCACTGCAGCTGCTTGTAGCACAGTCCGACCCAATTAAGGACGCGGTTTGCACGTTTGTGTCCAAGCAAGACTGATTGCGTTGAGACCACTTACGATGAGTGAGCGCAAGCCTTCGGGTAGCCCCAAAAAACTTCCACTAACCTGGGTATATTTTACGCATCATTCTTTCACTGTGGGTTAGAAATTATCCTGACAGTGCTTATACAAGCAACCATTTCTCATAAATAGAGCACAGATCCGATCTCGTAAACACTGCGAAACCATTAGTTTAATTGGTATGCAAATCGGGAGTGTTTCAGTGCTGCACACTAGTTGGCGCCACTCAACTAAAGCCCCTCGATGAAATTATTTTCATCTCTCGCAACAGTGCCCTTTAGGGACTACGAGGTGACCCAAGCGGAAGGACAAACGACCACAACGCACGTGGGTGACGTAGAGGTTGATGAGGAGACCCCGGTGGTTGACCTTGCAGAGGCCCACTACCTTGCCGCCGAACCAGTCTCCGTGGTAGAACTTGTGGGCGTAGCCATTCAGGTTGTACTTGAGCATGCCCGTGTCCGCAATCGGGCTCTTGGACAGGATGCACACGCCGCTGCCTAGGACGCCGCTGCGCCAACCACACTGACTGATTAATTGATCAGTCATTTAACCAATCAATTAATAAACCAGTTTATCCGACTAATGAACAACTCAGTATATTTTTTCTAATGACCGTCACACTGCCAGTGTCTTGTCCGTGAGAGCTAAACTATCCCTTCCTCTCTGCGCATCAGGTCGCAAATTATCTCGTTTATGTCTCGTTTGTTAAATTTCTTACACTTAGGTACCCTGCTCGAAAAAATAAGCTGCTACTTCTTTCTCCACTTTATGCATCCTCTCGCACTGACCATCAATTCAAAGTCGGAATCCCTCATTGTTGCTCCACTACTCTCATTTACTGCTTCATGCCCGGAGTGTCACTCAAATGAATCCACCTTCCCGTATCTCTAGTGTCAATATTGTCAGTTCATTCAATTAAAGTTGCAATAACCAACCATTTTCATTAGTGTAAACTTTAAACAGTCGTGTTTTCACTGCATATATGTATTAGACTTGTCTGTATACTGCATTTTGTTCTTCCTATCCCCTCTGTATTGCTCAAGGCCCTGAGAATACCGAAATAGATAAATAAATAAAACTTGCTCAAGCTTCACAGATAAAAAGCCATTACAAAATATGCACTACGACCAGTACAGCCGTGAAACATGGCACTAGTGTTCTCTGCAATGCCTTTAAAAATGTACACTGAATGAGCATGCATGTCTGCATGTATTATGCGGGACCTTGTTAGCTGTGAAATGTGTGATATGACCACGCTATACCGCCAGCAGCAGATAGCAGGCATCCTCTGAAATGCTGCATGTGCCCAGCATGGTGCAGTAGAGAATAATTTTTCAGATTGGGACCAGAAGCTCTTATGTCTCACAATGTGTTTCCGGGAGCACCTGCTATAAGGTGCAGGTACTATAAAGTGGCCATCTGTTAAATAACTTGACAATCTTACTCATTTAGTGACAGAAATCTAGAATCTAACGGGATGAGGCATCATTTAGGAAATGCACTGTGGCGGGTGGAAAAAAATACCAACATGCTGCCTCAAGGGGCATCCCTGAGGAGGTCTCGTAATCATTGTCTTCTTCAATGGCTTTTAAAAATATTCAACACCGTCGTCAGCGCGTTACAGCTGACAAGTTCTGGATAGTACCCATAATTCCACTGTCACCGTGAACCCTTTTTGGACTGATAGTCACAATGTCAAAGAGCCAGTCACAATGTTAGTCACAACTGATAGTCACACTGTACTGATAGTCACAATGTTAAAGGACATATGTCCCACACGGCCTGTATAAACCCCCCATACAACTTAGTAAAATGTTTCAGATTTAATTAACGAATGACATTCCTCTTTTTTGAAAAACGGGCCGATAGAAATCAGTTTTTGAACAACTCGGGGCAGCAGAGCCAGCCTTTTGGAGGTTTGGAACAGCCAAAGATGTTTAAAATGTTTCCATGCCCGGCGTCAACACGAACAACACTTTTTGAAACCAATACAGGTGTTTTAACTGTCGCCATAATAAAATGCTTTTACAAAACCCCACTAACTGACTCAAGCAGCTTCTACAACTTAAAATTTGCATTGGAAGCTGCTGCCAAAATTCATGATAAGAAGCAGGAATATGGTGTAGTAGTAAAGTGGTAAGCTTCGCCAGAATGCACTCGAAACTTCTGCGATTCAGCAAAACCATTATGAATATCAATTTTGTTCATATAATACTGTAAAACACCCTAGTGTTCGCAAGCACCTAACTTTTGAAAATTTCGCGGCTTGGAAAATTTGCTAACTTTAGGGGATGCAAATATTTCTATTGTCTAGAGAGGCAAATGCCTGCCTTTAAAATTTGCTAAACTTAGTTTACAAATATGATCCCACTGCCCCATTCGCAAAAATAAAGGGCTTTACAGTATGAGAGCTAAGCATGCAGCACACTAGTTCAGCACAGTCTATAGAAAGAATGAAGCATTCAATGACACCAAAACAGATAGAATGCTGCTCTATATTCACAAAACCATTTAGCAAAAACATTTCTAAATTTTAAAACTACCGTTAGTATCCTGAGAGATGGCCCACCTAAAAGCGAGAGAAAATGGGATAAAAATAAGAAGTGGGCTAACTTTTGGTGTGCGATCAAAAGAAATAAAAAGATGCTATTGTTGTATTCTGTAATTTGCCAAACTTGTTTTCACGTTGAAGAGCAATGGAGTATACACAACAGTCCTTCCCAGTCAGCAAGGTTTGCTTATCTCTCGCCCTGATAAAAAAAAGAAGCAAGTCATGTCAAAAGTAGGGGTGGGTTGTCTTTCAGGAATATTAAGGTATATACACATATGTCAATATGCTTCTGTGGCCTCAAAGACCTCCTTAAAGACAAGTTTCCCAACCCCAAACACAGCGTTCCTCGGACCCACTGACCTGTGAAAATAATGGGCGTGGGGTAGGTTGTTCCTTGTTTTGGAGCGTATCCTCTTGTAGTCTCTCTGACTCCATATCTGCAGGCACAAAACAAAACCAAGTTCTAAAATCCAACCTCGACGTGCCCAATTTTATGCACGTGCAAAGAATTCGAAAGAAAAGTTATAATGCGTTCAGCATGTTTCCTGCAGAAACATAGAAACTATACAGTCTTTTGCAGGTTTAGAACAGCGGGACAAAATCCTGCAAGAAGGACCTCTGCTGGTCATGATCGGTGAATGCCTCCTCTCCAGTGTTCCCTCTGCTAAAGTGCAAAGAGAAAGGGCCTTTGAGGGAAGAGCTTCTCTTGCTACTCTAAGCTTGCAACAGACTCCAGCTATGGTATGAGTGGGCCTGTCTCGGCCTTAAGGCACGCACCTCTTGAAGGAACACAAAGTCGAGGTCACTTGAAGAAAGGTAGTTGGCAATGGCAGTCATCCGCTCCTCCCGGTGCTTGCTGATGCCCACGATGCCCCTTGAAACACACAAAGGCAGAGCTTTCGTGAGCATATCATAGAACCCTTCCAAAATTCAGTCTGGCCACCCTGATCACTACCATCGGAGGAGGAATGGCATACATGCCATACTAATTGTGGCCTTCTGGTTACTAATGGAGGAGCAGGGGGGGGGGGGGGGGGGGGTAAGGAGCAGAATGCGGCAAATCGTAAGTGCTGACATTGGTGGTTTTGAGAGAAAGAATGAGAGAGCGACGGAAGAGCAAAGAAAGAAGGCAGACGACAGGTTGGGCGTGTTAGTTTTGCAGCGACGCCTTGAAGTCGTTGGAGGGGCAATAGTCACCAGCTAAAAAATAAAGCTTGGAAAACAACAAGTACATTTATGTACTTGTTGATGATGTTTTTCTGCTTCTTTTGTACATATTAGAGAGTCACCAATGATATGGGCCCATTGGGACTGCCAACGGGATGAGTCTATGCCCCGTCCTTTCGATGCGACCACAATGCATGAGACCTCTCTCTAGATTCTTATATTAACTCTATGTAGATGAGACAGTTGAAGATGCCCCTAAGTGGATGATGCGAACGTTTAATATCAAGACATTAGTATTTTTATTTCTTTATTTACACAGGCACCTGCTGTGCCATAAGACACTAAATAGGGGGGGTACATAAAAACATTAATTCAAAGAACCCTTCAAAAGTACAAACAACAATCAATAAAAACAACCTTTTCACTTTAGAATGCTTCTCTGCAGTTCCTCATAAAAATATCAACAACAGAAATCACTTCTTCCGGAAGCGCATTCCACTCCCGGGCGGCTTGAACAAAAAATGAATGAGAAAAACAGTCAGTTTGATAATGATGCTCTACCGCTGTCTTAGGATGATTCTGCATTGAGGATGCATGATGCGGTACCAGAACGTAAAGTCCTCTTCTCAATACCTGTCTCCCCATGATACATATTATGAAAAACTTTTAAACCACAAACACCTTCTCCAAAATTTAAGGCGATCCCAACCCAGTCTGTTCTTTATTTCTGTGGAACATGAGTACAGGCTATAATCACCTGTGACAAACCTTAATGCCCGATTTTGAATTTGCTCTAACTTATTTGCAAGGTAACATTGAGGCCGGATCCCAGATAACTCGGGCATATTCTAAAATCGGTCTGATAAAAGAAAAATATAATGTTTGTCTCACACTGCGAGGTGAATTCTTAAAAATTTTCCGAATAAAATATAATATCTTACTTGCCTTTGCTAAAGTATTATTTTTTATCTATGTGGTCATTCCATCTAAAATTGTTCGAAAAATACACTTCCAAATACTTATGTTTATCTACCCATTCAAATTCATATTTTTTCATTTACATGTAGATGGGCAAACAATAAATCAAGTAAAACACATGTATTTGCACTTTTTTCTATATTCAATCCCATTTCCCAATTATCATTCCTAAATCCCTTAGCATCATACAGACATCTGCATCATTTTCAACAACTCAGTATAGTATATTATCACCTGCAAATAATTTAATATCTCACTGTATGTTTTCACAAATATTGTTAATAAATGTAAGAAATAACAGGGGTCCTAGTACGCTTCCCTGAGGTACCCTCAAGGTTACAAGCACAGGTGAAGATTTCTGACCATGTAGTACAACACTCTGCTATCGACCAGACAAATGCTCAACAAACCACTGTATCATATTATACATTGGGCTGTTAAGTATTTGTCTGGTCAAGAACAGAATGGAAGTAATTGAAATATATATTTCAATTAGTTCCATTTAAGCTTATACAGTAACAAATGATGCGACACACTGTCAAACACTTAACAAAAGTCTAAAAATATGCAATCTGCACGTTTTTGTGGTCGACGGTATTTGAAAGGAAATAGGTAAATTCAGCTAGCTGAGTAACACACAAATGACCTCGAAGGAAACCATATGTTGGGATCGGGGGAGAAAAAAAATTGCTGGAATTTAAAAAACTATAGATCGAGCTATCATTCAAAGAGTTTGCATGCGACAAATGTCAGAGACACCGTGCGGTAATTTTCAACAAGGTCTCTTGACCCTGACTTAAAAATTGGACCTACATTTGCTTTTTTCCAGTCATTGGGAATTGAACCAGTCATTAGTGATTTAGTATAAATTATGTGCAGGTACCTTGCAATTTCCTCTCTGCAGTTGTGAAAAATTACCGGCAAAAGCTATTGTGGTCCGTACGCTTTTGAAATATCTAGGCCTTTGAAGTATCTCGGCCTTTGAAGTATCCAGGTTATTAAATTGCCATCCTTTAATAAAGCATGTATTGAATTCTCCGCTTTTTTATTTGCGTTAACAAATTTTCGAAATTCAGTACGATCATTTCTTAATTTGTATTTAAAAGACTTACAGAAAATTAGTTTACTTTCTTGGATATTTTTTTTTTGAGATTTGTGTTTATCTCTTCCAAGTTTTTGTTCCAAGGTATCCAGACAGACCTTTTTCTATACCTTTTATAAGCCTGCGTTTACAATTTTTTGCTTTCGAAGCGTAGCAGTTATCAATGGTTTATGCTTATTATTTTCCTTAAAAATCCTGGATAGTATGTGAAAATCAGTAAGCACCTTAATTTTCTGTTTAATACATTGCATTCTTTATCGAGTTCTGAAAAGTAAGAGAAATATGCCTAAAGCTCCAAGGAAATATGGTCATAATCACCCTGGCTGTACAGCATCCCTTTGCGTGGATGCTCGACACCCTATTTATTTCATTTAACGGTATTTCAGATACAACTGCATTTTAACGCTTATATAAAGAATTACAAAGACATCTGAAATGATACTGGAATTATTTGTCAATAAAAAATCTAAAATCGAATTTCTTCCCGCTAGTGAAAGAATGAATTGGTTTAGAGCAAATGAGATAATGAGATAACTAAAAGATTTATATAAGCTGGAACTGTCGTCACAGTAGGTAGTGCCTGTCCAATTGGAACTGAAAGCCCTCTCCCACAGTAACAAAGCTATCAGAGATAGTGGACAGTACCTATATGACCAAGTTCATCGCTATTATTTATTGTTGAGGACGGCAGTAAGTGCCCAATACAGGCGTGCCTCCTATGGACAAATGACTCGACACCAAATGGATACAGTAGCATTTGGCGGCACTAGAAGCCTACTGCTTGCCCACCATGCATCTATGAATAAAAAGAAAATTATCATCTTGCGCACTGCAATCTTTACCGTAGACTGCAAAGCCTTTAGGAGTCATCGAGTCGTCACTCAGTGCCCATAACTATGTATGGCTCGATTGCCTCTACTAAGCAAAAGAAATGTGTCTACTTTATTTTTGAGATTGTTGAAGTTTATCAACGTAACCATGGGATGAGTGTCTGAAAATATGGAAGCATTATCTGAATATATGGAAGCAAAACTGGTTGGGGTAGAAGAAATACGTCATTCGTGTAATCTTGTACCTCTACTGCTGTGCAGAGGACTGCCATCTTCTGCTCAGTGTCCCAGATGTACGCTTGCTTCGCTATTCACAATCAGTTTATTGTACAGAAGATACACCTTATTGGCCTTTTTTAAATTTTATTTCCTTTGAAAAATTACATAACATATCTTTTGTCTGGACTGGTGAAGGCTAGTGGGCTGAACATGAATACATAAAATTGAAATAAAACACAGAGGATAAGCACTTTGCTTTGCCACCATTGAAAGAAAGTGGTTGTCCTGTGCTAGTCCTCTGTGTTTTATTCTTTCAATTTTATATATCTTTTTGTCATTAAGTGATTCGCTAAAATCCTCTGAGACACTGTACTTTCTCTTTCGTTCAACGACATAAAATTTATGATAATTGGCCTTTTGCCACGCTCTCTAAATAAACCAATCCGATCCGGTGCATCTTTCATGTGATGCGAAGCAGGAATTGGATAGAAGAGCCGCGTAAGCATTAATTTCTAACTCGGGTCCAGTCAATTTGTTGACAGCATGCAATCGCCTCTAAAGCTTTTTGATGTGTAGAATTTTATCGAGGCCCTTAAATGAACTGCCACTTTGTATTATTCGGTTGTAACTTTGCCACCATTGAAAGTGAGAGAGATTGAGAATGCACTGCACAGTTAAAGGGGCCCTGCAATGACTTTTTTACTCATTTTTAATTTGCACCGAACCTGAGCGCACTGAACGTAGTAACTTAGTGAAACTTTTCTTTTCTCGAAATTCCCTTTATTTTAAAAGTTATAGGCAAATTAAAATTACAAAAACAAGCAAAAAATAACCTCCCTCATGACGTCCTTGGTTGCTTGAGAGTGGCCGTGAACTAGAGGAGAAGTAGTGAGCTCACCGAGCGCTCACGGCTGCTGCAGTCCGTGTCGACGGCGCGAGAGGGCGCCATTAAAGCGTGTTCTGGATAGACTGTATGCAGCGGGCAGCCAGAGTGGCTCTCATGGCATTTGCTGCGCGATTAAACACTAATTCGGCGTGACACTTCGTTGGCCACAAACAACAGCAAACATGGGGTAAAGATCAGTTCAGAATGGGAGCTACTTTGCGCTACCATACCGCGAAACGGCCAAACCGCAAGACAAAGCTTCTCGCCGAAGGCCTTCAGAACGCTCGGAGCCGGTCGGATCCTCCTGCCCATACGACCGCAGCGCCGCCGCATACATCCGGGACCTTTCCGTGTTGGCGCCTGATCCCACTACTCCTTTCTAGTATGCACCGCCTTTTCCACCGCTTGGTGGCGGGTATGTCGACGGGTCATTTCTTATTTTCATACTTTATAAACTGCATTAGTTTCTTTTTTGATTTAAAATACTGAACAAAAACTACTTTTATAAATAATTGAAACGGTTTGCGCCACATATACTGTGTATTTCGACTAAAAAGAAGCTTTTAGCGGCTCTGACCAGTAGTAAGCCCAGGACTAAAGACGTCACATTTTGCGCGCTTTCGGTACCGCGGGTCGCCCTCGTCGGTGGAGGAGCTTTCCGCGTCGTCCGGTTAAAATATGACGCATTGATATTTAGTTACTCTCTCCGTCCCTGCTGGCTTGCCCGAACCCCAAGAGACGTGGAAACTGCAAAAAAGGTAGACGCTTAAATATGATTACAGGGCCCCTTTAAGAACACATTCTCACCTGCCGTTAATTGCGAAAGTGACTGAGCGCAATGATATACAACAGACTACAGGTTCATTACCACCATGGCAAGAATTATACTACTATTTGAGCCACAGGGTGGCACTGAATTTCTGAAAAGGGCCTACAGCACGGGAGATATGATATAAAGAATGGGGATGAGGAACCAGCACATTCCCAAGAGAGGGTAAGACGTAGGTGAGCGCAGTCTGCTAATGTTTGTCTTTAAGCATCATAAAATACCGAGCAAGTGCACATGCAAAGAGCTAGAGGTAATCACAAAAAAATGAGGAGGGGCACTTGTTACGTCCGAAAAGGGAAAATCAGAAGGGCACATAGTACAATAGGACCAGAGCCACTGATTAGGCTACGCTTCAAAGTAACGACACCTCGACCATTTTGGTGCTCAAAATCATGGTTGCCAGTTATTAGATTTTTTACCTGAAATTGCAGGAAACAGATTTTTGTCCACCAAAAAAGTGAAAAGAGCTCGCGACAAAGCAAGATGCAGTCGCAGTCTTGAATTGCAACTACAGCCAATTGCACTCGTTCTGCACTGAGCAGGAAAATGGTGGCGCCCACAAGCAAGTAGAGGAGCGGAGTATCAATACTCTAAGCATAGATCTAGTGCCTCTGAATAGGCCCTTGCTCGATCATTGTTTGGTCTGACAAAACAGTACGGGAGCAAAATTAGGCGCGTGGTGCACCCCTAAATTTTCCAAACAGCCCCTTGGTTTTCATTGAGCCTGCTTTAAGATAGCGCTCTCGCGTCCAGCTTTGCCACTTCGCACTGGCACACATGCGTCAAGCTTCAACACCTCGCGCCGGCTTTGCGGAGAAGCAGCCGATGCAGATCGAGAAGCATCTCGGGGGGCTCGGAAAATTGCTGGGGTGGGCTGTTCAAATGATTTTCGCTCACGTCTTACATGTTTCAATAGTAGGGGGTGGGTGCTTGTGGAAACATAGGCGCCTGCTCAATATTTTATAGAAGTAAATGTTGGTGCTAGTTGAAAGGTGCACCATCCATTTATTTTCCAAACAGATAACTAAAAATTCAATGTTTAGCTTGTCCCTTTTCGATAAGGCAGATATGTACACTGATAAGGAGAGCCCTTGGCCTAGAAAAAAGGTGCATGTTCGTAGCACGACTCGTCTAACTATGGGGTTGAACTGTCCACAGATGGCACATGTTCATAGTCAGATAAACCGGCTGCCACATCGACGAGTCGATTTATTGTGCAACATTGTGCGGGTTCTGGCTGAAGAAACTCGAATGCACATGCAGCGGCAAGCACACAAGTCGGGATATTAAAGGACAAATCCTTTTTTTTTATACCAGTTAGTGATAAATTCTGCAACCTATATCTTGCTCATATAAAAGTAACCTATGCCTGCTGTTTTATTTTTATACAGGAATGACTTTCTGTATAAGACACCCAAGAATGAAGCAAAAAATAAAAAGGAGTTACATTAAAAAGCAAGAGGTGAGCTGTCTGAAGCATCTACTCACAATATGGACAGGGCATTTCAAAGGAACCATTCTTGTCCTAGTCCCTCATGATTAATTAGGTCAGTACTGGATATGTTTGCCATGTCTAGCCATGTTAAGCATTGAAAGGCAAGTCTGTGTCTTTACGTTGATGCATCTTCCAAAGGTTTCTTGGTTCTACTACTGTTATTTTGCTAATGACTATATTCGCGGTCAGCTTTTTGTGGCAATACAGTCAATGCTAGGGGAGAAGATGCACTAACCGCTGCACACGCGCTTTCCTCCTTTCTTCAGATTGCCACAGAAAGCTGACCGCGAGTATAGGGACAACTTTTTAGTTGACCGACTGTTTTTAATACTGTACCCGAATACTTAAAAAACAAACTTCTTTATTTTGTTAATGAATCACCAAAGGGTTGCATGAATCCTAGCTGAACCAATTTTAATACCTTGCAAGTTTAAAGTTGGTATCAGTTTACCAAAGGGCCGGAGCTCACCAACTGCTGACCTTGAAGCATAGCAGCGAGTGAAATAACCAGACAGAGAATGTGAGGGCCAGCTTATCTCAAGAGTTCTCTAGAAACTCAACCACGGGAGATAAGTATCAGTGTAACCTTGGATATCTCCGCACAAGTGCACTGTGGGGTACATCATGTCACCACCACTTTCGCTAGGGGAATTGCACAAGGTCCCCACATGCCCTGGGATATTATCGCATCTTCTGGAGGTGGTCTACAACAGTCAGTAGAATTGTAAGCAGTGATAAAGTGCAGGCGAGCTGGTAATGAATCAATATCTTGTACACCCGGAGAAGGGGAACGATAATGTAGACCCATCTCAGTGTCTACAAGATGTCGAGTCAGTAGAAATAGAGACATTCAAGTGTGCTGTGGACTGCCCTTCCAAAAGCATCCCATCCCACTATGGTGTTTGGGAAGCAGTTTAGGAACAGTCGGCAGTTCTCAGTACCTTATAACATTAAAGAAGTTAGAAAATTAATCATATGTGGTCCATATCTAATCAACTGCGCTGCAGTGCAAACCTATTCTGTCGAGAACATCACTGATGTGCCCAGGGCCGTACCCAGAAAAAAATTTCGGGGGGTGGTTTTCGGGGACAACGGCGGCCATTTTGAAAGTGTCTATTGTCTTATTTTTGCCTATGAATCATGTGCATCGGTGGCATATAATGGAGAGTTACAGCAAACCGGAGAACCGGTCCCGGTTTGGTACCCGGTAGCCGACCGGCGCCACTGCGCGTGCGCAGAGGTGGAGATTAAAATCGGCTGGCTGCAACTGCACCGACCAGGGCCGTACCCAGAAAAACATTTCGGGGGGGGGGGGTCAGAACCCCCTATCCCCCCCCCTGGTTACGGCCCTGGTGTGCCAGGCGGTGCCTACAGTGGCATCAAAAGGCTCTGCTGCATGCTTATCTGAGAGTAGTATATGTTAAACCCAGGCTGACAAAAGAAGTTTGTTCCATCCTGAACCCCTGCTGAGTTTGAATCAATAACAGGATACGCCAATTCAAAGAATTGCAACTAATATAAGTAAGAAAACAGGAAAATTGTGACTGAATAACTTAGGTGTCATGCCCAGCATGTGTTAGTGTTCATGTGCCAATGACGAATAGGCATTTAATTCCTAGTGAAAGAATTACGAAAGCTGTTGTTTGTTCTCAAAAACAAAGAGGCCTCTGTGTTAAATTAGGAGGAGGAACATTAAGTTTAAGGAACACGTAGCTTCAATGTAGACCTTGCCGAAAGGAATTTTCTTGGTCACTTCAAGTATGTTGCGAATAGGTGCCAGACATATGCATGCAAACAATAAACAAGAATAAAAAAACATTCTCTCTCTCTTTTTTTTTTTTTTTGAGTCCTATTTATCTACATTTTACAGACGGAGGTGAACTGAGACCTTGGAAGTGCAACATCCTTCTTGTTTTATTTTCTTTCTTTTTTTTCGTCGACCTAAATAACGCGAAAACCTACTGCCTATTCCGCCGCGAGAATTTCCTACGAGAGCGAACATTTACAAATAAAAATGCTAAGGAACACACACAAAACAAGCCGGTGGTATGAAAGGTGTCTTGATGGGTTGGCGAAGGAACAGAAATAAATTTACAAAAAATGCGACGAGAAAAAGCAAACGAACAAATACAAGCTGCCACCTAAAAATAGCAAGCGCGAATCTTGACCTAGAAATGAGACGATGCGGCCGGCAACAATCCCATTAAGTGCTTGTCCGATAGAAACGCAATAAAAAAAAAAAAACATATATATAATGAAACGAACAAGTAAAAATGAGGACCAGCAAACGAAACGCATGTAGGAAGCTTGGTTCGACCGGGAAGTCGTTTGAACCGCTCGCCTCTTCTGGTATTGCACTTTCCCCGGAAATCAAGCAATCGCACACAACTGACCCTTCGATATAAACAATTACAGAAATGATAATGAACGGCCTAGGTGTTCACACCCTTATGCCAATTTTTCTTTTTTTGGCACAAGTACGTTTGTGGAGAAATTACTGCCACATAGATACAGCGCGATCGCATAACATCTGAATATATCTGACTGCCAAAAGATACCGTCGCTTTGCAACGTTGAGACTTGATATGTCATATCGGTGCTTCGAGAGAGGTTTCAGTGTGACAACTGATTCTAGCGATTTCGAAATTAACATTGAATAGTGTGCCATTTTTCGTTGACTGTTTCCTAGAGGATGCATAGAGAGATATGGAGGATTCGGAGATCAATGACCACACACAGAACAGCTGTTTTCTGACACTCCGTCGCGTTCAAAAGAGCGCGATCATTCCACCACGTAGTCGGCGATACGTGACCACAACTTGAGTCAGTTTAAGCTCACGACAACAATTAAACTAGCGAAATTCGGTTGTCGCGCTGACTATTCGTGTCTTCTGAGCAGAAGCAACGAAACCGCGAATCGAAATCACCGAGAACGTCCCTAGGCCTAACGTCTCCTAACAACCCCATCGAAAGTGAAAGGAACATTTGTTTCGCACTCACCAACAGTTCAAGCTGAGGACGCGTAGCTCGACTTCCATCCTCATTCCTGCGGAGTGCACGGTCGCAGCAAACGATAAAGGTGAATAAATAATCCGCGACACACAACACCGGGCGAAAGGGACAAAAGCACGGATAAACGGAAGCACACACCGACTGGCACTGGCTCATTCATGAAGAGGCTGTCGGCTTCGAGCGAAGCGGCCGCTGGCATCCCGAAAGCAGACGACGAAAAAAATCACCGGAACAGCCCGAACACCCCCTGGTGATCAATTTGCGGACGTCCGAGAAAACTGGAAGAAAATATAAAATCCAGCTCGGTCTTCGCGCCCGTTCGCACTGCTCGTAGCTCGAAATTTTTCCTGACTTCTCGTCCGCTCCTAGGGGCGGAATGAAATGCAAGAGGAGTGAAGAGCGAGGAAGAGGGAGGAATAAAAATAAAAGCGACCTTACAGCAACCAGGAACTCCCGTCTTGCGCTAAATATACCCTTCGTACCGCCGTGGGCTTCGCGCTGACTCGTCAGTTGTCGCGCGGAGCAAATCGAAACTGAACCTTAGGACTCGGTTTATCCTTTCTTACTGAAATAAAAAGAAACGTACGTATGAAACGAGGATATAAAGTGAAAGAGGCAGCTCCTAGTTGTTGCGACTGATTCGTATCGCCGAAACTGGATATCTCTTGACAGGCTGCGAAAGAACGAGATTGCTTGCCCCGCGAAATACTGCTCTGTGGCAATGCGTGATGCTGCAACGCGTGGGGTCGGGTCGGCGGCGTGTGCAAGTTGTCGTTCGAAGCCGGCGGTCTTTTCAGCAGCGCGAAAACCAGTTCAATTAATTGAGTCTGGCTTTGAGTTTCAATGAGCGCTGAATCGAATTGATCCTCGGCCGCGTCTTTTGGCGAGACCTCGTGCCCGAATCGATAATTCGGAATCTGAGTCCTGAACCATTGGAACCTTGGATTATCTTCCTTTTCTAAGCGAGAAACTACAAATCCTTTTCGGGTGCCATCCTCTTACCGCAGCACCGCCAAGAGACAATAAATTAATTATATATTGGTTTAGTCTTGATATTTTTGTTTTTGTCAAGACTATTTTTGTTTCATTTTGTTTTATGCGAAGTCCGGTCGAGAAAATAAATGGCAACTCCGGTCAATATTCTGTAAATTTGGTATTACGACTGTGTTCACCTAAGTCAGTGTCCCTAAATTACAAGGTATAGTTTTTTGTTTTTTTTTCGATATTGTGTGTAGTTTGATAAATATCACGGCTCAAGGCTTGGTTTTGGGCGTCTACAGCAAAACCTAAACTATACGGTAGAGTGATGGTACGGCTGATGGCTGATGATCACTACTTTGAAAAACTGGCTTTGATCCGTACTCGAGAACAGAACTAATGGCGATCGCAACGCCGCCATTTCTACCGCAGCGGCCACTCCGGGAACTGCACGTCTGCACGTGTTGGCTCAGGTCGAGTGCCGTTTCGCCCTTGCATTTCGCAGTAGTAATATAAATTAACTTTCATGTTTTGACTAGTCGCTAAAAGGGTGGCGCAGTTATCGTATTTAGTTCGGTCTCAGTGGATGCGAGCGGTCCGGGTTTCAAGGGTGAGTTTCCCAACTGAGTGTTTTAGTGGGGAGTTTTAGAATAGAGAGTTTTAGTAGATCGTTCCGATACCTCCGATAGCCCCGATAACGATACTATGCATGCGCAAGGGAGGCGATGGCGGAGTATCGGGTATCGTTATCGGAGTCATGGGAACGATCTACTAAAACTCTCTAATAACGTACGCAATCTAAGCGCACGCTAGCGCTAAATTTAGCACTTGTCGCACGCGACGCAAGAGAGTTAGAATAGCGTTTCTCCGTCGCGACGCAAAGACCCGTGCATCTCGCGCTTGCGACGCCACCAAGATAGCCACAGTTTTTATTTCACGCACAAAATGCTGTAACTTTAGGAAAAAAAAAAAAAAAAAAAAAAACAGGTTTTCTGGTCTAGAGTAGCATTTGCGACGCGAGCGGTTGACCGGTCGTGTCCGCTTGCGTCGCCTCGGCAAGAGAGGTCTCTTGTACTGACCTTCGCACATCATACCTTCGCTGAGAAATATGTGCGCTTCGCAAGTATCAAGTTGCCGGTGATCGTTGCCAAGCCGAGTACAATGTCGTCCCGTATTGAAAATCGAAATCGCAAAGATGCTGCCGACGCCGCCAAAGAAAACGCCGACATAGTCATGAAAGCCGCCATTTTTTTAAACTCTGCTCGTCTTGGCTTCAGCCAAGAGTTCATCACGAATCCTCCTTGGAGAAGCCCAAAGACTCTTTGCATACGCACGCTATTTCCGAGAAATAGCGCGCAAAACGCAAAACCTGGTCTGCGTTCGGAGCATGCGCAGTGGCGGCTACGCTATACTTCGCGTACTCAAAGCTTTAGCGTGTGCTGTTCTAAAACACCCTAGTAACGTTGGGGCCCTAAACTCGTCAAACACAAAGTTGAAGCCGTAAATTCCCGGAGCGCCGTATGTACGTCGGCGAAAAAAGCGCGAAGTCATCGTCGGGATAGGCCGATTGGTGTGCTCTGTCAACTTCGGCCCCAACTTTGTGTTTGACGAGTTTAGAAACCCTGAAGTATATGCTTGTCTTTTTAGACTTGGGCTAGGTGGCACAAGCTACCCATCCATCCATCCAGTCAACCTCATTGTGATCAGTGTAGTTACAACATGGGAAGCAGAAACTACACAACCCGCAGCAATAAAAAGAGGGCTCAGGCAGGGCTGTCCACTGTCACCTTTAGTCTTCGTGGTATATCTCAGTGAAATGGAAGAAAAAAAAATTAGAGCAGAGCAATTTAGGTCTTGCTTTGAGTGATATGGAAGGAAGGAGAAATGAAGTACAGGTAATACCAGGACTGATGTATGCCATACTTCGGCAGTAATTCAATTACAGTAATTGAATTCATTTCCTTCTAATTTGTAACTAATTACTTTCGGTTAAAGAGAATTGTAATTTAATTACTTTCTAGCGTCAGTGATTGCAAAATTTCAGGCACAATTGCAATTACTTTTGCAAGACTTTGCGGCGCCGACGGAACCTCTCTGAAAGCCTCAGCGCTCGCACAAGCGGCCTAGCGCTCAATGACACACTCGCCACAGATAGACACGCACTTATACACACGCGCAACAAAAATAGTGTCGCGTTGTTTATTGTTTCGTTGCTTACATTGCGGGCTGACAAATGGGCTCTTTGGGAACCTATCTCAACGGCACCGTATGGCGCCGTCTGCGGTGCGAGTGGAAAACAATAGCGTAAACATGACAAAATATAACAGAGAAACAAAATTGAGCTTCAGCTTTCAGCCGAGGTTGGAAACTTTATTGCCTATAAACTTTTCTTCTTTCTTTTTTTCTTTTTTTTGTACTGTCCCATATTTGCTTTTTGTATAATTTTCAAGTTTATTTCCTGGTGACTTTACTTTGGTTATTATTGGTATAGGCAGGTTTAAGACAGACCTCGCACCTGTGAATATTGTCACCATTGATTCGGGAGCCCCGATTTGGTTCTTATATATTTCTGAGTCGTCATAATTTCAACCCAATTCAAATGATTTACAATAACATGAAACATTTGTGTGTGAACGTGGTCGTTTAGCACGTGTGTATAGTAGATTTTATACTAACATTATAAAAATATTCAGGTGTGACTAATTGACGCATTTTTATTTGCCTCGCCTACAAAAACAAAAGTGTGTCAACCCAATTTTACTTGAGCGATCCGGCGTCTTCGACTATATTGCCTGATATATAATTTTTATTGAAAACATAAAAACATAGAACTTCATTGCCCCAAACTGTCAAGCTCTATCAATATTTTAACAAAATTCACAAAAGGAAAGTACAATACAAAACATTGAGGCAAGGAATTAACAAATGTGTTGCATTCTAAAAAACTCGTTTAAATGGCCCAAGTCGGGTCGCTCTCAGAAATAAGTAATTGTAAAGTAACTGCATTACCTTTTTAAAAGTAATTTCTAATTGTAATGGATTACTTTTCACTTAAGAGTAATTGTAATTGTAGTTAAACTACTTTTGGAGCAAAGTAATTGTAATTGTAATTAAATTACATTTCGTAAGTAATTTACCCACGTACGAAATTTGTATGCGGACGACATAGCACTTATGGCAGATAACCAGTATACATTAGAGGAACTAGCTATACTCCGCGACAACCTTTCTAGGCAATGCAGTGGAAGGTACGTCCCGCGTCCCCTCTCCCATTTTGAGTGTGGCTCAATGAGGGAAGAAAATATCTAGAGGAACATGAGGAGAATATAATTAGAAAAGGGAAAAGAAATTTATCCATTCTGAAGCTTAAAGCACTATGGAACTATGATGGATATGAAGTGGTCAGAGGTATATGGAAAGGAGTGATGGTACCAGGACTGTCTTTTGCCAATGGAGTACTGTGCATAAAATCAGAATTTCAATCAGGATCAGAAATTAGACGAGGAATCATAGGCAGGTTGGCACTGGGAGCACATGAAAAGACATCAAATGAGGGAGTACATGAGGACATGGGCTGGTCGTCTTTCGAGAGCAGGGAGGCAATTAGTAAGTTGACCGAAATGGATGATACGCGGTGGGCAAGGAAGGTATTCAAGTGTTTATACATGAAAAGTTTAAACACGAAAAGGACGAACCGAACCCGAAAACTTACATTTAGATACCTACACACTAGCGATGGGGCTGAGCAGACTTCTGCGGTGGAAAAGGAAGTAAAAGATGCAGAAAGGAAAACGTGCGAGGGAAGATTGCAGGAAAATTCAGCTCTAACAATGTATATAAGTCACAAAAACAGGACATAAGAAAGGAAAATGTGTTTGACTATTCACTGGGCTTCCCCTATAAAAATGACTTTTTACTTTTTATTGAAAACGTGTTGACTTCTTGTTGACTTTGATTACTTTCTTTTTACTTTGACTTCCTGTTGACATGGCCGACAGAAAGTTTGTTGATTTTGTGTTTAAACTTTTCTGATGATTTTATTCAGCCTGAGTCAAAAAAAGGGTGTTGACTTTCTTTTGACTTCGACTTCCTGTTGACATGGTCAACAGAAAGTTTGTTGATTTTGTGTTGAAACTTTTTTGATGAGTTTCTTCAGCCTAAGTGAAACGTTGATTTTTTTTTTTTTTTTTTCTGCTGACTTTTTGTTGACTGTGTCATCGAAATGATTGCAGACGTTCTGTTTACTTCGTGTTGAAAATGTTCAGTGAACTCTCTGTAGCCAGTGTCAATAAAAAAAAAA